AGAGATTTTATATTTATTTTAGTAGAGCTATTATTCACTTATCCTGTGCTGTGTGTTCCTCATTCCTACTGTTCTGTAACTTGTGATGCAAAACTGAAATTTCCCCGCTGTAGGACACATAAAAGGATGTTAATCTTAACTTCTTCTGTTTAATTAATAATACACGTTTGTCCCAACAAAAGGAGCTTGTAAACGTCACTGCTACCAACATGTATTTGCTCATCTGAAAGTGCGCGGGGTGTCCACTAGATGGCAGCAGAGTGCTTTGAAAACGCTCTGACTTTACAACGGCTGAGGAAAAACATCTATATATTCAGGCGCGGTGTGAATGTGGGATCTACTGCTGTGTCACGAAGCCTCTCACATGAGCCAGGGTTGAAACAAAGGCTGGAGAAAATATATTTCAAGTTTTTTTTTGAATAACGGCAGAACCTCCACTAAGTTGCATAAAATATTCTTTTTATAGATGTAGTTGTTGTAGTAGCAGTAGTTTAATTCAGTCAAATTGTCAGTTACAGAATTACATTTCAACAGAAGAAGCATTGACATGAATTCACTGAAAGTGTTTTCGCCCAAGTAAAACACTAAAGCCAAAACCTCTTTAAAAAAACGGAAATCTCCAAGAAAACGGCAAAGAAGAAAAACAAAAAAAACAAACATGGTTTTTTTTTGTTCAACTTTTTTCATGTAATGTAACAAACAAAATGAATTGAAACTGAAACCTCTATCCATTTGGAATGATCTGATATCACCAAGTAACCTCCAGGATCACAGTCAAAGTGGTTCACCCAGGATCAATATGTCATTGATCTATGGGTTAGATCAGGGGTGTCCAAACTTATTAGTGAGAGGCCACTTTAGTTCACCAGACTTGTCCAGGGGCCGACATCACAGACTGAAAAACTGTCTTGACTGGCATCGGGCTGTTCTGAGCTTTAAAATGATCTATAACAGAGCTGAAGTTGGCTGAATGACACAGGTTTACCATCTCAGTAGCTACAGTAACACTACTCACAATATGTCTATATTGGCTGAGCTGAAGTTGGATGGATGACACAGTGAACGTGTGTTTATGATCTCAAAGACTACTTTGGGTTAGCAAGGCAGGGGGCCACATACAATGAAATTGAGGGCCGCAATTTGCCCCCGGGCCTGAGTTTGGACATGCCTGGGCTGTAGGGTTAGGGGTTAGGGCTGGAGTTTACTATGGTTAGGGTTATAGGGTTATAGAGTTAGGGTTATATGGTAATAGGGTTACAGTTATAGGGTTAGGGCTATAGGGTTATAGGATCATATAGGATTAGAACTAGGGGTCGGTTTTGGTTTAAACATAGACAGTTTCGGGTTATGATCCTGGACTGTTCTCTGATTGTACATCTGTTTCTACACAACCTAATGTGGATTTTCCGTGTTTAAATACTACAATCCAAAGAGCATCTACAAAAGGTGGAGCTTGTGTCTTTCTCCCAACTGACATATGGCTCTGAGCCCCCGCTGAAATTCTGCTGAGGTCGTAAACAAGCGTAAATCTCGCTGTAATACAATGCACTCATAAACAGCTATAATGGTTTGTCATGAATATTTCAGAATCTTGAAAATGACCTCTGGAAAACTAACACGACATGTCTCACACAGACTCTCCTCCATGTCCTCTCTATCTGGTGCTTTGGGATTTTTTTTTTTTTTTGTGGTGATTGGATTGATTTGTCATTTGCAACAGAAAAGCGCTTTGGCCACGGGGCTGTGGATAATCCAATTTATCGCATTGCCATTTATTACAAATTTCTGCGGCTTTTGGGTCCACTGTCACATCGATTCGTTGATTGCTTGCTTAGCTGGGTCCTAATGAGCTGCTGTCTGAATCACTGCATAATCACCGCCCTAATTCACTTCCCTGCCCTCCTCTACCACGCGCTCTTCTGCTTCTATTAGAGGGAACGGGACTGGAGATGACTATTAACATCATCCGTGTCTGTCATTCTACGCAGATACTGTGCTTAAAAGACACATAGAAGCGGAGTCTGCAAAACCAACGGAAAGAAAAACCGATCAAAGGCCGTCGTTGATGAAAGACATTGTGGTTTGATTAAAAAAACGGTCTCAAACTGCCCTCGTGGGACTTTACATTTGGTGCAAATGAAACTGCTGTGTGTAACAAAAGCACTAGAACACGTATTTAAATCTTCTATTGTTTTCATTAATAATGTGTTTTGTCCCGACAGAAAAATTTTGTAAAAACAAACGTTGAGTGAATAAATCATACCACAATAAGCCGTCTTCATCCATCCATCTTCTTCCCCTTCATCCATTTCTGGGTCGGGGGTGGCAATCACAGCACCAGTTTGACGACCCCAGTCTTGTCTGGTTTGTGTGTTGCTGTTGGCTTTCTCCTTTCAGGATCCAGCCAATGGGAGAGCTGATTGGGACTGGCAGCACCTGAGATGGGTGGGACCGGCCACATTCAAAAGTGCTGTCAGGAAGTCGATGGGGCTCTCTCTCACCTGGCTATAGCAGCCTTTTAAATAAATATTCTGTACCTTTTGAAACATGTGTGGACTCCATTTTTGTCCAAACCTCGAGCCAGTTTGTGACCTCACTGATCCTCCTGCAGGTGCTGAGTCCAAAGGAGCTGACATCTTTCAGTGGGGGCTTCAGGAAAAGTGGGGTCAAGTGTCTTGCCCAAGTACACAACGACAGCAGTCGTGAGATAGGTCTCGTCGTGGGCTCAAACCCACAACCTCAGGCCCAAAGGCCATTGCTCTACCAACCAGCTGATTGGCTGAGAGCTGATTGGCTAAGAGCTGAGAGTGGGCGGTTCTCCCTTACACACTTTGTCACATCGTCCAATTAGCTTTTTAAAAACAGCAGAGGCCAAACAATACATACATGTGAAAACTAGTGCTAGATGCAGGAGCCTGTTAGACTGAAAAATGTAAAATCTTGGTGGAATGTATTTACTAAAAATAACAAACTTATTTTTTTAAATGTAGTTTGTCACAAGAATATTTTACTAGTTTTGAGACATTAATACTTCATAATCTTATTTTAGAAAAAAAACTCTGAGAAGTGACTTTTTAAGTTTGTTTTAAGAATTGTTTTACTTTATAGAAGAGAGAGAGAGAGAGAGCGACATAGACAAAGAAATATATATATAGAGAGAGACATAGACAGAGAAAGAGACATAGAGAGAGTCCAGAGAACAAATATCAGGCCAAAACACACCACATCGTCTTCGAAAGTGCACCAGCTTTGTGTGTTGAGTGCTCTCTCTCTCCCTCTCTCTCAGTATAATTTCTACAGCACAAAAACACCTATATTTACTAAAGAATTTTGTGAAAAAAATCCTAAACAAATGAACATAAATGATGAAAAAGTCGGAGCGTTTTCAGACAACATTTCTTTAATACAAAGTCAACATATCTACATACACAGTGGCTTTCATTTCAGTCCATAATAACACTTTGATCTCACCTCATTCAAAGGAAAATCACCAAATTTGGGTAAAGCATATGCTCAAATGTGTATCTTTTTGCCTCCGTAAGTACCTACATATTTCAATTTCGAACCTCTACATAAAAGTAATACGACATTGCACAAACTTCCAAAAGGACTTCCACCGTTTAGGCGTTTTTTAAGGATTTTCAAAGTTAGTTTCTTCAGGAGTTCGTCGGAAACTGCTTCGAGAGACATGCTCAGAATATATCAATCCTCAGCAAGTTTTGGTTTTCATTCTCGTCATGTCTCCTCTGGTCTGTAGAGTCCTGATTTTACTGCATCCCGTAAAAAAAATTAACACAAAAATAGGAAAAAAAAGCAATGTAATCGGACAATATGATTTCATACAATGGTTAAAAATACAGTTTAGGCAACAAAAATGACAAAATGCAATTCAGTGTGTTTTTTTCATTTAAATTCCCACATGGGCAGATAAGGCATTGGACCTTTAAGGTTCTTTTATTATGAACTTTCTCCTCTTGTTCTTCACGTAATCTGTCTCAAAACTGGTCTATTTATGCTGATTTTATAGGATGCTAAAGGAGGACGATACAAAACGCCGATAGCAAAAGAATAATGTATATATTGTTAGTGATCAATAGATTTGGGAGCAGGCTGAATATTAGGGTTTGAAAAGAGTCCGAATTTGTGTTTGTGTGAAGTATGAGATCTGGAGGGTCGAATGATACAAATACATATAATTTATATATTTGCTTATTTACAGGTATATTTCTAGATAATTGTGGATCTCTAAACAAAAGAAGAAAAGTCAGAGAATGAAAGGATGCTGTCAAATATATAAACGACAAACCAGTGATGACATTTTGGTTGATAAATGTTTTCAATGCTAATAATAGAAAATAATAATACAAACAAATAAATGTTTAAGGTTGGCCGAATAAAGTAAAATAAAAACCTTTTCAGTTTCCAATTACACATCAAAAGAACTGCGGCTGTTTTCACTCTGATGAATTACAAACTAAAGGTTTGGATATATCTTTATATTTTGCTTTAAATATATACGTCTGTGTGTGAGTGTGCACTATGTATACATAGGTATATATAACTTATCTATACATAGGTATGTATAGATAAGTATATTTAACTATGTATATATAAGTATATATAGAAGTATGTGTACATATGTATACATACTTATGTATACCTAAGTATAAATATATAATATAAGTATATATACATAGGCACACGGCCGCACAGACGTACTTCACATTTCTACAGTGAAAAAATAGAATGTCTTTTAACATAATATGAACAAATAAGCTTTTCTTTTATCCTGCTATTTTAAAAAAGTGATACATTTTCTCTGTTAAAAACAAAACAAAAAACAACTTAGAAAACAATAGAAAATGTAACAAAGTAAAACAAAAAGTTGTCATAAAACAATAATAATGTATCGCAACGTCTCGACAACAATAAGGCTTTTTGGAAATAAGATTTAAAACAGTTCAGTCCATCGCTCCCGGGTCTGTGGGTCCAGAGCAGGTCTAAGTCTGTACCGGTCCATCACTCCCGGGTCTGTGGGTCCAGAGCAGGTCTAAGTCTGCACCGGTCCATCGCTCCCGGGTCTGAGGGTCCAGAGCAGGTCTCAGTCTGCACGGGTCCATCGATCCCGGGTCTGTGGGTCCAGAGCAGGTCTCAGTCTGCACGGGTCCATCGATCCCGGGTCTGTGGGTCCAGAGCAGGTCTAAGTCCGCACCGGTTCATCGCTCCTGGGTCCAGAGCAGGTCTAAGTCTGCACCGGTCCATCGCTCCCGGGTCTGTGGGTCCAGAGCAGGTCTAAGTCCGCCTGCTATAGTCCTGGCTTCACAAAGCACCGCAGCTCTCGTCATCACATCGTTTCGCTTCGTAGAGACACGGATGCCACGTCTGCTTCTCAGAGATTATTTTCAAAATGGCTGCCGGGCACAAAGTTGGCGTGCTTTTACCATGTGGAGAGATCTGGAGAACGCAGCGGCCAAAACACAGGCCTCCGTCGCTCTGAAGGGTCTCGGCAAGAAAGCTGGGAGAAAACTGAAAGGGTGAGAATGGTGCGAGGGTCTCGGTCGCGCGGGCTTTAGCCTTAACCAAGTTGAAAATCATTTTTGTCCGTTTTCTTTTCCCCCCAAGTCCCACGGACAGCGGACATATAAGCAGCATGTTTGGTTTGACAGAAATGAAAAAAAATACTTCCTTGTAAGACAAAGGGGTCGTTAGCGATGGCGTTTGTCTCTGTACACAAGGAGGCCGAGCTGAGCCGTTGTCCTTGTTGATTTGTCCCGAAGCAAGCCCCGTGTTTCACTGGTGTCATGAGCTAGGAATTATGGAATATGGCGCTACCTCTCCCCAAGTCCCACTTTTATCTGATTTCCAACAACCTTTCATAAAATCAGCTCATAATTCTTTGCTAATTGTGTTTGAAAAACTGTCAAAACCTCAAGCAAATAAAAACGTAGCCTGGTCTTACCATGTGTAATCTCTGGTCCATGTTCATCTCCAACATGTCGGTCGGTGTTGGTGACGTCAAGAGTTTGTGCTGAATTTGCTGGTTGTAATTTGTCAGAGAATGCGATAGTAAAATAATCTGTTCTGGTTCAATTCAAATATCAAGAAACTGAAGCCGGAGCAAGAGGAATGTTTAGAAAATGTCATTGAAGCAAAGATGTTGTGGTTCTACTCCCCACGGGCTCCGTTAGCAGCCCAATGAGATGGCTAAAGCTAGGCTAAATGCTAAAGCTAGGCTAAATGCTAAAGCTAGGCTAAATGCTAAATGCCTCACTCACTCAGGCTCATTACATACGTCACAGTAAACTCAGATGCAATGGTTTCAATCTGCAAAAGGAGTTAACCCCTCCCACCTGTTAACGGAGTCAATGGAGAAGAGCTTAGTATGAAATAAAATGTGTAAGACCAGGCTAATCAAAACGCTCTGTATTTGCTTAAAAGGAGACTGGCTTCCAGTTACAATGTTCTAATCCCACCAGTGTTTCTGAATATGGTGTAACATAGAAAAGGCCCTTTGATCTCCAGGCGTATAACAGAAAGTCACCCGGATACTTCCATCTTCTTTCCTTAAGTGTTGCTTGTGGGATTTTTTTTTGAAAGGGAGAATATCCACGAATGTTTACAATGTCCTCCTCCACACTGAGTAAGCTGAGGTAAAAGCACTCCTGACCCTGATCAATACTCCGCCGTCGAGCCGGAATCCTCTCCTTGTGTGTTTTTTTTTTTCTTTTATGCAATTTCCTGGCTTCTGTACGAATGTCCGTTTAGTCTGATTGAAATATGGTTTAATTCATACATCTATACATGAGTGTCTGTTGGGGGTGTCTCTGTCTTCTTCTGCAGTCAGATTGTGGGGGTTCTATGGCTCAGGACTTGGCCGAGGGCGGGAGGGGCAGGACGGTGGTGGAGAGATGGCTTCTTACGTTGCATAGTGATCAAAGCTTCCTAAATACTCCAGAGCGGCGTGGTAGCAGAATTGATATTCATCCTTTGAGGAAGAAGAAAAAACACAGTAAATATTGGTGGAAACATGAAAAACAACCTTTTTACATGGTTTCACTTCTGCAGCTCTTTATAACGACAGTAAAATTAAACAAACTGAAAAATATATACGAGATATTTGACAAGAAAACATCTGTAAATGTTTGGAATAAATGTGTTAGTATAATGTAATGTTGTTTTTGATCATGTTTTATAAAAGACAAAAGAAAAGAAAATGAACGTATGTGAACATATTTGAAAAATAAAATAAAAATTATAATAATAAATAAATAAATAAGTGCTGAAGTAAATCTTAATTATTGTTTTGTCTTTTGGAAGAGGGAGGCAACATGAGACTGACAGGATCTAAAATGTGATGTATTGTTATGTCCACAAGTGACATAAATAAATAAATAAATGAATGAATGAATGAATAATTGTAAAATGTTGGACAAGGTAAACACAAGAGAATTTAAAGGTATAAAGGAGGATTTTCCCCAAATTTTAGGAAAGAACCGCTGTCGTCAGAGGGAACGGCTGTTAAAACCAGAATGATTGACAATTAAGACCAATGGTTTAGATCATGGGTGTCAAAGTCAAGGCCCACAAGCCAGATGCGGCCCGAGAATGAATGATCATGGCCCCGGGATGATATTTGATTAGTATTATTTATTGTTAGTACTATTTAATATTTTGTCTGTGAGCTGTTGAACAATCTACAAACAGAGCCATACAAAAATATTAAATTATTCATCAAATCATAAAATAATTCCACTGTATTGGTCTTGGTTCTATAGGTGTTATGCATCATTTTCATTTGTTTTATCAAACATTGAACCAGTCCGACCATCGGCTTGTAGCTAATTTGTTTTTTTAGACTCTGATGTATTCGACTTTGTTCTCCCGGAAGAAGAAAATCCTCGCATATAAGTTTCTACTTCGGTCAACAACAGTTTTTACTCCATGACATCTACTTTGGACATAAGAAAACACATTGCAAAAATATTAATGTTATTTTAGATTATAGCTAAAATCCACACATACTAGCTTCAAGCACTTACAGTTTGTACTCGGAAGAAAACGTGTCGAGAATGTTACATACGGTAAACTCCAGAGCATTGAACTTTCTACTTTTGAATCCATAACTTCTCCTTTGGACTGAAACCATTGCATCAGAATAATAAATGTGTTTGGACTCACCTCAGTCTGGACCATGGCCGGCCTCTGAGTCCGCAGCATCTTCACCGTCTGGAAGATATCGACCACGCCTTCGTACCTCATCCGCTCCAACACGATGCTGAGGGTGATGAAGACTCCGGTTCTTCCCACGCCAGCGCTGCAAACACACACACAGTCAATACACAACCCCTCACACTTGCACCTCAACACAGCCGTGGCTGTCTAGTCTACAGGAAGTAAAATCAGAGCTGGTTAGACTCTGAGCTAATACAATTCCTCTGCACTTTGTGGTTACTTTTGTAGCAGGTCCAGGTTTGTGTAAATCCAAACTCAGGCCCGCGAGCCTCTGTGCCATTTTATGTGGCCCTATTTATGATTGCGTCACAATTTTCCACATAAAATGCAGCTGTGGATCCATAAGGACGTATCATAACCCATTTTAAAACCAGAATCCAGTCTGTCCAGCTCCAATACAGTTTTCAAATCCAGGTTGTCGACCCCAGGTCAAGTCTGATGAACTAAAGTGGCCCTCTTACTAAAAAGTTTGGATACCCCGGGTGTAAAGCTTTCACCCGAACCAACACGTTAAAATATGTTCGCACATTTCCAACACATCTATATTATAATAATCAAAATGAGAAAAAATAAGTCTCCCAACCCAAATATGATACCAGCTCTGGATAATCACCGACACGAGAGACGGAGGATTGAGTTTTAATGATAAGATGCAGTCTCCCCATGTTTAGACCTAACTCTATCTAACATCTAAACAAAGGGTGTCCAAACTTTTTAGTACACCTGGGGTTGAAAACCTGGATTTAAAAACTGGATTGGAGCTGAATTGACTGGACTCTGGAATTTAAAATGGGTTATGATACGTCCTTATTGATTCACGCCACAGCTGCATTTTATTTGAAATATTGAGACATAATCAAAAAAAAAGTCAGTAAATAACAATAAAACGACTGGATTCCAGAGGGTTTGAGATTGACAACAAGGTATAGCATGACAGTGTTGGTGGAGCAGAAGTTGGTTGGATGACACTGTCAAAGTGCCTCAATGACTACTTTGTGTTAGCAGCAGAGGGCCACATAAAAGGACACAGGGCCGTAATTTGTTTGGACATGCCTGATCTACAGCAAATAGATTCTCCTCTTTAATGTTATCCATGCTTACACAATGTACCAAGAGAAAACAAACGCAAGGAGAAAGCAACCACACACCAAGTTCTCAGCACAAAGAAGCAAGTAAACATTTAGTGTGATTAAGGCCCACCCATCTGACCCCCCCCCCCCCACGCCACTGCGGCTGCTCCAGAAATACAGCCTGGCAGACTTAGATCCTGAAATACTTTGAGGGCTGCCTCTCTAAGCTGCTTTGCTGTGAAATGACTTCCACTTCACCAATGGAACAATAATTGATGTGACAACAGATTTATATGGACTTTTACCAATCCCCTGATGCACTTTGGTCACATGTGGTGAGAGAGCGGTGACTCTGGGCACTTGAACCAGAGCAGATACACTGGCTTTATGCTGCGGCGGAAGGACAGATCTGACAGATATTATAAAAGAATGTGCAGTGACACCGATGTTAGCGAACGCCGTGGGGCTGCTAACAAACTCTGATTGTGAGAAAGAGACAAACTAACTCGGCTTTTCACCGTGTCCCGGCGTCTTCTGAGTTTGGCGAGGAAATCAACCAGACGACAACTAGGGTTTCAATCAATCCACCAAACAAAATGGCCTCCTGTTAAAGCTACTACTATTACTGTTACTACTACTTCTAGCGCTACTACCACTACTTCTACTACTACTACTACTAATACTACTGCTACTGCTACAAGTACAAAACTACTACTACTGCTACTGCTACTGCTACTACTACAAGTACAAAACTACTACTACTACTTGTACTACCACAACTACAACTACTTGTACTACTACATATATATATATATATATATATATATATATATATATATATATACACACATATATATATACATACATACACACATATATATATATATATACATACACATACATATATATATGTACACACACACTGGTACTATACTACCGCCACTGTCCGGCCACGGAACCTCAAGGAGTCACTCAACAAACTCTTAAAGACCCTCTGTTCTTTCTGTGCCTCTCTCTCAAACATCACCAGCAAATCTGAATTCTCCCCGAGAGGATTTGGTGTTCCCATTCAGAGAAACTAATCAGGCAATTAATGACAAAACGTGCGTGGCTTTAATAGATAGTGGCGTCGGAGTGATGTGGGTGGGAGCGTCAGGAACTTCGGGAGCGCGAGTCGGGATGTATGGATGGGGAGGATTAGGAAACAGACGGGGCCCGGCAGATACAGAGAGGCAGAACGGGAGGTATAAGCTCCACCACTGCCACTGACAAAGCCTGGAGGAAATACATGACAACAGGGAGTGGCTTTCTGAAAAGGGAAAAAAAATCTATCACAAAGACACCTGCTGCTAACCTACAATCATGAGAAGGTAATTAGAGAGAGAGTTTGAATGAGTCTAGTTTAAATGACAGGGATGTGATAATCCTCTTTACCATAAATCAAAACACACTTCCCAAAGCCGGCCTGACACAGTAGAATGTCATTTGGATGTTAAAGAATAACCTGACTATTTCTCTGGGGCAGTTTCTGTGTGTATAGTATAGACATATATGTTTGTGTATATTATAGATAATTATGTGTGTGCGTAGTATAGACATACATATGTGTGTATAGTATAGACATATTTATGTGTTTATAGTATAGACATACATGTGTGTGCATAGTATAGACATACATATGTGTGTATAGTATGAACATATATGTGTGTATAGTATAGATCAGTGTCTCCCAAAGTGGGGTCCGCGGCCCCCTGGTGGGCCGCGAGGGTACTGCAGGGGGGCAGCGGGAGGTCATAAAAAAAATAAAAAAATAATATAATTATTTAATGTTAAATTTATAATGTTTTGTTTGTAATATTAAAATATTTGTGTTCATTATTTGACTTGAATAATCCACTGTAATCATTTTTGTATTACAATGTTTGTAGCAGAGGCTATTTCCCCAAAATAAAATAACCAGAAGAGCCTATTCTTAATGTTGTCTTCTTGGTTATTATTTTGGGGGGCCACGCAGACCCGTCAGATTTTTAAGGGGGCCTCGGTGTTACTGAGTTTGGGAATGGCTGGTATAGATATATATGTGTAGGCTCACAACTTACATACTTAAAATACCTGATCCAGCAGCAGCATTAAGTGATAATGTGCTAATCTTCTTATGATACTTGAAAAAAAAAAAAAAAAACAGTCTTCACCTCAGTAACTGCACCGACCACCGCTCGATACTACATTGATTTTAAAAACTCGGCAGATTCACTTCCACTTCTCAGAACCCTTCAACACTTTTCTTATGATTAGGGAGATCCATGTACACCTAATACCGCGCTATGGTACTATGGTGAGACATGATCATTTACTACATGTACGTCTGGGTCTGAAAACTCTAACTTTAGCCTGATGTTATACCTGCATATGAAAGCCAGATACTGTCAGACCTCTGAAGCTCAGCCGGGCAGGGCCTGGTTAGTGCTGTGATGGGAGACCTCTGGGAACACCAGGTGCCACAGTGGGGCGGCTCCGGCTGTAAAGTGCCAAACTGTGGTTGTGTCCTTAGACAAGACACTTCGCCCACATTAGAATGAGTCTAGTGTGTGTGTGAATGGTTGGTGGTGGTGGGAGGGGCCGATGTCACAGACTGGTTGCCTCGCTTCTGTCAGTGTACCCCAGGGCAGCTGTGGCTACAGTAGTAGTTTATCACCACCGTGTTTGCAATGAAATAATAAGGATGTGAAGAGATTTTGAGAGTCCAGAAAAACCCTATAGAAAACCAAAACAGTATTATTATTATTATTATTATTAGGAAGCAAGACTTAAGAACAAAAAAACAGCTGAAATATCAATTCTAACCTTGATCCACGACACAGCCCTGTCTCATGTTACGCACAAGTCGGCCATAACCACAAAACATTATAAGGAATATGGCATAAGGAAAATTATATCAATGAGTGAAATGAAAAATAGTACAACGCCATCATTCTCTGCAGTTATGAAAAGCCTTCTCTTTCTTAAGCACACCGGCTCTGGAGCACCTATAGCATAATGGGCTCTGGTCTCTTCTGTCCATTATTTCTCCGTTGCCATTCTTTCTGCAATAACAGGCCCTTTGGCTCTCAGACAGCTCCCTTCCTCTCCAATAACCGACTCAAAGATGTGAGGAATAACTCAGTCTTATTGGAGCTTCTTTGACACGCCTTACAACCCCCATAGGTCCATTCAAAAGGCGATGACATCATGGCTTTTTAACACATAAAGCATTAATGTGACGACGGTGAGGTCATGGAGCCTGCTCGACAAGAAGGAATAACAATCGTGATATAAAACGTAAGAATGATTTATTTATTTAGATGATTTAAAGATGGGGTTGCCAAGTGTTTTGTTCCATGAGTAGCTAGTTTGTGCAGCTAGTTTATCATTATTATAAATGACAATCTGTGTTGAGATTGAGAAACGCTAGAACAGTTTCTATTGGATCGTTGGTGGTTTTCATGTTTTTTGTTGTATATTTCTTTCCAGTCACAAAGCGATTTTTGTGTGTATTTTTCACACTCTCCACACAGTGTTAGCAGCAGGGTCTCCACACCAGAGGATCATGTCAGACATATTGTTTTTTGTGGAAGATAGAATCCAACCCAGGACCTTCTTGCTGTGAGTCCTAACCTCAGCACCACGACTATATTAGGGAATTCTTACACTCCAGCTTTTGAATACCCACTAAATTGCCATTATAGATCCGCCAATATGGGTTACTTCACTGCAAATGCACATGAAGCTAAAGCGAAGGTTCAGACTAGAAGAACTAAGTCCGCCCACTGTCGCTAACGGCAACAGCATCTGTCAATCACACTCAGCATCAGCGCCACACTGCCCTCACCTGGCAACAATCAGGTACTGCACACATCAAGCTTCATATTGTGAGGAAGCTCCATCCAAGCAGCCGCTTCACTCACGCTGCAACCTTCCTCCTCCACATCTCCGCCTTGTTCCAGGCCAGCTATTTCATCCTTCCCCTAAACTACCACCACTAGGGTCTAGGCCCCAGGGGGATTTCATCTCACAATCTCTTTACCCTTTTGGGGTGCTCTGTCGGGGTCTAAGGTCAAATCCTGACCACATTCTGTACAACAACATTACATTTTATCTTGAAAATATTGTCCTCAGAGTCATATGTTTAAATTAAATAATGTAGAGTGAGATTACTGCCAATCAATATATAATTCTAATAATATCTTTGTTTTATCTCTAGATTGAAATACACTCACCCTGAGCAGCCCAGATCTTCTTTGTCAAGTGACCGCTCATATCTAACACTGTTCTTAAAACAATGAATTATTGGATTTATAAAAGGACAGTATAATGGCAATAGTTCGCGTTTTTGAATATTGGCAATAATACATATATCTTTCATTGGATTAGAGGAGATGCTGATCTCTTCATATCAGTTGTAGACGCTTCTTTTTGCATGTTTCAAATGTGACATTTAAGGACAAAATGTTCACAGATGCTTTGAAGAGATGATCTTTAGCTGATGTCTTTGTTTGAGAATCAAAATGGTGTAAACCCTCAATCCTCTGAAGCCTCTGCAATACAAAATAGGCAATCCCTTTGAAAAACATTAATGAAGGGGCCTTACTGTAGACCCATAACAAACACCAGTGCTTACGGAGGTCCAGCCTGTGCAGATAACGATGAAGGGTACCTTGAAAGCCGCACTCCACGTGATAAAAATGCATCATGAGCCCTGATCATAAAACCAAAAAGCGAATGGCAGTTTCATTTCATGTGTCGCCTTCTTGCAAATGCCAAGCCACATCTCCAGCCTTATCAATTATGAAGCGTATTGGCCTGTGGAGGTTGAGAGGTAGACTACGGCGCAGGCAAAAACATGGGAGGGGAATATCTGATTATGCTGCTGGGGCTGCACAGTGGGAAGCGGGACACGGCAAAACAACAGCCCGATCCACAAGTGACTTCATCTTGTCCTCATGAATAAAACATGTGTGTGGCTATAATACTTCCTGTTAATGAACATGGCATTTCCACTTTTAATGTCACAAAGTTGTAATGCCTTTTGCAGAGAGTGCTGACCTGCAGTGGACAGAGATGGGTCCGTCTTGTCCAAACTGTTCCTTGGTTTTATGCACTTGACCAATGAAATCGATGAATCCCTCTCCGGATTTGGGGACACCTTGTTCCGGCCAATCAGTAAACTGGAACTGCCTAACTGTTCTTGATTGACCATCCTGCAGAAAAAGACATGGGCAAAGTTAGAAATGCATGAAAATTTCAGAATTATTACAATATGAGCGAATGCTAGATTTGATTTAACTTTCTATGTGTTGTATAAGATATGAGACCACAGTTAGTCTGGTCTTACTCATTTCGCACTAAGGTCTGGATTTTCTCCATTGACTCCGTTAAGGGGTTAACTTCCTTTTGCAGTTGGATCTGAGTCTATTACACCTTTATTGTTACAGCCTTATTTCATTATTACACCCCTAATACATTATACCCCTATTACCCCCCTATCATTACACCACTATTACACCAAAAAGGGTGTAATAGCGCTGTAATAATAAGGTAATACAGTATTAGACCCTTATTACCCCCTTATTACATTATTACACCCTTATTTCCCCTCTACTACAGTATTTCACCCCTATCACATTAATAGACCCAGCGTGTATGTGTGAAGTGTCTTGCCCAAGAACACGACGAGATAAAACCTCGACAAACACATTTTTTCTTTCCCTCCAAACCCTGAATCTATTTAGCTAGCAGCACGGTGAGTCTGAGCGTCGAGTCTGAGCGCGGCGAGTCCGAGCGCGGCGATAAGGCGTTTTGTGTCTTGTCTCAAAAAGAAAGGAAGGGATCTTGTTAAAGGAAATGTAAATGTGTAGATAGCAAAAAGGTTAGATAAGATAATTGAATTTTGAGTTTATAATGTGTTGGTGACGGGCTTCAGGGGAAATCTGGGTCTTTTTATGTTTTGTGATGCAATGTTTCAGCAACTCTCCATCATGGGAGTATTTTAGCCTTGATTTTTATATATTTTCAGATTTAATGTGTGTGTTTTTTATTTAGATCCTGCAACAAAAACAACATATTGTAGGAGGATTGCTTACTTATTATTATGAGTATTTTTTATCAGGACACAACTAAAAGACCATAGTTAAAAGACGATATACAAAACATACAGTATATTAGATATTAAAAAATAAATATGTACAAACAAAATAAATATGTACATAAATAAAAGAAATATGTACATACAAAAAAGAGCTGCTGTACAGTATTTAGGCGTGGCCTCCAGTACATCCATAATTTGGATGAATTTACTTTCTGTTTTCATGAACTAAATATTTTCCAGATATTCCAGTCATTTTTATCCAAAATATTGATCTGTTTTTGATTTTAACTGTTTTGCTTTTAACCTTATTTAAGTATTTTTCTTATTTCAAGACTTTTCTTGTTTAGATAAAATAAATGTTTAAGAAATGAGTAAAAAATACTTGAAATGTATGTTTTTTAAACTAGAATCAAGTCGTTTGGGGCTTGTTTTATTTTAGTGATTTCAGAAATCTAAAGTCATATTTTCTTCTTCTATTGTCAGATCATTTGTATTATTTCAAGCAGTATTTTACTCTTTTAATCATATATTTTCTTCTTGCGTTTTTCTCCAGTGTAATGGTAATAATAACTCCCATCCTGTCGGTTCTTACAGGTCTGATTTACACGTATAGAGCCAAAGAGAGTCAGTGGATTTACCAAAGCGAGTGTGTAACGAGTGATTTCCAGCTGTTCCGTCGCCGGTTTCTCCTCCAAAGCCACGTGACACAGATGCGACTTTCATTAAATTACAGTCTGCAGCAACCTCCTTTGTTTTCCCACTCCTTTTCCTGTTTTGTGACGCGCTGCATGTAGCCCGCCTGTGTTTTGCTTCACCATAACATTTCAGCCTCAGCGGGAGGATTAAGAAATGAAAAGGCAAAAACAATAACAGAACACACCAATGCTAACTGAGGAGGGGGAAAAAACAGGGGAAATTGAACACACAACCTGAGGGCCTACGCTTCCGTGTCAAATTGTGTGATTAAATACGTGACTGGCTCGCTAGATGTGAGAGTTGAGGCGTAGAGTCAGTGCTATTACCGCGCACGCCACGGTCACCGAAGCACCAGTGGACCGCAACCATTTACACATTAGACACTGGGAAAAAAGACTAAATGAAGAATAATATTGGTTTCATTTTCTGTTGTTTTGCTACATTCTTATGACAATGCTAAAGCAGCTGTATGTACAAATTTGGCCAAAAGTGGTACTGCAGTCTCTCCCACTCTCCCTGACTCAGGTTGCCAGATATGCAGAGGAATCCAGCTGGGACCACAACAGCTGAATAGACAAGAGTTTTGCCAACAAAAAATCTATAACCAACACCTTTTTCACAAAGATAGAAATCCTGGTTTTATTCCTTGTTTTGTCGTTAATGATTTGACACATGGTACTTTACCAGTGAGATTAGCTCCACGCTGTGAGTTCTGACGCCCGGATCACGGACTTTCTGATTGGTGAAACGGTGGGACATCAAAATGAAAACAATAACAAAATTTAGGGGCTGTAAAAGTAATTTTGAAAATTAAAATATCTCTGAACTACTGTTTTAGTATTGGAAAAGAGCAGTTTATTATTATGACAGATTAGGGCCCTTTAATGATGAAAGAAGTGTTATCTCCCTATTATGCATAACCCTATTACCAAAATAACAAAATAATAATGATAATATTAATCCAGATTAATTTGCTGACTGCAATATTTTTGGTAATAATGTTATAATTTCATGTTATAGTACTTGCATCCTGCGGTTTTAGAAAATAAACATTGTACAGTTTATACAGTACAATACACATACACTAAAATAACTCATACAAGTGCAAGTCCATGATGCATTTTATTCAACTACTCTATCCTAGTTATTCTTTTTCATACGTTTTTTCTTTCAAATGTGAGTAAAAAAAATAAATCTCTCTGCTCCCATATGTATGCCCATGTTCTTGGTATTCATAAAATATTTAAATGCACAAACATGATTGCACGCTCGGAAAACTCAATAACCCCAGGTCTATGGAGAAGGACTGTAGAGAACCAACTCGGGTGAGTCTAGGTCTTTCATATCGTATGCATGGAATATTACTGCCAGTTCTTGGAGGCTGATCATGTGAGTGTGTGTGTGTAAGAGCCCATAGGAGCTCGGGGTTAGCGGCTCCTGGGTTACACTTTTTTGTTCACATAAGAAAATAAGTTACCACAATTGGACGTTTGAGAAGAGGCGGTGACAGCAACTGCATGAAGCTGAAGGAAAACAAAAAACTGAAGCCGCTAAGAAATATAAATAAATAACAAAGGCATCGGCCCAAAACGTCATAATCGGTGCTTCACTAAAACATACTGTGATCTGATTTGTTCTCAACATCTAAAATGAGGTACCTCAGGGTTTAGCCTTTGTCCCTTTATGATTAAAAAGCTGTCCCATTCGCAAATCTAGATCCAAGAGTCAAAATGTGCTCAAACCAAGATAAAAAACCCTCAATTCAAGCTTTTATCTCGTATATTATCATTCTTTGCAGTGTGAGAAAGAATGGCCTTTGTCTTTTCTAGTTTAAAGCAGGTGGTAAGCTCAATCTAAGGCTAAATACCTGCACGATATGTAAATCTTACCCTTGCGTCCGTGACTTTGAACTCCCTCAGTATGTACTGTGGCATGTTGTATTCCGCCATGGGATCCACCACAAAGTACTGGTATCTGGCGGAGCGCTCTGCCGGCCAGTACTGGTGGCACTTTTCCTGTTGGGGCAAGAAAACAAATCATTTTCACTTCGATAAATCAAATGTAAATGTAATGTAATTTTAACACTTCATGTGTCTCTTTGATGTATTTATGTATTTCTGATCATGTTGCTTTGTTTGTGGTTTTGTATTTTAATCTGCAGCACTTTGAGGTTTCCTGCTAATTGAAGGTGGAGGAGACTGTAGGATCTCATTTAGAATTTGCCTTCTCAGTTTGTGCAGCAAACTCTGGGAACTAGATCCTGACAGAAGCGAGGAAGCAATAAATCCACACTTTTAAAAACTCTGAAGAAGTGTCTTGTGGATAATCAGAGAGATGTGAACACAACATGGTCTAAAGCAGGGGTGTCAAACTCAATTTGGTTAGCAAGCAGCCAAATAAAAAAATAGGAACTGGTCGGGGCCGAAACAATAGAAGAGATTTCCTTTTCTTATCATAGTTTTTTACATTATGAATTTATTTTAACATGACTTTAATGTGACATAAGTTTCACTGCTATTTAGTGATATAGTTTATTTTTCAGAAAACAAAATGTGTTTATTGTTTAGATTGAACCAAAACTGGATCAAATATAAAGTTAAACAAATGTTATATTGAACTATTTAACTTCTAACTATGTGTTATTGTTAAAATGTTAGAATATATTAAAGTGATTGTCTGCAGTTTGTCAGAAAAAGAGAGAGAGGTGCTTGATTTGAAAAAAACGACGCAAGCTCCTCCCCCTTCCTTTCTGATTGGTCTACACCTACGTTTCTGTAACACTTTTAAATGTTAATCAGAGAACACATTATAAATATACATTATTAATAAACATGCACGGAGGTTTTCAGAATTATTTGTTAACGTTTTAATGAAAAAAATTATGTTTTTATGCACAAAAAAAGCGATCGCGGCAAACCAGGAAGTGCTATTATCATGAATTGCACATTGTAGGACACATCTGCAGAGGATCTGATTATGGATATAGGTTCAGTATAAAAATAAGTAACTCAGCGCGGATGTTCAGAATTCTTTGTTCAGTTTTCATGAAGTTCCAGAGCCTAATAGAAAACAAACAACTGAGCATGCGCGCAGCTGCGAGCATCAGCGCGATGATTGACAGCCCTTGGCATGACTCGATTGGTTAACGTGGACGGCATCGTGGATTCTGAGCTATAGCTAAGAGAAGGGAAGGCGGGACTTGCCGTAATATTAGAATTGATAAAATGACTTGTTTTATATCAACATTTAAGGCCAGGAGGTCAATTTAACACATTTCCTAAAATTTGTAATCCATTTAGAGTTACAGACTATCACTTTAAAATTAGTTGTTTTCGTGACAAAATAGATGATAGAAAACCTGCCTTGGTCGCCATTAAGTGAATAATACACATTTTAGGGGCCACTAAAAATTCTCTTGCGGGCCGGATCTGACACCCATGTTCTAAAGTCAAAACCACTGAAACTTTGCGGTGTGGAAAATATTGCTGTTTTGTGTCTTTTATCTGTGCTAATTTACTATTTTACATGTTTTACCACATGTTACATACTACCCTGTTTTGTTATGTCATAGCCTTTGAGTTTTTTTTTTCTACTTCCCGCTCCTTTTTGAGTATCCGCAAGTGTTTTGATTTTGTTTCTTGTAGACTTAATTGCTGGAAATAAACATGGCTTATTAAACATGGCTTATATGTCTTTGTGATGGTGTGTGTCTGTGTGTTTGTTGTTGTATGTTTTATCTGTTTTGATATCAACCTACCCAGGGACTACGGATGAAGATTAGTTTACATGCTACTGTACTATGACCCATTTGTTGATTAATGTGCACTGTCCCAGTTCAAATAAAGATGCACTACAGTCAAATGTATTATTATTATTATGAATCGAGAGTCCTTTTCTGGCGTGTGTAGCGTGTCGTACCCTCCCCATCTCCCTCAGTTTGGTCAACATGACGACGATGGTGGAGTTGTTCTCCCAGAGCATTCTCCAGAAGTCTTCTGTGGTCTCCGCTAAAGGGCCTTGTGTGGCGATGTATGCTCTCTGTTGCCTGTAACCAAAGAACAGTTGAAATACACTGAACATGCAGAAATGTAAACGTGAATGAATGGATGAATGTATTTTTTGGGGGTTACTGTTGGATTAATAACAGATATTACGTTGCGTTGCATATTGCATACATCACTGACTGTGTTACAACCAATAAGGCCTGACATCACCACACATTCAGGGCATTAGCTAAACTTACAAAAATATACATAATACTGATTTAAAACTAAAATTTGCTTGAACAACATATATACATATTATTTTCATACTTTTCTTCTAGTATTTAATGTTGACGAGGCTGAGCAGAAATGACTGATTGACAGTTCATACTATTTCATTTCAATTCTGTTTGTCTCCATCAGGGGTCTCCAACCTGTGGCTCGGGAGCTAACAGTAGCTCCCCTTTCAGGTAGCTCTCCAAACGATTTAGAATTTAACAAATGATCTTGAATTAATAAAGTCTATTATTATATTATAGGGTTATACAGTATTATGGTATATTTTACATGTGTTGTCCATGTTTTGTCCTAATTTTTAGATAGTAAATTTCTCCATTGTGAGATTATATCCAAGTTTATCTTATAGATTTTTTTTTTTTTTTACAACTGCAAAAAGGAGTAGCTCTTTTCCTCTTCTTTTGTAGAAGAGTAGCTTCCCGATTGAAAAAGGTTAGAGACCGGGGTCTTACAGTTCGACAATAAAATTAAGTCGCACCTAATCATAAGCCTCAACAGTCAAAGTGAAAATAAAAATCTGCACCTTATAGTCTGGAATTTACGGTATTTTAGAAAAAGCCAGATCTATTATAGCTCCACACAAATAGAATAATTGAATACAGCTTTTCAAATGTGTTGTTTGTGTGTGTGCAAATTAACTCATCAAATATAATGAAATACTGAGTAAAGTCTTGTTGGTCCCGATCAGTTCTGTACCTGTATCCGTCTATAAAACTGGAGTTAATGTAATCGGAGCCTTCCAAGCCTCTGATTGGCTGCAGACAGACGCGTGTGGTCTCGTAGGGCATGATATTGACCAATCGGTTCTTGAACTTGTTGCAGGGAAGGTTGGCACTGATGAACCGCGACGTGTGGGCTTTGGAGTTGGCCAAACGCTGGAGGGAGACAGATAGAGGCGTACATTTTCAGAATAAGAAAAATAAAATGTCGGCACATCTAAAAACAGACTCAAAAAATCCTCAAAGAAAGCGTGGATGGAGAGGTGTGGAGAGCAGAGCGAGATGAAAAGGAAAAAGAAAAAGAGAATTTGGAAAGATGTGACAAAGAGGAGAGGTCTGCTGTGGTTGTGTCCTTAGGCAAGACACTTCTCCTACATTAGAATGAGTCTGGTGTGTGTGTGTGAATGGTTGGTGGTGGGAGGGGCCGACGGCGCAGACTGGTTGCCTCGCTTCGGTCAGTGTGCCCCAGGGCAGCTGTGTATGAAGTGAAAGAATAAGCACATTTGAAACCAATGCATTATTATTATTAATATCATTATTATTATTTATTTATAATTATTTACTGTATAAAAACATATTAATAACATGTGAGGTATGTAAGGCTGCGTTTATCATTGAGGAACTGTCGATTTAACACCGGCAGAATAAAAAACCTCAGAAAATAGGTCATCCACTTAGTCTTTGATAACACACTTTAGTTGTGTATAAAACGCGGCTCCATTCACAAAAGAAAATATCAACTTTCCGTCTTGAACAAAGTGAAAATTGTCGCCGTTTGGTGGAATACAAAGAAGTCACTTAAAGCCTCGACACAGAATCAGTATGTTTTTGTTTGTTTTTGTCAAAGAAAAGATCAAAGGAAAGTGGATACTGAACGACTGTAGTGTTTTTTTAACAGTTTTGTTCCTGTGGCACACATTTTGGGTTAATAATAATAATAATGCATCGGTTTTATACAGCGCTTTTTTGGACACTCACAGACGCTTTACATGTCATTATTCTTTCACTCCATACACAGTGGGATAAACTACAACTGTAGCCACAGCTGCCCTGGGGCACACTGACAGAACCAGTCTGTTCCATCGGCCCCTCCCACCACCACCAACCATTCACACACACAGACTCATTCTAATGTGGGGGAAGTGTCTTGCCTAAGGACACAACAACAGAAGACATCAGTGGGAGTCGATGGTGAAAGTCTTGAGGTGGGCTCTGGCTCAACGGCCAATGCTCTGCCAACTGAGCTACTGTCGCCACAGTTAAAAACACTCACATGGTTCACCGCGGCCCACAGGTTGAACAACACTGCTATAGAAGAAGGAAACTGAAAACCTGGTGAAATACACATTTTCATTCTGATGGAGGGGAATTGGACTGAAATGCTGTATCAGTGACAACACCTTTCCTTTTCCCACAATCCCTTGCGACTGTCCTCTCTTTGATCCGTATTTCACAAAGGTTGCCTTGGCAGAGATTAAAAGCCGCACCATGAAACATTGCAACTGGGAGCAAGGAAATATTCCAAACCTGGCAACATGACGCCCGACATGGCAACCATTTACGGTGCACTAGTCAAATGGGATTACATTTATTGTGGCTTTGTAATAACAGGGATTTGGTTTGTAAATGAGACGGAAAAACATCAAGAACAACTGACTTTTGGCTTTCACAGGAGTTTCAACTGTTCTAAATGCAGCTTGTTATTTATTTAAAGATGTATTTAAAGATTTTAAATATTGAAGCATTTACAGCTAATAAACATAACAGCTACTTTTATTGTGTATTGTGTGTGCTCCCTGTGTACTGTCCTGTCTGTGCGCTGCAACTCTGAAATTTCCCCACTGTGGGACCAATAAAGGATCTTATATGTTATTTTTTCTTATCTTATATCTGAGATAAGACAGAATCAGTTTTACAGAACACACTAATTGGTTTAAATCTTTTTTGTAACAGGGCGAAGTATCTATCTATCTATCTATTTATCTATCCAAGTATCTATCTATCTATCTATCTATGAATCTATCTATCCAAGTATCTATCTATCTATCTATCTATCCAAGTATCTATCTATCTATCTATCCAAGTATCTATATATCTATCTATGAATCCATCTATCCAAGTATCTATCTATCTTTCTATGAATCTATCTATCTAAGTATCTATATCTATCCAAATATCTATCTATCTATATATCTATCTATGTATCTTATCTATCTATCCAAGTATCTATCTATCTATCTATGTATCTATGTATCTTTCTATCTATGTATCTATCTATCTTTTGGTTTGAGACTGAGGTCCACATACAACGACAGCGCTGGGGCCTTTGTGATTCTGTAAATCTCCACATGACTTTCCTTCCTTCCGTTCTACCGGTTGCAATCCCCAAACGTCACTTAGGGCTTTTCAGACCTGATTCCATCCCTTCCAGCAGTGGCCGGCTTAACTCCCTTCTCCCAACCTGAGATTGACGCAGCCCTCCCCTCCAGTCCCTGCAGACGCCAATTCTGTCGGAAAGGCTTCCTAAGTGCCCCGTTAGCATACAACCATTCCTTTGTTCATTAGCCAAACGTCCCTCCCTCCGCTTGCCCCGTCATCCACCGCCATTTGTCATCATCAAGTATTAATTACTCACTTCTCTCTGGCCCATTCTCTTTCACACACCTCTTTCACTATCCTTGCTGGGGTTGTGTAGACGTTATTAATACCCGCTCTGAGTCTGGATGCTAGCTCAGCATTAGCCGCGTTACAGATGGCGTTGGAGATTCCATCACCGTTGTGCAGCAGTGAGTTTCCCAGAAAAAAAGGGTCAAAACACACCGACGCTATTATTGTTTCTTGGCAGAGGGGTTGGGCTGATGAATGACGACGGGAACATGACGGATGATTCTCAACGTGGCGAGCGCTTGTGCGATCCAAGGTCAGCAGATATGAGCCCGAGCGGCGAGGGCGAGGCGTTTAAAAAGTTGATGATTGTAGAGATCTTTAATATAGATCTATGTAAACATTTTGCATGGCTGTTTCTCTTCACTTACTCCTTGCCAGATTTTTTTTTGTTCTTATAACAATACAGTGAGTTTACGACGCTTCCGGCCAATGGAACTTCCTTTGTCTTGCAGCAGCTAGACTTAAATTTCTTTCTTTGCTAAAGCATATTACGGTTAATCCTGAAACATAACTTTCAGACCAATCATGAAAAGCTCCAATGAATCTTTTGCTCTTTAAAACGGCCAAAGGGAGAGATATGGAAAAACACACTTGGGTTCGAGTCCACCATGAAACCTACTTCAAGACTCCCACTGATGTCTGCTGTCGTTGTGTACTTGGGCAAGACACTTAACCCCATTTTGCCTGAAGCCCCCACTGATAGATCAAGGCTCCTGTGGACTCACCACCTGCAGGAGGATCAGTGAGGGGCCGGTGCTATGACTGCCACCCCGACCCAGAAATGGATTAAGGGGAAGAAGACTTTAGACAGACTATGTACTGCATTTAAAAGTAATTCTCCAACTTTCCTCTTGCTCCAAACCACAGCAGCAGCAATGGTAGTTCAAAGTTACATGTAGCGTTAAACAAAAGTACATGTTTATGATTATCGCGTACCTTAAACTCTAGCTCCATGCCGGTCACGTGTTCGCCACTCTCCACCTGGGCCAGTTTTTGGATGTAGGAGTAGAGGCTTCGCGCCGCCACCTCTGTGTTCCCACAGGCCACGGCCTCCAGCAGCGCGTCGTGGATGAAGCTGTACTGGTCCTCGGTCTGCACCATGTAGTTCCTCTGCGAGCGCATCAGAGTCACGTGACCGTAGATGTCCACCGTCTTCTCGTGCTTGATGCGCTCCAACATGGCGTCGATGACAATGAAGCAGCCGGTCCGACCCACGCCCGCACTGTGGGAGAAATGTTTGGATTTTACAGCGGGTTGAACCTGGACTTGTGACTCATGGAACTCCCTGACCCCACATGGTAAGGCCCTGGTACCAGTAGTTCGTCTGAAATCATCTATAGTCATACTTGTGTTTTTACCGCTGTCAGACTGTAAAATGAGTCAGTTTAAGTCACTTGCACTAGGACTAAAACCCTGCTCTACTATTGCCACTGTTTCTTTAATTGCCACTTTTTTATTGTACATAATTTATCCTGAAAATACTATTTTTTTGTCTTTTTCTGTCTTTTGCACAAGCTTATGTGATTCTATCCATGCCAAATGTGACATGGACATTTCTCCAGTGTGAGATTGATAACGTCTATCTTATCTTATCTCATCTTTATATTAATTATTATAGCGGTAATTGAGGCCGTTTGATTTGCTAAAATGCTTAAAATAAAACTGTCCCTTTTGGCAATTAGGTTTTTCTGCTGTGACTGTGGCTCCTGATCTCTCACATTTCATTGGCCAAGGCCGAAGTGCATGACGGGAGTCTTCTTCAAAACAAAACTCAAACTCAGCAGTTTTACCCCCCCGTCCCCCTTTCTTTCCCCCTCCCTCCCCCCCCCTCTCCCTCCCTTACCCCTGTATCACTGCAGTTCAATTACATTTGTTTTAATCGTCTCTGAGGACTTTACAAACATGTTTTAAAGTCCACAGAGCTCCAGAGTTTCACACCAACATTTGAGATGGACATTAGTTTGAGTGTTAAAATCGAGATTCTGTTGATTTAATTGGTTACAGAGAATAACATTTAAAGGCCACAGGACAATAGATAAAAAAGTATAAAGTCCTGTATATCGTAAAGTAGTAGCTCTCTGCCTTTTACATCTCAGGACAGTAGCTCTCTGGGTGAAAGTGGCCGGAGACGCCTGATCTTTGGTATTCATATATTATTTTAACAAACTCTTTCATATGGAAACAAACAGGACAGAAATATAGCACCCGAAGAAGTAGAAAGTAGATGATAAAGCAAAGAACAAAAAAGACAGAGCGGAGAAAGTGAGCTATCAAATTTCACACTTCTCATCTTTTTGTTTTGGAGTCACGGCAGCTGTTATTTTAAAAGGGAAGGTTTCAATTTGAATAAGCCCTTTGAGAAAAAGTTGCTTGTAAAAATAGGGCGAGTGAAAATAAGATAGAAAGGGGATTACTGAGGGCTTTTTGACAATGGAAGTTCGAAGGCAGAGTATGCCTTGAAGAAAAAGATGATGTGGTCCACGAAGAAAAGAAAAGGATGTCTGGAAGAATAGAAGCATGTGTCGGAATAATTCGTGTTACATAATGTGCAGCAGCGATTCTCCTCTTGGCCATTCACACACAAACACTCAGGGGGGAAAGGCCAGTCTTTGAAGTATAGGTTAGCCTTCATGTTACCCTCAAACCAAAGAGTAGGAGCCCAAAGCATCAGAGCTGGCCTACTTATAGCCACATTAGCATTAGCATTAGCATTGTTGTAAATAAGCCGGGTAAGTTAATGAAGCGGAAGGCGGGGTACATCCCAGACATGTTAGTGCCTTATGAACTGGTTCGGACTCTGAAGAGCACAGGGACTGGTCTCCTGCTGGAACTCTTAGGAGCACAGGGACTGGCCTCCTGCTGGTGCCACGAGTCAGGACAACCCATGGGGGGGGGGTCAGGATTTCAGATTTATGCAGCTAGGGTATGAGAAAACTAGGCTGAAACCATATCTTTTTAGCTGTGCATACAACTGATTCTATTTTCTATACTTACTTTGATGCTGCTCTGTTTTAATATGAAATAATTGTGTATTTTTTAACTTTTTGACGTTGAATTGCCTTGTACACGAATTGTGCTATACATATAAATGATTGATTGATTGATTGAAGCAGAGACTGACCTGCAGTGGGCTATGATGGGGCCAGCGTCCGGAGGGTTGCAGGTCTTGACCCGGCGGAGGAAGGCCAGGAACGGCGTGGGGTACTCGGGCACGCCATGGTCAGGCCACGCCGTGAACTGGAACTGCCGCACCTCCCGCTTTTCACTGGATCCGTTCTGCAGAGATGACACTTCCTGGTCATTATGTTTGTATTAGTGATAATCCATCCTTAGGGCCCGCCAGTGAATGATCTCGGGCCCGGGATGATAGATGATTAGATTTGCATAAGAACCGGCCACACAGAGACATAAGAAAATACTGGATTATTAATTTAATGGGCAGGACGTGTGTTTTCTCTTTGAAGGAAGTTTGTTTTTGAGCCTGAAATGACGACAGAGCTGTACAAAAATATTGGATTATTCATTTACTCATTAGATAAAATACCACTGTATTAGGTCTTGGTTCAACAAGTCTTATGCATCATTTTAATGCTTTATTAAACATTAAACCAGTTCGACCATCGGCTTGTAGCAAATTTGTTTTTTGGCCTCGGATATATTCAACTTTGACATCCCTGGTCTACATTTTACATTATTTATGGACATTGGCCTCTCCCTATGGTCCAATACCATGTGTTCTATATTCTCTGTGTTTGATTCTCTGATCTGTTGTTGACGATTTCAACAGTTTTGTAAAGTCCTTTGAGAAAACTACTCGTGAATGAAAGAATGTATATTACATATTACATATGCAATCCACTTTATAAAGTTAATTCATACACACAGTTTCCAAAGTGCTGGACAATAAAATACTACATAAAACAAATCCATAGTAAAACAGTAAAATCATTAAAAATCAAATAGGAAAAACTGTTGGCGAGGACCATACAACTCACGCAGTGTTAAAAGCCAAGGCATAAATAAAACTGGGTCTTAAGATACATAATAATATTTATGTACTAAAGATAAAGTAAAAAGGGTTTTCAGTTAATAATCATGTACAAACCTTGCCAACATAAATAAACAAAACGTGTATATATATATATATATATATATATATATATATATATATATATAGTTGTAGCTCTCTGGATTTGACTTTCTACTATAATAATCTATAGGTTCCAGCATTCAGATATGTGAGCTGCAACTCTCCAGATCCATGTAGGACATTACACAGCATCTGTCAGCCTCCGTCTCCAACTCTACTCTTGATGCTTCAAAGATCCAGATCCAGAGGAAGAGGACGAGAAGAAAGAACAAAAAATCTCTTGCATCTTTTGGTCGTCTTCTCGCGCCTCAGAAGAGTCTAATGGAGTCACTGTTAGCATTTCAATGGACTCTGCTGCCGCAAAGATGATTTTTTGCCTTTCTGAATAAATGAGTATGGTAATTAAGAGCAAACTGACCTAAATCCTATTTCCCCAGTTTTTCACACCACTTTTTTGAGTTAAGGTGGAGCTTTGTTTGTAGTTGGTGCTTGGTTGGTGGGATTTTATTCCTAAAGTTGCGGAGGATATGGATGTGGAAGACCCGGCTGCACATGCATAATATAAATGTATAAAGGCATATCATAGTCTGCGTGTGCTGTGGATGTAATTTGGAAACAGGGCAGCTGGAATCCACAGCACTAGCGTTGGTAAAGACTTCGCTTTGAGACCAGGGATGATGCTGGTTCAGGGAGAAAGCAGGATCCACATGGTCCAGAGCAGTCTAATGTAAGTGACGCTTCACTGTTTAAACCATAAACCAGGTGTCTATGTGTCTGTATCAGAGAAATGTGGGTGTGTGTGTGTGTGTGTGGGTCTGTGTCAGAGAAATGTGTGTAGGTGTGTGTGTGAGTCTGTATCAGAGAGAGTGTGTTGTATTGTGATGGTATTTCTATTGGATTGTACATTACTGTATCCATGTGTTTTATTGATGTAAAATCTGGTCTGTGAGTTTAATGTCTCTGTGCATTGTCCCTTCAAATACAGACTACAGGCGAGCTACATGGAAGGGGGTAGAGAGCTATAGGTGGCTCCCGAGCTACAGGTTGGAGACCCTGGTTTGAACCCTTTTTAATACCAGAGACTGTTAATATTAACAGACTAACAGAGTAGTCTCCGCCGTTCTAATTTATTTGCCACAACTTCCGCGGAAAAATGCATCTGCGCATGCGTCAGCTGCACGAGCCCCATTCATTTAAAGAGTGCCTAAACTAGACTGGTCCAAAACACTCCCCTCAGCATGGGTCCACCCCCATCGACCCGGGGTGGTATTGCAGCATGTCAGCGCACGTCATTTTGGCCACTTTTGAGCCGGGACCCGCCCCCATGGGTTAAAACACAGAACATGTCCTGTACATGTTAGAAAGGCAGGGCTGACCTTATGTATGTAAGTATGTTTCAAAATCAGTGTCGTTTTGCTTTTTCTGTTGTGTGGTTTTGTGCCAATGTGTGTGTGCGACCACAGAAAGCGGAGAGCGATCTGCCATTATTTTTATCGAGTTGCTTTTCTGCTCACTTTACCTAAGTGCTCCTATTTGGCAGTTGGACATAAACAGATGATCTATGCAGGAGCGGGTGAACGAGCTGAACAATTTACAAGGACAGTGGGTAAGAGGGGATGCACTGCAGAGGGAGCGGCAAAAAGGGCAATAAAGAAGAATATAAGGCATTATTTGTGGCCATTTACTCATCAATTTATGTCTTAGGATGTGAAATCATCAAGAGAAAATAAATGGGGAAACACTGGCCTGGTCTTACCATACCATCCATCCATTTTCTACCCTTTAATTCATTTCTGGGTCAGGGGGGTGGCAGTCAGAGATGCCACCCAAGTCTCATAGCACCAGCCCCTCACTGACCCTCTGCAGGTGGTGAGTCCACAGGAGGACGGCTGCTCTCTGAGTGTGAGCATAGCCTTGATCTTTCAGTGGGGGCTTTTGGGCAAAGTGGGGTTAAGTGTCTTGCCCAAGGACACAACGACAGCAGTCATCAGTGGGAGTCGGTGGAGAAGGTGCAGAGGTGGGAATTGAACCCACGACCTTCTGGGCTTAAGGCCAATGCTCTACCAACTGAGCTACTGTCGCCCCCGTCTTACCAAACCATTGTACTCATTTCATTTGTACAAAGATCTGGATTTGCTCCATTGACTCCGTTAACAGGTGGGAGGGGTTAACTCCTTTTGCAGATTGAAACCATTGGATCTGAGTTTACCCTGTGCCTCCTGCTGGGACTCTGAGGAGCACAGGGACTGGTCTCCTGCTGGGACTCTGGAGCACAGGGACTACAGTGTTATTGCTGTTTCTTGGTGAATCTTACCTTGTGCAGAGAGAAAGTGCGGACGCAGAATGTGGCTAATTCTATGGTATCCAAGAGCGTCACTTGTGTCATGCCGTAGGTTTCCGTTCCCCGACTCGGCCAGTACTGGTCACATTTAATCTGAAGAAAAGAAAAAAAACAAAGTCCACGACGTAAGTACAGTATCTATCTAGTATCAAGTCAAAGATTGATTCATTTTTATTCACATAAAGAGGAAAGTTATCCCACACAGACTTGTTCTCACTAAAGGTACAAAAGTGTGAACGAGGCCTAACAATAGATTTTAATAATCAGAGAAAATATGATGTTTTTCAGGTCATTAGAAGAACAAGAAGATACTGTTTTAAACATTAGTCACATTTCTTTAGTGACTGTTTCTCTGTGTCTCTAGTAATTCTAGTAATCATAAAGTTTCATAAAGTAAACCAATAAAATGTCAAACCAGATCATATTTTTTTTCTTGTTCATTATATATTTTTATTATTTTAAGCAGTATTTTACTTATTTTCATATGTTTTTTTCAAGGGATTTTTTCAAAGCATGCAAACACTTCCCCTTTACAGCGAGGCCAAAATCCCTTGAAAAAAATTAAATAATAAAATCCATGGGGCGACTATGGCTCGGTTGGTATTGGCCTTTGAGCCTGAAGGTTGTGGGTTCGAGTCCACCACAAGACCTATTTCACGACTCCCACTGATGTCTGCTGTCGTTGTGTCCTTGGGCAAGACACTTAACCCCACTTTCCCTGAAGCCCCCGCTGAAAGATCAAGGCTCCTGTGGACTCACTGCCTGCAGGAGGATCAGTGAGGGGCTGGTGCTATGTGACTGCCACCCCCGACCCAGAAATGGATTAAGGGGAAGAAGATGGATGGATATAAAAACTTGCCATTTAAAAAATAAGCATCATTTTATCATTTAGGATTTGACTTTTGACTTTTTTTTTTAAACTTTTTTTCAGCTCAGTTCTTCATCTGAGAGACAGCACCTGCTTTTCCCCGTCTCTCCTTCGCCGCTGACGGACGTGTGATGACATGTGACAGACGCTACAGAATCTGGCGCCCATTTCCTGCTCGTGCTGACACTCCAGTCCAGCAGCGTGCTAATCCTGACCGTGTTTGACAGCGGGGGGATGCGCACGCCACGAGACGGGAAAGGTAAACAATGGGGCAGGACGTCAGAGCGGCGAGGAAGATGAGCAAAGACGTGCAGTGGGAATGAGCTTGATGTCTGCACCCGCGAGGCGTTTGGCGTTTAGACAAGTTCAATATAAGTCAAGGAATATTCGGTTTGACAAAAGGGCGTGAGAAAGTCTTGAGACAGATGGAAATGTGAATGAGTGAAATGGGTTCTTTTCCCCATAACGGTGAGACCTGATGTGTCTTGTTGTGTTTAAAAAGGGTTTCTAATTGACAAAATGATCATGGAGTGTGTGTGGTCATTAATAATGCCCGAGCTTTCAATAATGCAGGAGTCTGTTGGACAGTTAGTGTGTAACAAAAATGACACTTTAACATTCTACAACATGTATGACATTTATCAACATGTATGACATTTATCAACATGTGTGACATTTATCAACATGTGTGACATTTATCAACATGTGTGACATTTATCAACATGTGTGACATTTATCAACATGTGTGACATTTATCAACATGTGTGACATTTATCAACATGTGTGACATTTATCAACATGTGTGGACATTTATTAACATGTGTGGACATTTATCAACATGTGTGACATGTATCAACATGTGTGATGTATGACATTTATTAACATGTATGATGTATGACATTTATTAACATGTGTGGACATTTATCAACATGTGTGACATTTATCAACATGTGTGGACATTTATTAACATGTGTGGACATTTATCAACATGTGTGACATGTATCAACATGTGTGATGTATGACATTTATTAACATGTATGATGTATGACATTTATTAACATGTGTGACATTTATCAACATGTGTGACGGTTTAGGACATATAGAGAGCACTATAAGAGACCTTTTTATGCAGTTTATGAGAAAAAAAACCTGTTGATTGGTGTTTAGTTGTCCTTTATAGACACTAGAGCCTTTTTGTGGATGGACGACAAGTTTCAGAACACACTCCAGAGGACAGAGATGTTCTGTAGGCAGCAGTGATCCTCTAGGACTTCATCATTATCTCAATATTACGGTATAATTAGCAATACAAATAAATAGTGCCAATATGCAACTTTGTATAAATGTCTCCATTGTAAGAGAAAAAAAGGAACCTATCGTGTCTTTGTGAATTGAGTTCCTTCCTGTCTGATACTTAAGATGGAGAACTCACAGGCGCGACATTTCAAGGCTGTAAATAAATGTAAATATTCAGAGGATAAAAAACTAGATCTAGTGGCTTAGAACTACAGCTACATTTCCACGTAGAAAAAGTAGCTAGTGTATAAAATAGTTAAATCCACTTAATTACAAGCTGTGTACTTTTGACAGGCACCAACATCCACGGCATGCTTCTTTCTTCATATTACTATAAATAAAATATATGACCCACTCCCACAGATGGATGAGGGAGACACGGGCCTTGAGTTTTTCAGTCTCTGTGCAACACAAAATAAAGTCCGGCGCATTAAGGAGCTCAGCAGCTTCAGGCTCGACAGGGACTCAGCAACAGCTTGTCATTTCAATAAAGAGTGAAAAACAGAAGCAGGTCTGTGAAGGTTTCTCTGTGGATTTGAGGCAAAACATCTAAAAATGAAGAAATCAAAACCAAGATGGATGACGTGGGATGATTCTCTTGATTTGAAGAAATAGTTAAGTAAATGGTACATCATTTTATATGTTGATAATAAAGTAGAAATATGTAAGATTTTTATAAAAGGGCCATCATTAAAGGGCCCTAATCTGTCATCATTAAAGGGCCCTAATCTGTCATCATTAAAGGGCCCTAATTTGTCATAATAATAAACTTCTCTTTTCCAATACTTCTTTAACTGATAACAGTAGTTCAGAGATATTTGAATTTCTAAATTACTTTTCCAGCCCCTAAATATTGTTATTGTTTTAATTTCGATGTCCCGCCCTCCACCGTTTTACCAATCAGAAAGTCCGTGATCCGGGCGCCAGAACTGGAGCTAATCTCACTGGTAAAGTACCATGTGGCGCAGAACTCATTATGATTCTCAAATCATTAACAAGAAAACAAGGAATAAAACCAGGATTTCTATCTTTGTGAAAAAGGTGTTGGTTATAGATTTGTTGTTGACAAAACTCTTGTCTATTCAGCTGTTATGGTCCCAGCTGGATTCGTCTGCATATCTGGCAACCTGAGTCAGGGAGAGTGGGAGAGGCTGCAGTACCACTTTTGGCCACGTTTTTATATACTGCTCCTAGTAAAGTAAAGGTCAAAATCAGACAAAATTAAATGTTTTAGTTGAATAAAGGCTTTTGGCTTGCAGCGTACATTTACATCCGCGCATCGTATGGGTAAAGTGGGGTCTTGCCCAAGGAAACAACAGCAGACATCAGTAGGAGTTGGTGGAGAAGATTTCACGATGGTAACTGTCGCCCTCATCCTACTGCATCTTATTTAAAACCATTGACATGTACCTAAACTGGTTTGGCACAGCCCTTACCGTCCACCTCACATTTGTCGTGTAAACAGCTGTAATGAGTGATGTCACATACCCGGGACTTCTCTTCCAGTTTGGTCATCATCACCACCGTGGCTGCCCTCTGCTCCCACACCATCCTCCAGAAGTCTCCAAAGGTCTCGGGAAGAGGACCCTGCGTGGCAATGTAGGCGTTCTGCTTCCTGTAGCCGTCGATGTAGTTGGCGTTGATGTAGTCGCTGCCTGTGATCCCTGGAGAACGGAAAGCAAAGGACAAAGTCTATTTTATAACAGATATATCTTAAAAGGTCCTCTGTGTCATTTTTACAGTTGCTCCAAATGAAAAAAACATGTTAACCAAAAACAAATGTGACCTTATTGAGATTATTTACCTCCATCATGTTTTTGAATTGTCGTCATAGACTTAGAATCTGACTTATAAATGTGCATGAGGGTGAGGACTCTCTGTGTGAAGCTGCCATCTTGGAATACAGTGGTTGATAAGAGACAAAAAGGAGTTTGAGCGGGAGTTGGGGACCATTATCCTGTCCTGCGAAGGCTTCCGTAGTACTGTAAATTACAATATATGATCTCAGAGCGAGATGGGAGTAAAAAATACACAGTGTAGCTTTAAAGTAGTGCAGACACAAACAAAAACGATACAGAAAAAACATCCCAAAGGTGTGTGATGTTTATGTGTGTGTGTGCGTGTGTTTGTGTGTGTGTTTGTGTGTTAAGTGCGGCGTGGGTATTTTATGTCTGGAACTGAAGAGAAGGAAGTTGTTTGGACATGGACAGAAAACAGAGAATAGTGAAAATTCATTAAAAAACAAAACAGTAATGAAACAAATGAGATATTCTTTAGATGATGAACAATAATATTATATATTTTGAAGAAATTGAATGACTTTTTTAAATTGAGGTGGTTCTATTGTCGTAAGAATATAGTCCGAGAGCAGAGTTTTCCATTGTTGTTTGCTGATATTATTTTTTGATTTCCAGTTAGTAAGTCTGGTATTAGAGATATAATACAGATATATGGTATTGCGGATTAATACCATATATCTGTAATATCAGATAAATTACAGCTATATTACAGATAGTATATGGTATTACAGATATATTACAGATAGATTACAGATATATGGTATTACTGATATATGGCATTACAGATATAATACAGATATATCTCTGCAAATTGACAGCGTTCTGTTGGGTGTCGGCCATCTCAACAATTCCCACTATTCACAGGCTTACGCTGGTTTCCAATCAAGGGAGGTGTAAGAATTCTAAACCGCAAATTATTTTTCACACCATTTTCCGTTAAAATGGGTGAAAATTGGCAAAAGGAAATTTGTCAGAACTATGAATACCCAGAGAGGTTAGGGCGAAGTGAGATTGTTGTCTGATAGTTTAACACAGTCCACTTAGGCACATTATCAGCAATAATATTATCACAGGAGGTTCTCTGAAAACATTTCAACTTGGTTTGCACCATCGAGAAAATAATGTCATTGCAACACAGTGCAATATTGATCATGTAAGACGGGCAATCATTAATGTATAAATGATGTGTTTCTTTTAAGCGTTATCATTTCCTGTCAGAGCCCATTGTTAAAGCGGCTGGAAAGAAAATACTACAGTTCCTTCCATCCTAACCTGGTCTTACCGTACCAACGTACTCATTTAATTTGTACTAAGGTCTGGATTTGCTCCATTGACTCCTTTTACAGATTGAAACGATTGGATCTGAGTTTACCGTGACGTTTGTAATGAGCAGGAGTGAGTGAGGCATTTAGCCTAGCTTTAGCATTTAGCCTAGCTTTAGCCATCTCCTTTGTCACTAGCGGAGCCCGTGGGGAGTAGAGCTACAACATCTTTGCTTCAATGACATTTACTAAACATTCCTCTTGCTCCGGCTTCAGTTTCTTGATATTTGGATTGAACCAGAACAGATTATTTTAATATTGCATTCTCCAACAAACTACAACCAGTAAATTCAACACAAACTCTTGACGTCACCGACACCGACCTACAACACCCGCCTCCCCCGCTCTCTGATTGGTCGGAGGGGATTCAACCGAGGAAACTGCAGCCACTAGGATCAGACCCAGACATACATGTAGGAAATGATCATGGACCAGAGTAGTAGTAGTAGTAAGTAATCTTTATTTATTTACCACCTTTTCACTGAAGATCTGAGTCTCAAAGTTAATTCTATGCAGTCCTAATTAAAACACACATTATTCTCTATTAGCTGCGTTTTTTGTTTGCTGCAGGATTTTTGTCTTGACAAATTAGTTTCTCATAACTCCTTCTGGCAGAATAGCCCGACTTGGCTCTCTTCTGGACTTCCACCAAACCATTGTGAATCCCCATAGTTTACTGGTCCAATTTGTTCCCTATCATAGCATTCTGTGGTGCAATTCTACCGTCTTCCTCTCCTCCTCCGTGGGCTTCCGTTGCCTGTCGATTTGGCACAGCAGCTGTATCTGATTTAAGTCCACAGCTTGGGAGCGAGCACCGACCGTGGGGACAGAGAAGAGTAAATCAGCCTCTAAGCCCGAAAGTCTGGTGCTGCTCTGCTCCTGCCGCACACCTTTACTACGGAGTTTAGGTTTGTATTTTTGTTGTTATTATTACTGAATTATTACATATAAATCGGATACTTCTGTCATTCACTAGTCACTTTATCTGTTGTTATTATTACTGCATTATTACACATCCATCTGAGGCCTCGTTTATACGGAGGCGCTGTGCAGACGTTTCCAAGCTATTAACAGAAATGACCAGGCTCCTTGTGCAAATTTCACAGCGTTCATACGAGGATCAAAAACAATGTAGTTCTAGTGCCCAGCCAGTAGGGGGCAGAGGAACTTTACAACGACACACTCACAGGGCGGCACGGTGGCTGAGTGGATAGCACTCTCGCCTCTCAGCAAGAAGGTCCTGGGTTCGAATCCCGGTTGGACCAGGGCCTTTCTGAGTGGAGTTTGCATGTTCTCCCTGTGTCTGCGTAGGTTTCCTCCGGGTGCTCCGGTTTCCCCTACCACTAAAAATATGTACAATAGGTCTGGCATGTGCCTCCTGTACTGGCACCCCCACTCCCAAAAATAACAATTGTAAACCGCTTTGAGACTCCGATGTGCAGTGAAAAGGCGGTATATAAATAAAGGTTACTATATAAATAAAGATTACTACTACTCACTTCTGTCATTCTATAGTCACTTTACCTGTTATGTTTTGTATTTTTGTGTATCTTTTTATTTGTTCGTTTCAAGAAAATGTCAATAATCTCAGTAAATGTTTACTTTATATCTTTTAAACATTTACATGAAGGAAAGGAGCAGAAAATAACAATACGATTCTCTTTTTCTAACCCTTTTCTTTTTAGAGTCAAGATGAAAAACTGATAAAATCAAAGACAAAACTGAACTACATGGACAAAATGGACAAAAGACACAAAAGAAACGCACAGAAGCAAAACAAAAATGACTTCCCCTATTCAACATCATACAAACATGTGACTATCCATCCTGACTTTTTCTCCCGTAAAATTTCACCAAAAGAAAAAAAAAACATTCATATAATGATTCAATCCCTCATGAAGTTTATTTAGTTCAGTATGTTTTGCTGTATACAACTTTTTAAATAGAAAGATATTCTGCCAACATTTGAATTCATTTTCCACAGTTTAAGTAGCTTTGAACATGACCATTAATGTCTAATGACTTATTTTCATATATTGTATTTCCCAGTTGTACAGATTAGCAACCGCTCGGCTTCTTCCTGACCGTAAGGCATCAGCCTGTGTAGCTATCAAAGCACCTCTCTGTATTCTCTAATGTTCCTCATGCATTTGCAAAAGCTGAAATGTGTAGTCACTTGTTCGGTTCTCGTTTGGTTTCTCTGGTGATCAAAAGATTACAAGCTTTGATTCCCATCATGTGGTCCCAAACTGTCACCACGCTTTAATCTACTGCTCAACACTTAATGCTACAAATGGGGAAGCGTGATGTGGACGCGTTGCAACGATCCCAAAAGGAATTCTGAGCTCCGGTCAGTCCACAGGGATTTGGAGGTGATTCCGGGACAAAGAGGAACTCAGTTAGACCGAAGGAAAAGACCGGGTTTGTCTTGACAGAGATACATTGAAAAGCCTGACTGTTATGGAGCGTTTTGTGGTCATGGAGAGAAAGACCAGAGAGAGAGAGAGAGAGAGAGAGAAAACACAGAGAGAGAGACCAGAGGGAAAGAAGAAAGAGACCAGAGTGAGACCAGTGAGGGACCAGAGAGAAAGAGACCAGAGAGAGAGAGACCAGAGAGAGAGAGACCAGAGAGAGACCAGAGAGAGAGAGACCAGAGAGAGAGAGAGACCTGAGCGAGAGACCAGAGAGAGAGAACCCAGAGAGAGAGAGAGACCTGCGCGAGAGCCCAGAAAGAGACCTGAGCGAGAAACACGAAAGAGACCAGAGTGACACCAGAGAGACACCAGAGTGAGACCAGTGAGACACCAGAGTGAGACCAGTGAGAGACCAGAGAGAGACCAGAGAGAGACCAGAGAGAGACCAGAGAGAGACCAGAGAGAGACCAGAGAGAGAGACCAGAGAGAGAGAGTGAGAGAGAGACCAGAGAGAGAGAGAGAGACCAGAGAGAGAGAGAGAGAGAGAGAGAGAGAGAGAGAGAGAGAGAGACCAAAAAGAGACCAGAGTGATACCAGAGAGAGAGAGAGAGAGAGAGAGAGAGACCAGAAAGAGACCAGAGTGAGAACAGAGAGAGGACTGTGATCTGTCTGTTCTGGAGGTTCTTTATGAATCCATACTTTTAAACCGAGCTTTTCAAATAACCAATGACTCTTCTGGCTCCTGGAAAAGCCATGTTCCAGCTTCTTCTCTCTGGCAGAAGATGGCTGAGAAGCAGCACACATGGTTTTGCTAACTTCATATTTACCAATTTCGTACTTTTCCCGTCCTATACAAAACGCTGGCCAATACTCAAAGTAAAGAAATCAGACAAAGTGATCGGGCTGTGTAACATTCATGTAAACACGATAATGTGCAATGGTTTTTTTTTCTAACGGCAAACATCTGACAGCGATAAGGCGTTCCATCAGCTGTCTTGCGTTTAACTTCCCTCTCTCCCCGTCAAGGACTCCTGCCTGGGTTCCTTTGCTCACACCAGACACGTCCCTCCCTGAGTGGCAGCTCCTCACTCCGGCGGCACACAATGAAACACTCGACTGAGCTAATTTTAAGAGAGAGGGGGAAGATGCATGGAGGACAACAAGCTAGGTGGAGGGGCTAAAGAGAAAGAGACCTGAGCGAGAGAGAGACCAGAGTGACACCAGAGAGACCAGAGTGAACCAGTGAGACACCAGAGTGAGAGTGAGAGACCAGAGAGAGAGAGACAGAGAGAGACCAGAGAGAGACCAGAGAGAGAGAGAGAGAGACCAGAGAGAGAGACCAGAGAGAGAGAGAGACCAGAGAGAGAGAGAGAGAAGGAGAGAGAGAGAACAGAGAGAGGACTGTGACCAGATCTGTCTGTCTGTTCTGGAGGTTCTTTATGAATCCATACTTTTAAACCGAGCTTTTCAAATAACCAATGACTCTTCTGGCTCCTGGAAAAGCCATGTTCCAGCTTCTTCTCTCTGGCAGAAGATGGCTGAGAAGCAGCACACATGGTTTTGCTAACTTCATATTTACCAATTTCGTACTTTTCCCGTCCTATACAAAACGCTGGCCAATACTCAAAGTAAAGAAATCAGACAAAGTGATCGGGCTGTGTAACATTCATGTAAACACGATAATGTGCAATGGTTTTTTTTTCTAACGGCAAACATCTGACAGCGATAAGGCGTTCCATCAGCTGTCTTGCGTTTAACTTCCCTCTCTCCCCGTCAAGGACTCCTGCCTGGGTTCCTTTGCTCACACCAGACACGTCCCTCCCTGAGTGGCAGCTCCTCACTCCGGCGGCACACAATGAAACACTCGACTGAGCTAATTTAAGAGAGAGGGGAAGATGCATGGAGGACAACAAGCTAGGTGGAGGGGCTAAACCAGATAGCATGGAGGGGGATAGAAAAAATAATTAAAGCTGAAATAGAAGTAAGGAGGAGCGGAGAGAAAAGAGTGGCAAATGTAATTAAAAAGGATACGACGTCTCGCAAACCGACTGAGGTGCCTTAGTTGTGGCTAAGTGCACAGAGAATGGCGGATTGTTCTACGGCTGCTGTGACTAATGGCAAAATCACTGCGGTGTAAAATAGAAATTTCAGACTTGATTAATTTATGTATTTATGGACGAGGTCGCGTTTTTCTTCTTCCTCCTAAGGATAATTTGGCTAAGCGTGTTGCTGCGCTCTCAAATTGGTCCAAGTTTTGTGTGAATCTGGTGGAGGCAGTAAAAGGGAGAGAGCAGAAGAGAACAGAAGAGAACAGAGAGAGACCAGAGAGAGACCAGAGAGAGAGACCACAGAGAGACCAGAGAGACCAGAGAGAGACCAGAGAGAGACCAGAGAGCGAGAGACCAGAGAGAGACCAGACAGAGACCAGAGAGCGAGAGACCAGAGAGAGACCAGACAGAGACCAGAGAGAGACCAGAGAGCGAGAGACCAGAGAGAGACCAGACAGAGACCAGAGAGAGACCAGAGAGAGAGAGACCACAGAGAGACCGGCGGCTGCTGGAAACAGCTGCAGTGAACTGAATATTTACTGAACTGAATATATTTGATTCTTTTCCGTGTTTTGGTGCAATGAGTCGGACAGCGGCCGATGCTTGATGCTCACTTCAACTATTTCATCCTCTCTGATTTTAATATGACACATTTTATTTTCAATTTCACTTACAGATGTGATAACTCAGATCTCAGCAATGTCACTGTTTATACTACTGTATATTCAAGAACACATAAAGTTAAATACTACTGTATATAATGCTTCCCCTGGATTGGTGTTTTCAGGTTCAGTCCCTGTGCACACGCTCATTTTTTAACAACAGGGTTCAAAGGTTCAAAACATATAGTTGTAAATGTTTTCGTTGTGATACAAAATAGCAGCAATGGATAAAGCGGCAGAAAATGGACGGATCTAATGGAGGAAGCTTCAGACCCACATTTATGTATTCACTGTTTTTCTTATCATTTTATTATGTCATGTATTTCAATATGGATACATGATATGTGATTGTAAAGAATGTTATTTTCACCTGAGAAATTACCAAGACTGATTAGGGGGCAGTTTTTTTTGTTTTAAAAGGCAGAAAACTGTTCTCAGCATGACGTCATAGTGGTACAGTGACATCATACTGTTCACATACATGTGCAGGGCAAGGCCTGGTTAGTGCTGTGATGGGAGACCTCTGGGAACACCAGGTGCCACAGTGGGGCGGCTGCGGCTGTAAAGTGCCAAACTGTCATCGTGTCCTTAGACAAGACACTTCACCCACATTAGAATGAGTCTGGTGTGTGTGTGAATGGTTGGTGGTGGTGGGAGGGGCCGATGGCACAGACTGGTTGCCTCGCTTCTGTCAGTGTGCCCCAGGGCAGCTGTGGCTACAGTAGTAGTTTATCACCACCGTGTTTGGAGAGAAAGAATAATGATGTGAAGAGACTTCGAGAGTCCTGAAAAGCACTATTATTATAACAACAGAACTGAGACAGGAGCTTTTAGAAATGAGGGTCAGAGTTACAAGTTTGAGCTGGAAGTTCCTGATATAATCATGGAGGGATCTAAAAACAAATCCTGTCTGTTTTTGACGTGGGACCCATGTTTTAACAGAGATCAAAAAAGATGATTTTGTGCATAAGAAACATTCAGCGAGGACCAGGAATCCCAGAGAGTGGAACCAGCAGCAGGGAGCCTTACCATCGATGGGAGCGAGGATGACCCGCGAGTGGTCGTAGGCGATGACGTTAGCGTAACGATTCTTGGGCTTGTTCACTTCCAGATTGGAGTGCTCCCAGGTGAACTGCTGGCCCGGATCGATGGACTGAACGGGGAGGAGAAAATAAAGGTCAGTACTAGAGAGTGACCAGAGAGAGACCACAGAGAGACCACAGAGAGACCACAGAGAGACCAGAGAGAGACCAGAGATAGACCACAAAGAGACCACAGAGAGACCAGAGAGAGACCAGAGAGAGACCACAAAGAGACCACAGAGAGACCAGAGAGAGATCAGAGTGGGACCAGAGAAAGACCAGTGGGACAGACCAGAGAGAGAGACCAAAGAGACTAGAGAGAGACCAGAGAGAGACCAGAGAGAGACCAGAGAGAGACCAGAGAGAGATCAGAGTGGGACCAGAGAGAGACCAGAGAGAGACTAGAGAGAGACCACAGAAAGAGACCAGAGAGAGTCCAAAGAGAGACCAGAGAGAGAGACCAGAGAGAGTCCAAAGAGAGACCAGAGAGAATCAGTAAAGCTTGCACAGACATATTTATCCAAATTCATTTCCACATTACAAAAACTGCTAAGATTACGCACATTCAACAGCTGTACGCGACTGTATCCGGATCAATAATACACTGTCGCTAATGCATAATGGCTCAAAACAATAATGATGGAGGCGGCGGCTTTCTGTGCCTGGAGCGGAGAGAGAGGAACCCTCTTTTTGCATTCTTATGATTACATATAAATATTCAAACGCCTCGTCAAGTTTATTTAGTATCACATTACCAGGCATTGTTTGCTCACAGGCGACTAGCACAGAGAGAGACCAGAGAGACTAGAGAGATACCTGAGAGACTAGAGAGAGACCAGAGAGACTAGAGAGAGACCAGAGAGAGACCAGAGAGAGACTAGAGAGAGACCAGAGAGACTAGAGAGATACCTGAGAGACTAGAGAGAGACTAGAGAGAGACCAGAGAGAGACCAGAGAGAGACCAGAGAGAGAGACTAGAGAGATACCTGAGAGACTAGAGAGAGACTAGAGAGAGAGACCAGAGAGACCAGAGAGAGACCAGAGAGAGACCAGAGAGAGACCAGAGAGAGAGACCAGAGAGACCAAAGAGACTAGAGAGAGAGAGACCAGAGAGAGACTAGAGAGAAAGAACAGCAGAGAGAGACCAGAGAGAGACCAGAGAGAGACCAGAGAGAGACCAGAGAGATACCAGAGAGAGACTAGAGAGAGACTAGAGAGAGAGACCAGAGAGACCAGAGAGAGACCAGAGAGAGACCAAAGAGAGACCAGAGAGAGACTAGAGAGAGACCAGAGAGAGAGACCAGAGAGACCAAAGAGACTAGAGAGAGAGAGACCAGAGAGAGACTAGAGAGAAAGAACAGAGAGAGACCAGAGAGAGACTAGAGAGAGAGAACAGACAGAGAGACCACAGAGAGCTGTGAGAGACCAGAGAGAGAGACCAGAGAGAGACCAGAGAGAGAGACCACAGAGAGACCAGAGAGAGACCAGAGAAAGAGATCAGAGAGACTAGAGAGAGAGACCAGAAAGAGACCAGAGAGAGACCAGAAAGACCACAGAGACTCGAGAGAGACCAGAGAGAGACCAGAGAGACCACAGAGAGACCAGAGAGAATCCAAAGAGAGACCAGAGAGCGGACTATGATCCGTCCTGGTCTGAGATGGTTCTTTGTGAATCCAGACTCTAAACCGAGCTTTTCGAGATAGAATCACTGACATCTCTGAGTCCCCGAAAAAGCCTTGTTCCAGCTTCTTCCCTCTGGCAGAAGATATTGTTGGCTGAGACGCAGGACATCTGGTTTCGGTAACTTGTATTGAAACCGTTTTAGTTGATCTATTTCAGAATGACAAGCGTATTTCTTTTATTTCAGTACTTGTTTTGTGCACACTGGGGACTTTTGCGGATCTATTCTAATGGGGTTTTACTGCAAATGGCAAACTAAATGAATCTCAGACTGTGTGGACTGCAGTGTGGATAGAGGACATTAGCTCTATATGAAATCCAACTGGAAACCCGAGTGGGCAATTTGCAACTAATCATTATAACAATCAGGCCTCTCCCTCAGTTTCAGGCTCTATCTTCCTCCCTTTGCACAATCGCTCTCCTCGCCTTCCTCTTTCGGTGCGCTTGTTTTCCTTATCTCATTCTGCGGATCATCTCCTGTTCAAAGGCAGACATGTCCTTATTTCTTCCACACTATCTCATCTCCATCTGTCTCTGATGTTCGCACCACTCTCTGCAGCGGTGTGGATCTACGCGGCTGCATTCCGTGGTTGTGTATTGTGTGAGACTAGAGAGAGAAACCAGAAAGAGACCAGAGAGAGACCAGAGAGAGACCAGAGAGACACCAGAGAGAGACCAGAGAGACACCAGAGAGAGACAAGACAGAGACCAGAGAGAGACCAGAGAGCAGACATTCGTATTTTCTTCCACACTATCTCATCTCCATCCGTCTCTGATCTTTGCACCACTCTCTGCAGTGGTGTGGGTCTGCGCAGCTGCATTCCCTTGTTGTGTGTTGTGTGTGTGTTGTGTGAGACTACACAGAGACCAGAGAAACCAGAGAGAGAGACCAGAGAGAGACCAGAGAGAGACCAGAGAGAGACCAGAGAGACCAGAGAGACCAAAGACAGACCAGAGAGAGAGACCAGGGCAACTAGAGAGAGACTAGAGAGAAACCAGGGAGACCAGAGAGAGACCAGAGAGAGATCAGAATGGGACCAGAAAGAGACCAAGAGAGACCGGAGAGAGAGACCAGAGAGAGACCAGAGAGAGACCAGAGAGACCAGAGAGAGACCAGAGAGAGAGACCAGGGCGACTAGAGAGAGACCAGAGAGAGAGACCAGGGCAACTAGAGAGAGACTAGAGAGAAACCAGGGAGACCAGAGAGAGACGAGAGAGAGATCAGAATGGGACCAGAAAGAGACCAAAGAAAGACCAGAGATAAACACCAGAGAGAGACTCCAGAGAGACCAGAAAGAGACCAGGGAGAGATCAAAGTGGGACCAGAGAGAGACCAGAGAGAGACCAGAAAAGAACAGAGAGAGATCAGAGAGAGACCAGAGAGAGACCAGAGAAAGAGACCAGAGCGAGACCAGAGAGAGACCAGAGAGAGACCAGAGAGAGACCAGAGAGAGACCAGAGAGAGACCAGAGAGACACCAGAGAGAGACCAGAGAGAGACCAGAGAGAGACTAGAGAGAGACCAGAGAGACTAGAGAGAGACCAGAGAGGCAGACATGTCCTTATTTCTTCACACTATCTCATCTCCATCCGTCTCTGATCTTTGCACCACTCTCTGCAGCGGTGTGGGTCTGCGCGGCTGCATTCTGTGGTTGTGTGGTGGGATTTTGAAAGAGAATTTGGGTCAAACTAATACAATTGTAGATATAACTAGAAACTTGCAATGGCTGAAGCCATTGCGATTGACTGCGGAACAGATCTAATGTGGAAATCTGCTAAAAAAAATCCTTGAAATCCTTTAAAAAGCCTTGAAACTGTTAAAATACTTGATAGATATTTGAAACTCCTGAAGTCCTTGAAATTGTTGAAACCTTTAAACTCCTGAAATCCTTGAAACTGTTGAAACATTGAAACTCCTGAAATCCTTGAAACTTTTTTAAACCTGGAAACTGTTGAAAGTGTGGAAACTCCTGAAATCCTTGAACCTCCTGATATCCTTGAAACTGGTTAAATTCTTAAACAGCTGAAATCCTTGAAACTACTGAATGTATTGAAAGTGTCCTTGAAACTGAAAAATCCCCTCACCGCTGAAACAATTTGGTTCCTGTAACTAAGGAAACCTGGTCTGTGGTCATTATCTGGTGGTGGTCTGAGTCTTCGTTTGGGTCTTGGTCTGGTGGTATAATGCAACCTATTAGGTTGCATTATACATGAAAAAACCCTATTAAGTTGCATTATACTGGTTTACATGAAAAAAACCCTATTAAGTTGCATTATACTGGTTAACATGAAAAAACCCTATTAAGTTGCATTATACTGGTTTACATGGAAAAATCCCTATTAAGTTGCATAATACTGGTTTACATGGAAAAATCCCCATTAAGTTGCATTGTACTGGTTTACATGGAAAAATCCCTATTAAGTTGCATTATACTGGTTTACATGTAAAAAAAAACCCTATTAAGTTGCATTATACTGGTTTACATGGAAAAATCCCCATTAAGTTGCATTATACTGGTTTACATGAAAAAAAACCCTATTAAGTTGCATTATACTGGTTTACATGAAAAAACCCCTATTAAGTTGCATTATACTGGTTTACATGGAAAAATCCCTATTAAGTTGCATAATACTGGTTTACATGGAAAAATCTCATTAAGTTGCATTATACTGGTTTACATGAAAAAAACCCTATTAAGTTGCATTATACTGGTTTACATGGAAAAATCCCTATTAAGTTGCATTGTACTGGTTTACATGGAAAAATCCCTATTAAGTTGCATTATACTGGTTTACATGAAAAAAACCCTATTAAGTTGGCATTATACTGGTTTACATGTAAAAACCCCTATTAAGTTGCATTATACTGGTTTACATGGAAAAATCCCTATTAAGTTGCATTATACTGGTTTACATGGAAAAATCCCTATTAAGTTGCATTATACTGGTTTACATGGAAAAATCCCTATTAAGTTGCATTATACTGGTTTACATGGAAAAATCCCTATTAAGTTGCATTATACTGGTTTACATGGAAAAATCCCTATTAAGTTGCATTATACTGGTTTACATGGAAAAATCCCTATTAGTTGCATTATACTGGTTTACATGTACAAATCCCTATTAAGTTGCTTTATACTGGTTTACATGTAAAAACCCTATTAGGTTACATTATAGTGGTTTACATGTAAAAATCCTTATTAAGTTGCATTATACTGGTTTACATGTAAAAACCCCTATTAAGTTGCATTATACTGGTTTACATGGAAAAATCCCTATTAAGTTGCATTGTACTGGTTTACATGGAAAAAACCCTATTAAGTTGCATTATACTGGTTTACATGGAAAAAAACCCTATTAAGTTGCATTATACTGGTTTACATGTAAAAACCCCTATTAAGTTGCATTATACTGGTTTACATGGAAAAATCCCCATTAAGTTGCATTATACTGGTTTACATGAAAAAAAACCCTATTAAGTTGCATTATACTGGTTTACATGAAAAAACCCTATTAAGTTGCATTATACTGGTTTACATGGAAAAATCCCTATTAAGTTGCATTATACTGGTTTACATGGAAAAATCCCTATTAGGTTGCATGATTACACTGAAGTCCTTGAAACTGCTGAAGTCCTTGAAACTGCTGAAGTCCTTGAAACTGCTGAAGTCCTTGAAACTGTTGAAGTCCTTGAAACTCTTGAAATCTTGAAACTGCTGAAATCCTTGAAACTGTTGAATCCTTGAAACTGTTGAATCATTGAAACATGTAGAAATGTCTGAAAGAGCTGAAGTCCTATTAAAATGCATGGGCCTATTAAAATGCATTGCAGAATTCTCAATGCAGATTTTTGTCCGATTGCGGAAAAACCGGAAATCGCTGAAGTCCCAAAAGTAATAGCAATAATCTCCCAAACATGTGGAACGTTTTGATGTATAACTTGTGGAAATTGTTGAAAATGTGAAAGCTGTGAAACGTGTCAAAAAAAATGACGGAATAAAGAAATACAAAACCAATGGTTGACTGCGGAAGGTTCCGCAGTCAATCAAAAATGGTGGTGGTTCAAAGAAAGCGTGAAGTTTGGGTTTGGAATGATAATATTTATGACATGTTTCCAGCTTTTTTCTCTTGTCTCTTTATGATGCGAGGAGTTCAAGGATAAAGGCAAAAACCGAGAGATTCCACTTCATTGTTGATTGGTCACTGTTTTTATAAATGATTATTCCTGTCTTTGTATCAACAACAATTCTAAATTCGACTTATAAATGACCCTTACATCTTTTTGTAGCAGTAGTAGTAGTAGTAGTTGCAGTAGTAGCAGTAGTTGCAGTAGTAGTAGTAGTAGTAGCAGTCGTAGCAGTAGTAGTAGCAGTAATAGTAGCAGTAGTAGTAGTAGTTGCAGTAGTAGCAGTAGTAGTAGTAGCAGTAATAGTAGCAGTAGTTGCAGTAGTAGTAGTAGTAGTAATAGCAGTAGTAGTAGTAGTTTCAGTAGTAGTAGTAGTAGTAGCAGTAGTAGTAGTAGAATCAGTAGTAGTAGTAGTAGTAGTTGCAGTAGTAGTAAAATAGTAGTTGCAGTAGTAGTAGCAGTAGTAGTAGTAGTTGCAGTAGTAGTAATAGTAGTAGTTGCAGTAGTAGTAGTGGTTGCAGTAGTAGTTGCAGTAGTAGTAATAGTAGTAGTTGCAGTAGTAGTAATAGTAGTAGTAGCAGTAGTAGTAATAGTAGTAGTAGCAGTAGTAGCAGTAGCAGTAGTAGTAGCAGTAGTAGTAGTAGTTGCAGTAGTAGCAGTAGTAGTAGTAATTGCAGTAGTAGCAGTAGTAGTAGTAGTAGTTGCAGTAGTAGCAGTAGTAGTAGTAGTTGCAGTAGTAGTCGTAGTAGTAGTATTTTTATTTTAGTTTTACAATGTATTTTTTACAGGAACTAATAATTTAAGAAACAGCTCAAAAGCTCTTATCGCTGCCTTTCCCTGTTTTCAAAACTACATTTAACGACTGCAAAAAGATTCAGATTTTCACGTGACTTTCCTGATTTTTGCCATCTTCATCATCTTCATCTTTCTGTGTGTCCCCAGATAACAGTTGAACATGTACAAATCATATTTGACCTTTCCTAAACAAAAGTTTAAAGTGGATTTATTCTTAACTAAATTAAAATATATTGATGTGATAATCAAAGAGCAGGAAGGGTCTTCCTTCGGGTTGCCAGTTTCTTAAATTCGCAAAAACGCAAAAATAAGTAATCATACATAATACACAGAGTTTATCCAGTGTCCTGCTAAACCCCAACAGGTGGATAAAGGTAGGGCAATTAGTCCTCTGCATTTGACCCTGATGCCGCTGGGCGTCTGTCAGGAGCAGTAGTCACCGTAGTAACAGCGCCCGGGAACCCATCTACAGATGTTGAGTCTTGGCTTGGTCATTGTACACAATTGTACATGTTTTTAGTGGTAGGGGAAACCTACACAGACATGGGGAGAACATGCAAACCCCACTCAGAAAGACCCTGTTTGACTGGGATTCGAACACAGGACCTTCTTACTGAGAAGAGAGACTGCTAACCACTCAGCCACTGTGCTGCCCATCTCTTATCGGTAACATAGACTTTAGTAATGACTTCATAAACGCAGAGAGAGCACGTATGTACATTAACCCAGTTTACATTTATAACACTTACTCACGAAGAGTAAAATCATATCCTGTTTATGTTTTTATCATAGTGTGTTGCATTTTAAACGGGCGACAGTAGCTCAGTTGGTAGAGCATTGGCCTTAAGCCCAGAAGGTCGTGGGTTCAATTCCCACCTCTGCACCTTCTCCACCGACTCCCACTGATGACTGCTGTCGTTGTGTCCTTGGGCAAGACACTTAACCCCACTTTGCCCAAAGCCCCCGCTGAAAGATCAAGGCTATGCTCACACTCAGAGAGCAGCCGTCCTCCTGTGGACTCACCACCTGCAGAGGGTCAGTGAGGGGCTGGTGCTATGAGACTTGGGTGGCATCTCTGACTGCCACCCCCCTGACCCAGAAATGGATTAAAGGGTAGAAAATGGATGGATGGATGGTGTTGCATTTTATAATTGCTTGAACAACTGAAGTGAGATTCAGAATTGATTTCATCCAAAGGTCCAACGTAAAATAAAGTCTGCTGTGGAATGCACTCTTTGAAGTCCTGGACTCTGGAAACTGAGTGTTTTGAGTCTGGTCCAGTCACAGTCCTGTTCTCAGTCCTGGTTTGTGCAGAAAGATTGAGGTCACTTCGAGGAGAACTCAGTCAGAACCAAAATTAAGAGCAGCGCATGAGTAATATTTGCTCTGCTCGTGGGCCGCCAGATCTGTGGAACTACTCTGACCGGGACGCATTTTCAATTTGCTCCAATAATGCATCAATTTCTCTCTGGGCTGTGATGAGGGAGCGGGGTCTGTGATGAGGGAGCGGGGGCTGTGATGAGGGAGCGGGGTCTGTGATGAGGGAGCGGGGTCTGTGATGAGGGAGCGGGGTCTGTGGTGAGGGAGCGGGGTCTGTGGTGAGGGAGCGGGGTCTGTGATGAGGGAGCGGGGTCTGTGGTGAGGGAGCGGGGGCTGTGATGAGGGAACATGGGCTGTGATGAGGGAGCGGGGGCTGTGATGAGGGAGCGGGGTCTGTGATGAGGGAGCGGGGGCTGTGGTGAGGGAGCGGGGTCTGTGATGAGGGAGCGGGGTCTGTGGTGAGGGAGCGGGGTCTGTGGTGAGGGAGCGGGGTCTGTGATGAGGGAGCGGGGTCTGTGATGAGGGAGCGGGGGCTGTGATGAGGGAGCGGGGGCTGTGATGAGGGAGCGGGGTCTGTGATGAGGGAGCGGGGTCTGTGGTGAGGGAGCGGGGTCTGTGATGAGGGAGCGGGGTCTGTGATGAGGGAGCGGGGTCTGTGATGAGGGAGCGGGGGCTGTGGTGAGGGAGCGGGGTCTGTGGTGAGGGAGCGGGGTCTGTGGTGAGGGAGCGGGGTCTGTGATGAGGGAGCGGGGGCTGTGATGAGGGAGCGGGGTCTGTGATGAGGGAGCGGGGTCTGTGGTGAGGGAGCGGGGTCTGTGATGATGAGGGAGCGGGGTCTGTGATGAGGGAGCGGGGTCTGTGATGAGGGAGCGGGGGCTGTGATGAGGGAGCGGGGTCTGTGGTGAGGGAGCGGGGTCTGTGGTGAGGGAACATGGGCTGTGATGAGGGAGCGGGGGCTGTGATGAGGGAGCGGGGTCTGTGATGAGGGAGCGGGGTCTGTGATGAGGGAGCGGGGGCTGTGGTGAGGGAGCGGGGTCTGTGGTGAGGGAGCGGGGTCTGTGGTGAGGGAGCGGGGGCTGTGATGAGGGAGCGGGGGCTGTGATGAGGGAGCGGGGTCTGTGATGAGGGAGCGGGGTCTGTGGTGAGGGAGCGGGGTCTGTGATGAGGGAGCGGGGTCTGTGATGAGGGAGCGGGGTCTGTGATGAGGGAGCGGGGGCTGTGATGAGGGAGCGGGGTCTGTGGTGAGGGAGCGGGGTCTGTGGTGAGGGAGCGGGGTCTGTGATGAGGGAGCGGGGTCTGTGGTGAGGGAGCGGGGGCTGTGATGAGGGAACATGGGCTGTGATGAGGGAGCGGGGTCTGTGATGAGGGAGCGGGGTCTGTGGTGAGGGAGCGGGGTCTGTGATGAGGGAGCGGGGTCTGTGGTGAGGGAGCGGGGTCTGTGGTGAGGGAGCGGGGTCTGTGATGAGGGAGCGGGGTCTGTGATGAGGGAGCGGGGGCTGTGATGAGGGAGCGGGGGCTGTGATGAGGGAGCGGGGTCTGTGATGAGGGAGCGGGGTCTGTGGTGAGGGAGCGGGGTCTGTGATGAGGGAGCGGGGTCTGTGATGAGGGAGCGGGGGCTGTGATGAGGGAGCGGGGGCTGTGGTGAGGGAGCGGGGGCTGTGGTGAGGGAGCGGGGTCTGTGATGAGGGAGCGGGGGTCTGTGGTGCTTGGAGCGGGGTCTGTGATGAGGGAGCGGGGTCTGTGGTGAGGGAGCGGGGGCTGTGATGAGGGAGCGGGGTCTGTGATGAGGGAGCGGGGTCTGTGGTGAGGGAGCGGGGTCTGTGATGAGGGAGCGGGGGCTGTGGTGAGGGAGCGGGGGCTGTGGTGAGGGAGCGGGGTCTGTGATGAGGGAGCGGGGTCTGTGATGAGGGAGCGGGGTCTGTGATGAGGGAGCGGGGGCTGTGATGAGGGAGCGGGGGCTGTGATGAGGGAGCGGGGTCTGTGATGAGGGAGCGGGGTCTGTGGTGAGGGAGCGGGGGCTGTGATGAGGGAACATGGGCTGTGATGAGGGAGCGGGGTCTGTGGTGAGGGAGCGGGGGCTGTGATGAGGGAGCGGGGTCTGTGATGAGGGAGCGGGGTATGTGGTGAGGGAGCGGGGTCTGTGATGAGGGAACATGGGCTGTGATGAGGGAGCGGGGTCTGTGGTGAGGGAGCGGGGGCTGTGATGAGGGAGCGGGGTCTGTGATGAGGGAGCGGGGTCTGTGGTGAGGGAGCGGGGGCTGTGATGAGGGAACATGGGCTGTGATGAGGGAGCGGGGTCTGTGGTGAGGGAGCGGGGTCTGTGATGAGGGAGCGGGGTCTGTGATGAGGGAGCGGGGTCTGTGGTGAGGGAGCGGGGTCTGTGATGAGGAGCGGGGTCTGTGATGAGGGAGCGGGGTCTGTGGTGAGGGAGCGGGGTCTGTGATGAGGGAGCGGGGTCTGTGGTGAGGGACCGGGGTCTGTGGTGAGGGAGCGGGGCTGTGATGAGGGAGCGGGGTCTGTGGTGAGGGAGCGGGGTCTGTGATGAGGGAGCGGGGTCTGTGATGAGGGAGCGGGGTCTGTGATGAGGGAGCGGGGTCTGTGATGAGGGAGCGGGGTCTGTGTGAGGGAGCGGGGTCTGTGATGAGGGAGCGGGGCTGTGATGAGGGAGCGGGGGCTGTGATGAGGGAGCGGGGGCTGTGATGAGGGAGCGGGGTCTGTGATGAGAGAGCGGGTCTATGTGAGGAGCGGGGGCTGTGATGAGGGAGCGGGGCTGTGATGAGGGAGCGGGGCTGTGATGAGGGAGCGGGGCTGTGATGAGGGAGCGGGCTGTGATGAGGGAGCGGGTCTGTGATGAGGGAGCGGGGCTGAGGGTGATGAGGGAGCGGGGCTGTGAGGGAGCGGGGTCTGTGATGAGGGAGCGGGGCTGTGGTGAGGGAGCGGGGTCTGTGATGAGGGAGCGGGGTCTGTGATGAGGGAGCGGGGTCTGTGATGAGGGAGCGGGGTCTGTGGTGAGGGAGCGGGGCTGTGATGAGGGAGCGGGGCTGTGATGAGGGAGCGGGGTCTGTGATGAGGGAGCGGGGTCTGTGATGAGGGAGCGGGGGCTGTGATGAGGGAGCGGGGCTGTGGTGAGGGAGCGGGGCTGTGATGAGGGAGCGGGGCTGTGATGAGGGACGGGCGAGGGGCTGTGATGAGGGAGCGGGGGCTGTGATGAGGGAGCGGGGTCTGTGATGAGGGAGCGGGTCTGTGTGAGGAGCGGGGGCTGTGATGAGGGAACGGGGCTGTGATGAGGGAGCGGGGTCTGTGATGAGGGAGCGGGGTCTGTGATGAGGGAGCTTGGGGCTGTGATGAGGGAGCGGGGTCTGTGATGAGGGAGCGGGGGCTGTGGTGAGGGAGCGGGGTCTGTGATGAGGGAGCGGGGGCTGTGATGAGGGAGCGGGGTCTGTGATGAGGGAGCGGGGTCTGTGGTGAGGGAGCGGGGGCTGTGATGAGGGAGCGGGGTCTGTGATGAGGGAGCGGGGTATGTGGTGAGGGAGCGGGGTCTGTGATGAGGGAACATGGGCTGTGATGAGGGAGCGGGGTCTGTGGTGAGGGAGCGGGGGCTGTGATGAGGGAGCGGGGTCTGTGATGAGGGAGCGGGGTCTGTGGTGAGGGAGCGGGGTATGTGGTGAGGGAGCGGGGTCTGTGATGAGGGAACATGGGCTGTGATGAGGGAGCGGGGTCTGTGGTGAGGGAGCGGGGGCTGTGATGAGGGAGCGGGGTCTGTGATGAGGGAGCGGGGTCTGTGGTGAGGGAGCGGGGGCTGTGGTGAGGGAGCGGGGTCTGTGGTGAGGGGAGCGGGGTCTGTGATGAGGGAGCGGGGTCTGTGATGAGGGAGCGGGGTCTGTGATGAGGGAGCGGGGTCTGTGGTGAGGGAGCGGGGCTGTGATGAGGGAGCGGGGTCTGTGATGAGGGAGCGGGGTCTGTGATGAGGGAGCGGGGTCTGTGGTGAGGGAGCGGGGGCTGTGATGAGGGAGCGGGGCTGTGATGAGGGAGCGGGGTCTGTGATGAGGGAGCGGGGGCTGTGTGAGGGAGCGGGGCTGTGTGAGGGCGGGCTGTGATGAGGGAGCGGGGCTGTGATGAGGGAGCGGGGTCTGTGATGAGGGAGCGGGGTCTGTGGTGAGGGAGCGGGGGCTGTGATGAGGGAGCGGGGTCTGTGATGAGGGAGCGGGGTATGTGGTGAGGGAGCGGGGTCTGTGATGAGGGAACATGGGCTGTGATGAGGGAGCGGGGTCTGTGGTGAGGGAGCGGGGGCTGTGATGAGGGAGCGGGGTCTGTGATGAGGGAGCGGGGTCTGTGGTGAGGGGAGCGGGGGCTGTGGTGAGGGAGCGGGGTCTGTGGTGAGGGAGCGGGGTCTGTGATGAGGGAGCGGGGGCTGTGATGAGGGAGCGGGGTCTGTGATGAGGGAGCGGGGTCTGTGGTGAGGGAGCGGGGGCTGTGATGAGGGAGCGGGGTCTGTGATGAGGGAGCGGGGTCTGTGATGAGGGAGCGGGGTCTGTGGTGAGGGAGCGGGGGCTGTGATGAGGGAACATGGGCTGTGATGAGGGAGCGGGGTCTGTGGTGAGGGAGCGGGGTCTGTGATGAGGGAGCGGGGTCTGTGGTGAGGGAGCGGGGTCTGTGATGAGGGACGGGGTCTGTGGTGAGGGAGCGGGGGCTGTGATGAGGGAGCGGGGTCTGTGGTGAGGGAGCGGGGTCTGTGATGAGGGAGCGGGGTCTGTGGTGAGGGAGCGGGGGCTGTGATGAGGGAGCGGGGTCTGTGATGAGGGAGCGGGGTATGTGGTGAGGGAGCGGGGTCTGTGATGAGGGAACATGGGCTGTGATGAGGGAGCGGGGTCTGTGGTGAGGGAGCGGGGGCTGTGATGAGGGAGCGGGGTCTGTGATGAGGGAGCGGGGTCTGTGGTGAGGGAGCGGGGGCTGTGGTGAGGGAGCGGGGTCTGTGGTGAGGGAGCGGGGTCTGTGATGAGGGAGCGGGGGCTGTGATGAGGGACCGGGGTCTGTGATGAGGGAGCGGGGTCTGTGGTGAGGGAGCGGGGGCTGTGATGAGGGAGCGGGGTCTGTGATGAGGGAGCGGGGTCTGTGATGAGGGAGCGGGGTCTGTGGTGAGGGAGCGGGGGCTGTGATGAGGGAACATGGGCTGTGATGAGGGAGCGGGGTCTGTGGTGAGGGAGCGGGGTCTGTGATGAGGGAGCGGGGTCTGTGGTGAGGGAGCGGGGTCTGTGATGAGGGACCGGGGTCTGTGGTGAGGGAGCGGGGGCTGTGATGAGGGAGCGGGGTCTGTGGTGAGGGAGCGGGGTCTGTGATGAGGGAGCGGGGTCTGTGATGAGGGAGCGGGGTCTGTGATGAGGGAGCGGGGTCTGTGATGAGGGAGCGGGGTCTGTGATGAGGGAGCGGGGTCTGTGATGAGGGAGCGGGGTCTGTGGTGAGGGAGCGGGGTCTGTGATGAGGGAGCGGGGCTGTGATGAGGGAGCGGGGGCTGTGGTGAGGGAGCGGGGTCTGTGATGAGGGAGCGGGGGCTGTGATGAGGGAGCGGGGGCTGTGATGAGGGAGCGGGGGCTGTGATGAGGGAGCGGGGTCTGTGATGAGGGAGCGGGGTCTGTGGTGAGGGAGCGGGGGCTGTGATGAGGGAACATGGGCTGTGATGAGGGAGCGGGGTCTGTGGTGAGGGAGCGGGGTCTGTGATGAGGGAGCGGGGGCTGTGATGAGGGAGCGGGGTCTGTGATGAGGGAGCGGGGTCTGTGGTGAGGGAGCGGGGGCTGTGATGAGGGAGCGGGGTCTGTGATGAGGGAGCGGGGTATGTGGTGAGGGAGCGGGGTCTGTGATGAGGGAGCGGGGTCTGTGGTGAGGGAGCGGGGGCTGTGATGAGGGAACATGGGCTGTGATGAGGGAGCGGGGTCTGTGGTGAGGGAGCGGGGTCTGTGATGAGGGAGCGGGGTCTGTGATGAGGGAGCGGGGTCTGTGGTGAGGGAGCGGGGTCTGTGATGAGGGACCGGGGTCTGTGATGAGGGACCGGGGTCTGTGGTGAGGGAGCGGGGGCTGTGATGAGGGAGCGGGGTCTGTGGTGAGGGAGCGGGGTCTGTGATGAGGGAGCGGGGTCTGTGATGAGGGAGCGGGGTCTGTGATGAGGGAGCGGGGTCTGTGATGAGGGAGCGGGGTCTGTGATGAGGGAGCGGGGTCTGTGGTGAGGGAGCGGGGGCTGTGATGAGGGAGCGGGGTCTGTGATGAGGGAGCGGGGTCTGTGGTGAGGGAGCGGGGTCTGTGATGAGGGAGCGGGGTCTGTGGTGAGGGAGCGGGGGCTGTGATGAGGGAGCGGGGTCTGTGATGAGGGAGCGGGGTCTGTGATGAGGGAGCGGGGTCTGTGGTGAGGGAGCGGGGGCTGTGATGAGGGAACATGGGCTGTGATGAGGGAGCGGGGGCTGTGATGAGGGAACATGGGCTGTGATGAGGGAGCGGGGTCTGTGGTGAGGGAGCGGGGGCTGTGATGAGGGAGCGGGGGCTGTGATGAGGGAGCGGGGTCTGTGATGAGGGAGCGGGGGCTGTGATGAGGGAGCGGGGTCTGTGATGAGGGAGCGGGGGCTGTGATGAGGGAGCGGGGTCTGTGATGAGGGAGCGGGGGCTGTGATGAGGGAGCGGGGGCTGTGATGAGGGAGCGGGGGCTGTGATGAGGGAGCGGGGGCTGTGATGAGGGAGCGGGGTCTGTGATGAGGGAGCGGGGTCTGTGGTGAGGGAGCGGGGTCTGTGGTGAGGGAGCGGGGTCTGTGATGAGGGAGCGGGGGCTGTGATGAGGGAGCGGGGGCTGTGATGAGGGAGCGGGGGCTGTGATGAGGGAACATGGGCTGTGATGAGGGAGCGGGGTCTGTGGTGAGGGAGCGGGGACTGTGATGATCCGGTCCGACGCTACGACTGAAACGGCTGCTAACGGCTTGACTTCTACTGAATACCTGGCAACCCCAGAGTATATGTGGCCTCCCAGGTGAAAAACATCTTTCAAACGGAAGATTATGCAAAGAATTGAATAAAAAAACAATCATAAACAGAATAAAGCACATCTTTTTACTGCAATGGAGAATTTTGATGGAAGTTCATGGAGTCTGTGGATCAGGACTTAGTAAAGTAGTTGAGATACAATTTATATTATAGAAATAAAATATATAATATCACAGCTGAAAAAAATTATCTAAACTAAACGATTTAGAACCAAATCTAAATACATGTCATATAAGACATGTCACTATAAGTCAGTAATGCACGAGGACTGAAGAACCTGCTGCAATTGCCACTTTTTAATGTACATAGAGTAGTTATCTGCAGTTCATCCAGAGTGATCATGGGCCTCTTATCTGCATCTCTGATCAGTCTTCTCCTTGTTTGAGTGGTCTGATACTCCTTCCATTTCAATGTAATTGCTTGCACAGTGCTCCTTGAGATGTTTAAAGCTTGGGAAATCTTTTTGTTTCCAAATCCGGCTTTAAACTTCTCCACAACAGTATCTCGGACCTGCCTGGTGTGTTCCTTTGTCTTCATGGTTCTCTCTGCACTTTAAACAGAACCCTGAGACTATCAAAGAGCAGGTGCATTTATACGGAGACTTGATTACACACAGGTGCATTCTATTTATCATCATCAGTCATTTAGGACTACATTGGATCATTCAAAGATCCTCACTGAACTTCTGGAGTGAGTTTGCTGCACTGAAAGTAAAGGGGCCGAATAATATTGCACGCCCCACTTTTCAGTTTTTTATTTGTTAAAAAAGTTTAAATTATCCAATAAATTTCGTTCCACTTCACAATTGTGTCCCACTTGTTGTTGATTCATGACAAAAAAAATAAAATTTTATATCTTTATGTTTGAAGCCTGAAATGTGGCAAAATGTTGAAAGGTTGAGTAAGGTTGAGATTACTTTCGCAAGGCACTGTAATTATATCCTCCACAGACTTTATTTAACCTTTAAAATGTTTTACACTTCTGTCTTTTTGCACAATCTGAGTGATTCTATCTGTGCTAATGTGACATGTACATTTCTCCATCAGAGATCAATAAATTCTTATCTCATCGTATGGGTGTCAAAGTCAGGCCCGGGGGCCAGATCCGGCCCGCGAGACAATTTTTAGTGGCTAGAATTAATTGTTATTATTATTAACTTGCAGCATTGATGGTAATGGGCGACCAAGGAAGGTTTTACATCATTTATTTTCTCAGGAAATGAACCAATTTTAATATATTCTAAAATTTTAACACAATAACACATCATTAGAAGTTAAATAGTTCTATATAAAATGTGTTTAACTTTATATTTGATCCAGTTTTGGTTCGATCTAAACAATAAACACATTTTGTTTTCGGAAAAATCAACCAGAAAATTACAGTGAAACTCATGTCACATTAAAGTTATGTTAAAATACATTCATAATGGAAAAAACTATGACAAGAAAAGGAAATCTCTTCTGTTGTTTCGGCCCCGACCAGTTCCTATTTTTTTAATCGGCCTCTGACCAAAATGACTTTGACACCGCTGTCTTATCTTATGCAAAGTGACATTTGCCAAACTTTTGTCTGTTATAATGTTGAAGATTAGAGCTGACTTTTGTTCTAGATGTGAGTCAATTATCAACATTGTAAATAGATAAAGGCTTGATAAAGGCTACGCTAGTGTAGATTAGCATTTACAAATTTTTTTTTAGATATTACATAAATATACAGATGCATGAAGCTGATACAGTAAATAGTTCAACAATAAATAAAATCTTATATTTTGTAAGATTTGTGTTTGTTATCTATCAATAAGATTAGATAGATTTTATTGATAAGATAGGATAGACTATATCAGGGGTGTCAAACTTATTTTGGTAGAGGGCCGAAAAAAAAAAAAGAAAGGGCTGGTCAGGGGCCGAAAAAATAAGTGGGTTTAATTTATTACATTTTTCTGGAATATGAAGGTGTCTAAATAAATGACTAATTTGACATTATAGATTGGATTTTTTATGATTATAATTAGTTCAGTTGCTGTGGACTGGACCAAAACTGGACCAAAGATTGAAGGTGTATAGGAGGATTTTTCTACTTTTGGGTGGATCATCAAGACGATTGCTCCTCCCAATTGTCAATCATTCTGGTGATTTGTGCTCGTCCAATAAGACCAGAGAGTTTTGTTCAAGAAGTGGAGAGGGCGGTCTTTCCTATGAAAATTGGGGAAGCCTCTTTCATACTTTTAAGAAGAAATGTAATTGTAACTCGTAAAAAAAAAAAAACATAATACTAACTTCTATTACATGTTGGCTTAACATTTCTTATGGAATTAAATTGTATGGTTGTTTTCTCTGTAATGGATTAGTAACATGCCATTGTTGCCTATGACCATTAACGCTGCTATTTAATATAATCATTTAAAATCATCTAAAGGGCCACTGGAAATGGTCTCGCAGGCCGGATCTGGTCCCCGGGCCTTGACTTTGACACTTGTGGACTATATTAATAAGATAGAATAGACTATATTGTTGAATAGACTGAAAAAATACAGAATCATATTGAATTGAACGTGCCCTGTAATGTGGCCTATGTATTAGATTTTAGATATAGATTCATATTTTTGCACATTTCTGTCTTTTTGCACGATCTGAGTAATTCCATCTGTGCCAAATGTGACATGTACTTCCCCAGTGTGAGATCTATATAGTTTATCTTATCAAGGTGTGTATAGTATATATAAATATACAGTATATCAGCAAATATATGGAAGAAGAAAATGTGATAGTGATCCCTGGAGCAGCAAAGAAGCACAAACAGTTGAAAACCCTTTAAACACAGAGCAGCAGATAAAGCCACCTTCCTTATTCCCATTCGGCTTTGAGCGTTAAGCAATCTTTTCCTCGTGGCCTTGCTCCAGCTGCGGTGCCCTCTCTCTTCCCGCTAAATCTTCATCATTAAGTGCGCTCCTCTACCTCATCTTTCTCCCTGGTCCTCTGCCTCCTCTGTTGCTTCTGCCCCAGCCTCCATCTCCTCCATCACAGCCTCACATCCCGCCTGCCTAAAAACCAATCAGTCAAAAAGCCCCGAAAGAGCCGCGCTTGGCAAACCCAGGCGCCTGGACGAGCAGCCATTCATCAAGAAAATAACAAAATTAAAATTACACTTCTCAATTTAATTTGGTCATTTATTTTTCCTGGGGGTGCTGTGCGTGTGACGGGTGTGTGTGTGTGTGTGACGGGTGCCGCGCTGAGAAAGAAAAAGGCAGACAATCTTCGCGAACGGACGCAAAAAGTGCAAAGTAATTCAAAGTTTAGGTTGGAAGCGTCTGCCACAGTCTTTGCGGGCTGAGAACAAGCTCGTCCATTTGCAGTGTGGATTTATGAATTATAGATACCAAAGGAAATATTCAATTGCTATGAGAAGTCGTTATGCGTCTGACCCAGAGGCATGATGGGAGCAATCTCTGGCTCCATGTACCTCGGGCCCAGAGCGAAGTACAGCACAGCGACAGGCGGTGATTTAGCGACGGCAAAAGCGGGATATTGCTTGTATGCAAACGAGAGCTGATTCAGCGCTCCTGATTTCTAATCAACTTGGGTGTCATTTATAATACGGCAGTCTCACGGCCGAGACAGCTCAGTCAGACCCACTACCCCCACTGCCCAAACACACATTACAGTCTGTGCTATGCCCTCGCCGGCCACCAGGGGGAGCCTTCTATGGCATGAGTAATGGAATGTAACCGTCTTGACACATAATTTAAGTTTGACATTTAAGAGAAATAAACAATTGTGGGTATTTACTAAAACGCTTATAGCTTTACACACAGAAAAACATCTACAGCCATTTTCTGACGATTGAAATGGAAATCTCGGAATCAGAATCATTTTAATTGCAATGTAAATAACAGGAAGTCACAGACGAAGAAATAGCTTTGGCTTTCGGTTCAAACAAGTCAAGAGTAGAGAAGGAATAAAGAATAATAAAACATTTCTAAAGTTTATAATGTTCTAAAATAAAACAAAATAAAAAAATAAAATCTGGCTCAAAAGTTAAAAACAGATTGTTAATAATCTGCTGAAGATGAACCAAAAAATCTTATTCTAAATCATATATCTGCCAGGGTATGTAAATTTAGGATTACAACTATGCATTTGTGTTTATGTTCTAAAGATTATCTTAAAACCATTTTGAAATAAAATACTGTTTATGTGTAATTATTTCATTCATTTAAATTATTTATAGTGAAAATCTTCTTTGCGATGACGAAACACGGCATCAAAGTATTAACGAGGCCGTAACGAATAGAAGGAGGCTGCTCTCTGACCTCACATTGAAAACACAATCATAGGAATATCCATAGTGTGAGGCTGAAGGGAAAAGAAAGGCCCTGACCTCATATTCCTGCGAGAGTTTGAGGTTGTCGTTGGCTTTGAGCAGCTCCGTGTGTTCAGCCAGCTCCGAGATGGGGATGGGAGGGTGGTTCATCATCCCTGCTCAGCGAGAACACAGAGAGAAACACCGTTAAAAAAGGCAAATACAATCATGAACAATAATGAACAACACATCATTCAGGGAGTGGTAGTGGTGAGGAAGCTGTGCTCAACTTCAAACGGATGCCAAGTCGTTTGTGTTATAGTTTGTGTTACAGTTTGCGTTACCGCAACCAGGCCAGAGCTCGAAACCCTAACGTAGCAGTGAATTATCTGATACAGCGAATGCAAACATCGGCCAAGTCTAAAAGCAGCTGCAGGAAAAGCAAGTTCACATCTCATACATCTTGACGGTCATTCATATTATGGAGACAGCATCGTTCCTGTTGCCGGGCAACCTTTAGCCTCCATTGTACGTGGCATGAAGCCCTGACCTGGCGTACTGTGAGGAGTGAGGTGACCACAAACCATAATTAAGTTGACAAGCGTGAGTGTTTGAGAGGGTGCAGAGCAAGCGACTGTGCCAGAGTCTGAAAATAAAGCAGGAATATGTTAGCGCTTAGAATATTACATTTATTTGTTTTGTTTGTGTGGATCATGGATCTATTATATTAACTGGATAGGGTATTACTAGCTTGGAGCTGAAGAACCCATGTGCTCGGGGGATTCTCACGGTACTGCAGACTAAACCAGACTAAATTCACGTGGGCTACCCAGAAATTTTCCCCATAGAACTCAATGTAAATTAAAACAGCACAACCTCAGCTGACAGAGAACCTGACAGCTTTGATAAATATCAGATTTTGTGGGGATTTTAGTGTCCTTTGTCATCCTGAACTTTTTTTCTTTTTAAATTCTTCGCTTTTCTTTAAATCCACACTTTAGTGCCACAAACTCTGCTCGTCTGGCTCCCGCCGTGTGTGTGTATGTATGTATGTGTGTATCTATGTATGTGTGTATGTATGTATGTGTGTGTATCTATCTATATATCTATCCATCTATGACTAGAAGCTGATTTCTTGTCATTTCATAAAAAAGCCGTTCACTAAAGTAACAATATTCACAAAGTGCTGTTGCCGCCGTCTGTAATCAACCCCGCGGTGCGCTGCGGTCGCTAATCCTGCGGTCGCTAATCCGTTCAGACGCGTGATGCTGGGCCGCTGTAATGGAGTATGCAGCTGCCACAGACCGGTGCTGGGTCCCTACATGTGGCCCCGGGACCACTTAACACTTTCATAGTTTATGGAGAGCCCCATTTCCCGCTGAGTGCAGGGGTCAGAGGTCATTACAACGCCAACATTGCTTCACAAAGACTGGACTTGGTTTAATTGAGCGTGAGATTGAGCCTAATCAAATTAAAGGGCTTCAAGTGTCTCGTTAATATCACGAACAGGGTCAAGGGTGTGTGGTGCAGGACTGAGTATGAGACGAGGTACTGAGCTCACTTTGGGATTTCATTTTGTTTTGTTTGTTGTTTTAGTTCAATTAAAGTAGAAATAAGTATGATTTTCATGTCAGATCATCATTAAAGCGCCTAATCTGTCATCATTAAAGGGCCCTAATCTGTCATAATAATAAACTGCTCTTTTCCAATACTTCTTTAACTGATAACAGTAGTTCAGAGATATTAGTATTAGGTAGTTCAGGGAGAGTGGGAGAGGCTGCAGTACCAACTCTTTAAATGACGGTGAATAAAGTCTGACCTACAGCTCATCAAACAAACAACATTAACATATATTTATAAATGATGCATCGGCACAGAAATCACAGATGCCCTTTAAAACAAATTGCCTAATTGCTTTCCTCTAAATTATCGTTATTTTGCTGTTGTCTTTTAATTAAAAGTCCTTAATACAAAACAAAGAAATCCTTGTAATTGAACGAGGATTCATTTTATGCAAAAACTGTTTGTTTGTGCTGTTTTCCACAGAGCTAACAAACCGTGACAATATTTGTGGCAGCTCTCAAGAAGTGTTATTAATCACTTCTGCCACGAGTCTTGGGCGAGATAAGCGCCGAGAAAAATAGCAAATTGAATTTTGTTGTGAGCTTTGAATTCAAAAGGGAAAGGAATCAAAAGCAAAATAAGAAATGTATGTAATTGGGGAGGTCCTGGCTTCTGCTCGAGACAGAACGAGAGCAGAGTGTTTGAGCCCAGATCAAAGACTTCTCTGTGCCGCGAATACATGAATCAGGAGCAATCGGGTGCTATCAGGAGCTTCTGGGTGCTATCATGTGCTATCAAGTGCTATCAGGTGGTAAAGGGTGCTAAAAGGTGCTAACGGGTGCTAAAAGGTGCTAACAAGTACTAACAGGTGCTAAAAGGTGCTAACAAGTACTAACAGGTGCTAAAAGGTGCTAACAGGTGCCATCTTGTGATACTGTATCTTTTCTTCTCTAAGGTGATGCTAGGTCTGCTCATTTTCACAGATGTTCTCACGGTTTGTGGTCAAGTGATTTTTTTTGGCACAAAACTGGGGAAAAGGGGTTTTTGTAAATAACTTTTTAAATGGAACGTGTCGCAAAAAGACTGGAAAAGATCTAAACTTATTTTATTGTTTGAGACGGAACTGTTTTTATAATCTGTAGATTTATCAAACCCTTGAAAAAAAGTTTGTTAATCTCAATGGGACTTTAGTGGTTAAAATATCTACAAGGTTTGGTTTTGAATAACTTTTTACTTAATTTTGACACATTTTATACAGGGCCTATTTTTTCACGAGCCAAAGCAACTTCCCAGTTATGATCATTCTGATTCTGAAATCTGGCATTGAGGATACAGACTTTCAATGCATTGTTTTAATACAACCAAATGTACAGTAAATTGTCTTTTTGTATCAATTCTGAACCTAAATAAAACATTCTACACCATTTTTGCCTTTGATGTCAACAATATACTAATGTAGAAAACCACCTTTAATGCGTATGTGTGTGTTATTATTCATTTGAAATATATATGCATAATATCAAAACATTATAAATAAGAAATATAATGTTTTTATTTAATTGTAGTGTTTTTTCTGGTATCTTCTCTGATCTATGTGGGTGATTTCAATGGTTTTGTTAAGTCTCTGAGATTTAGGGAAGTACAAGAATAAATTGTAAATAGTAAATTGTGTATTACTGTGTGTATATCATGCCCTGACTCATGTGCTATAGACTGTAAATCATGTTTATGCTGTTTTTCCATGCGTACATTTTCCAAATCCCATTCTTTACGGCTGTTTGTGTAAAACCTCTCTGTGAAATCTGTGTCTGTGTCCCTTGTTAAGCAATGTTACTCAAGGACAATTTCCATCTCAATGCTTTCAGAAGCCATGATTGTTTTCAAATTCCCCCCCAACATTTGCATAAATGTCTCCATCCCAATCAAGAGAGTGCTCAGTGAATTTTCCCATAACGAACGGCTGTTTAATTGCACATTTCCGATCCTTTCCCGTGCTTGGAATAGACACGTAAAAAAAATGTATTCTCGATAATGCAGCAAAGAGCCGTGTTTACCCAAAGAATATTTGTGATGCGTTTGTGTTTGCATATGAAAGGGAGAATTCAAACAGGGAAGCAGAAAGGGTGAGCCTCCGGTGGATAAAATTCAGAATTTAGAGGGTTTTGCAGCGAGCGGGGGAAAAGGAGGTTATCAAAGGCTGGGCCATTGTTTTCTAAAGCTCTAATTAATTTTGCTTGTTAGCGCAAAAAGATGTTGTTAGTTGGAAAATGCAATGGGAAAGTGAAGGAGTAGAGGAGGACAGAATAGAACGGCTGTGACCAAATCTCATCCCTGCACTTCTTATAGTTATAACGGGTGAGAGAAGAAAAGTGGACACACAAGATTTAGGCAAATTATATGCAAATATGAAAGCAAAACTAAAATATTGTCAAAGTTGGGGATGAAATTTGGGCACAGCAGGGTCACCTATTGATCCAGTATCTGTTTGTTATTATACAGTGAGTATGGGAGTCCAGGCTGAAGTGAATGTCGTCATAAAATAATACATTAGTACCAAATCATAAACTTGCATTGTGTGATAAAAATGAAGCAAATTCTCTACTCAACACTGGAGACAAGCAGGGGCCAGAGAACACACACAGGAACAAAACCCATAATAAAAAAAAGGGTTAGACTAACTTTCACCATTCAACTCTGCATCACTTTGTGGACTGCTTAGACCAAAGTCTGCAAGAAATATAGGAAAATATTGAAAGAAAGCGGCGTTTCAACAAAAGGCTGAAAAAAAGCATAACCTAAAGAAGCGTGAGAATCAATTGAATTCCAAACAATTTGAGTTAGAGCCTAATTTACGCCATCGTCCCACATTCACTCAAGGTGCGCTGCCATCTCCCGCCACACACAATAGTTATAGAGAAATTGATTTGCCATCTTCAAGCTTTAACAAACAGACGTCGGATCGAAACCGTCTCTCTGCGATGAATAAAGACGCAGGCGGAGAGGGGAGAAAACCAGCTTAAGTTTCCTGGTGAAGACAGACCGCTCAAGGAGACCATTGTCCGCGGATAAACCGGATTCTTCTTTGACGGCGGAGAAACTGATGGAAAGGCAAGGCTCCCAGGGAAAAGATGGAGATGGAGCAGAGGTAGGAAGGAGGATGTGGGAAAAGACTTGGGTCTTGGCAGATTTTGGACCAGAGACAGACCAGAGACAGACCAGAGACAGACCAGAGACAGACCAGAGACAGACAAGAGAGAGACCAGAGACAGACCAGAGAGAGACCAGAGACAGACCAGAGACAGACCAGAGACCAGAGACAGACCAGAGACAGACCAGAGACAGACCAGAGAGAGACCAGAGACAGACCAGAGACCAGAGACAGACCAGAGACAGACCAGAGACAGACCAGAGACAGACCAGAGACAGACCAGAGAGAGACCAGAGACAGGCCAGAGACAGGCCAGAGACAGACCAGAGACAGGCCAGAGACAGACCAGAGACAGACCAGAGACAGACCAGAGACAGACCAGAGACAGACCAGATGTGACAGAAGTGGCTGAGAGACACAGTTAGACTCTGAACTTGTCCCTGTTCCTTCTGTATTGTGTTATTTTGTATTTTATAGTATTGTATGTTGTCATTTCCTGTGTATTGTCCTGCCTATAGGGACTACGGTTGCAAGCTAGCATGGTAGCTATATTTACATTAGTTTTATACTGATGTTGACTAATGTGCATTGTCCCTATCAAAGCAATCAATAAATAAATATGAAGCGAGATATTTGTGTTGTTATTGTTTCCTATATTTATTGTTGTATTTTTGATTAACGCTGGAGTATCTCACTTTTTCCCCACGTCATAAATTTGTAAAAAATCCATGGTTTTTTCTCGCATCCGAAAGAAACTCATAAAACCAGACAATATTGTGCCGTATTTGCCTTCTTTGTAAATGTATTTTCTTTTGCATAAGTGTCAGAAATATCCCTGAGAGTCACTGTTTGACTCTTTGCGCTCTGAGTTGATTGGCTGAATGAGGGTCGGCTGGTTTTTACCCTTCTGTGTGAAAAAAATGATCTAAAAATGTGACAGAGGCTAAAAATAGGTTAAAGCTCCCCCTCCCCGCACTCACGGAGCTTTCGCCTCCCACTAAACCCATGGCAAATTTTACACCCATAAAAAGTTATCATCTCAAAAAGTACTAATGAGAAGCTATATTAACTGTATTCTGTGTAATTAAACTGTAATTATAAATATATATGTAATTAAATATGTATGTATGTGTCTGGCATTACCTATAACACTCACTTTGTGTTTTGTAAGAAAGTCTTTAAATTAAATAATAATAATAATACTAATAATGAAATGCAAACCCGGTCGTTCTGGGTTTATCGGAGAGTTTAACCACAGCAGCTAATAAGTATTAATTTATGTATTTTGATCGGCATGACCCTGGATTTCACCAATAAATACACACAAAGGCAATCTTCAGCTTTTCAATGGATACTCGAAGCCTATAATTACTCATGTGGTAATTGCGGAGCATTAAACTGGCTGTTTCCACGACAGGGCATCAGGAGCGAAAACGTGGAAGAAACCGTCTCTAATTGATTTGTGACAAAGACTAATTAAAGCTGCGGGGGGCGCTGTCTCTGCGTGTCGTTCATCTCAGTGGGAGGGCGCCAGATCATGTTTACGTGTGTGTGATTATGTGTGAGTGTTGACGGCAGCTGCGGCGGCTGTGGCGGCTTCTGTGGCTGCGGCGGTCCGTAGTAATCGTTCGAGGGATTATACCGCTATGGTTTTGTCTGTGAACTGCTTTGTTGTACGAGCCAATCATATTCTGTTTTGATTATGATCGATATGATTTTTATTATCAGTTAGTTTTTATTTCCTTTTTTGTTTTATCTTTTTATTTAATTATTTGTTTTATTTATTTTAATTATTGTATTGCTTTATCTTTGTATTAATTTTATTGTTTTATGTTTTTCATGTATATAGTTAATTGTTTGATTTTAATTGTTTTTTGAATTAATTGTCATTGTTTTTATTAAAGCTGGCAGACTTGTATATTTGTTTGTGTTTTATAAAATGTGCTATATAAATAAAGTGGATTGGATTGTAGTGCAAATAAAAAAAGGAATAATGTGTTGATTGACAAGAAATAAAAAATAGACATTATCGTTAGTATTTACATAATTATGATTATTCCTAAATGATAGCCTAGCTGTATCTATTCTTAACCTATATAATACTTTTCGACTGTATGTCTCAGAATCTTATAATAACATTCACGGTCACGGTTATTGCTCTCAGCCCAAAACATGACAAAGTGACTCCCTGTCATGGTGCAGATGTTATTTTTGTACTTGGATTTATATATTTTTTAATAAACTCTTAGCCTTGTTATTTATGTTCTTGTCTTGTTCAAACTGGGGACTTTTGCGCATGTATTCCAAAGGGGTTTTTACTGCAAGTAGCAAATGAACTGAATCTGAATCTAGAGTTTAAGATGAATTTGATGTATTTGTCAATGTCTTCTTTCTGTATTTTTGTTGGAATATATAACTCGACATGATGCAAATAAAATCTAGAGTTGAAAATACAACTCGACATTGCATACACCGCTTGCAAAGATTGAAAAGCAGACTATATTATTCATATTCCGCTGCTGATCCACAGATTATCTAATGGTCAGCACTCACACCGACGACATAAGTTTGAAAACATATAATACATGAAGCGTATAAAAGCTGCGGCAAATCGCTTTTGGCCGGAAATTGACAGTAAATGTCCACTGAGTCGTGCTGCTTCATTACTGTGCCCCATTTGACAATTAAACCCCAGGCGCCACTGCACATAACGGCCGAATGAGCCACTTAGCGCCCCCAGGAGTTATCGAATATCACTGCCAGCTCCGGCCTCAGACCTATCGCCTCAAAAACTCTTCCTCGTCACATTAGCCACACTTAGTTTATGGAGCTAAGCTAATCAAAAACATGTCGTCTGGTACCCGCAGGGCGAGCGGTCAGGGCCGGTGCAGCGTATGTGTTGCCAGATCCACGGAGGCCTGGGATAAGTGAGCTGGGAGTAAAGCTCGTTTGAACAATGTAGCTATTAGCTGATGGGAGGACGTTCGCGGATGCTCACCGGCCCACTTAATTGGTCCAAAATGGTCCATTCAAATTAAATTCCCTGCGTGCGGAGATAACAACATCATCCAATTCTGCGGTAACAATGGCGCGGCTGTTGAACGAGAAGACGTGTAGTGGTGGATTGGTGAAAGCAAAAGACATGGAATTTCTAATATTCAAAAAAGCAAAACAGAAAAAGAGGTGAGATGTGTGGATGGTGCAAGTCGGAGAGAGACAAACGCAGACAATGACCCTTTTTAACCTTGTCATTAAAGAGGCACTCCACGCAGCTGGCATACCAAGCAGACGGAGACGGGAAAGTGAACCACGGCAGAGAAATCCAATTGTGTAGCGGCTCCGTCTCTTCTCGCTGATGCAAGAGCGTTTGGACTTTTTTTTTTCTGTGAGGGCCTCTGTGGGTTTTTGGGAGATGGCTCGGTTTTTGAAACTCAAACCTTTTGATTGCGAGAGAGACTAGCCATGAATGACTGAGAGATGGATGACAGACAAAGTAAGCTCAGGGACAGCCAGGAAAAAACATGAGACAGAAAGATGCACTGAGAGCGAAAACAGAAACATTTGAGAGGTTTTTTGATACTGTTGTGATTTCACCGGAAAAAAAATGTGTTTTTATTTGAGTTGCACTGGACAGATATGAACAAAGACATGACCACAACTGTTTTTTGTCAAAAATAAAACCTTTTCTTAGTTTAAAAGGTATTGAGACCATGAGCCTATGAGCTTATGAGCCTATGAGACTATGAGACTGAGACTATGAGCCTATGAGACTGAGACTATGAGACTGAGACTATGAGACTGAGACTATGAGACTGAGCCTATGAGACTGAGACTATGAGACTGAGACTATGAGACTGAGACTATGAGACTGAGACTATGAGACTGAGACTATGAGACTATGAGACTATGAGACTGAGACTATGAGACTGAGACTATGTGACTGAGACTATGAGACTGAGACTATGAGCCTATGAGACTGAGACTATGAAACTGAGACTATGAGACTGAGACTATGAAACTGAGACTATGAGACTATGAGACTGAGACTATGAGACTGAGACTATGTGACTGAGACTATGAGACTGAGACTATGAGCCTATGAGACTGAGACTATGAAACTGAGACTATGAGACTGAGACTATGAGACTGAGACTATGAGACTATGAGACTGAGACTATGAGACTGAGACTATGAGACTGAGACTGAGACTATGAGACCGAGACTATGAGACTGAGACTAGGAGCCTATGAGACTGATACTATGAGCCTATGAGACTTTGAGATTATGAGACTACTTTATATGTTTTTTAAAGCGTCTTTGATTGTCCAAAAAAGCACCATATAAGTTTGATATATCATTATTATTATTATCATCATTATTAAACATTTGACAGAGGCCAAACATACATGTGAAAACTTGTAATAAAACTAAACTGGTTTGAGAAATAGCTAAAGTCAGATGGATTATAATAACATGGTTCTTAGTGCTTTGTTGTGGTTTGAAAGTTAGGTACTCCAGCTTTAACCCAGAACCTTTAACATGGGTCACACTTCTGTCTTTTTACACAATCTGAGTGAATCTATCTGTTCTAATGTGACATGTACATTTTTCCATTAGTGATCAATAAAATCTATCTTATCTTATCTTAACTTTATTGTCAGCACAAGTCCAAACAGTCTCGTCCAGGACCTGCTGAACTGTAAAAAAATGAATCCCTTTTGTCTAAGTTCTGGCATTCCTGAGCTTGTTGAAGGGGATACAAAAAAATCCACTTGAAATCCACTCTCAAATGAACTGTTGCAAGAAAAGCCGCGATCGTAATCTGACGTCTCACCTCCAGGAAGGCGTGAAAAGTGGGATTTTTCTTCCAAACTCCCTAAACAGCAGCATGCCTGACCTGGCGTTAAATGCATGGGGCCTGATTGTCGCGTGTAATGGCTCGGAAAAGCAGACAAGAGCAAGATGTCGTCCAGGCTTTAGGTGGCGATGCCTCGGAGAGTGAAGGATTGGATGTGTCTGTCTGTTCTTAACGCCGGGATTTAGCTCGGATAAGCATCGGATGGAGGTGAGAAGAGAAAGGACGGAACTCAAAAAGGAAAGGAAAATAAACCCGGTCTAATCATATCCTCTCTGCTGGTCGTGGTAAATGAGAAAATGTTAGGCAGGAGATAGAAATAAAACAGAATAGAAAAACATTTGAACGGATGAAATGTGATCAGGAATGTGGATATTCTAATCCAGGGGTGTCAAAGTCTTTTTGGTCAGGGGCCGATTAATAAAATAGGGATTGGTCGGGGCCAAAACAACAGAAGAGATTTCCTTTTCTCATAATAGTTTTTTACATTATGAAGGTATTTGAACATGACTTTAACGTGACATGAGTTTCACTGTTATTTTCTGGTTTATTAATCAGAAAACAAAATGTGTTTATAGTTTAGATTGGGTTAAAATGTTTGAATATATAGATAATTGGTCGATTTCCTGACAAAATGAACGATGTATAACCTTCCTTGGTCGCCCATTACCTTCAATACTGCTAGTTAATAATAATAACAAATAATTCCCAAAAATATTTCAAGTGCTGTTGCAATTTTTGTCCCATTCCAAGTGAGACATTTCTTGATTTGTCTTGTATCTGTTTAAAACAAGACATTTTTGCTCGTCCCCCATTGGCAAATCTTGTTTTTTTTTGTCAAAATAGATAGATAAGATATTGTTTTGCAGTGTACAAGCTTGTATTGTTCTATGTTGACTTGTAATGTCCCCATCAAATAAAAGAATAAATTAAATAAAATTAACTTTATCGTATAGATTTGTTTCTTGACTCGGTAAAAAGCCCTAATTTAGTAAATTCACAAACACACATAAGATGGAGGCCGTGGTTCTGGCTCATACCTGGCGTCTGGAAGTTAATGCGTCTCATTTCCACCGGGTCCGTGGGATGGTGCGGGGCGATGTCTGCGTTGTTCAGCAGACATTTAGTTCGAGGTTCGGATTCCTTTCTTTTACGGCTAGAAAACCACAACACAAAAACACGAGTGAATTTGCATAGTTTGGATGGACGTTGTCAAGGATCAAATCTACACTTCTACATGGAAATCCAAATCCGCTCAGATTTATGCTGAGCCGAGCGGTTTTACCAAAGTGCAGCCAGAACATACCTGTCAGGTTTGCTGTTTCCATAGAGAGCAATGGGAGTCAAATAAAGATGGCAAAAAGACAACACACAAGGAGAAAAGGGGGAGAGGAGAAAAAGGGGAGAGGGGAAGGGGAGAAGGGAAGAGAGAGAAATCAATAATGCACACTTTAAAATGCACAGGGGTCAGTGCTGGGCTCACAGACAGCACTGGGAGCTCATCAGGGCTCTGTGTGTGCTGCAAAGTAGTGTCAAGCCTTATTTATATGTTGATGCGTACATTTAAGTGTGTGTGTGTGTGTGTGTGAGAGTGTGTGTGTGGGTGGGTGGGTGTGTGTGTGTGTGTGTGAGTGTCAGGGCGGGCTCCGGACATAGATGGGGAGAGAAAGGGTCAGGGCCAAGGGCAGACCTGGGAAACACTATTGACCAGGGAGGAATGGCCGAGCGAGGTGAAGAGAAAGACAAGAGAAAAAGATCCAAGGAGAGATGTTACTCTCACAGTGACCAGCGACAGGGGGGGGGGGCAGGGGCAGACAGTCTGGGGGCCTCTGGGGTCCCGACACCGGCCCTTGCTCTGGGTCTAGTCGCACACGTTTCTACCATTTTGTCACGATGCTGAATTTCAAGCTTGAATTTCAGAATCAGAATCCTTTTTATTGCCGTGTAAGGAACAGGAAGTCACAGACGAGGAAAGGTTTGTCTCTCGGTGCAAACAAGCCAAGAGTAGAGAAGAATGAGGCATAATAAAACATTTCTGAACATTTCTAATGTGTAGCCTTTTCTAAAATATGAGAATTAAAAGTAAAGTTTGAAACTAACTAAGCTAAGCTGTAGCAACCACATCATTAAACTAGAATAATAAAGAGGGGGTGGGAGTTTAAAAGGCTTAACTTCACTTTCTATTATAGCCTTTTTATTGTACATATATCCTGAACAGACTATATTTTTAACCTTTAACATGTTTCTGTATTTTTGCACAATCTGAGTGATTCCATCTGTGCTATTGTGACATGTACATTTCTCCATCAGAGATCAATAAAGTTTATAACATCTTCTTCTCACTCCTTTTCCAGCTGGACTTGCCGTCACTCGATGTGGTTATTTTTGAAAACTTGGAAACTTGTGAAACTTGGAAAATTATAATATTGTTCAAAAGTTTATTATGATTTTTCATTATTATTTATTGCTTATGTGGTTGGGACAGTACATGTTAATGAACACATCACTCCGGATTGCAGCCATAGCGCTGATTTCCATCCGTTGTCCCACATTCACACTCACAAACACACACTCATTCACCCTGAACTATTGCACATGTTTTTAGTGGTAGGGGAAACCGTAGTACCCGGAGGAAACCTACCCAGACACAGGGAGAACATGCAAACTCCACTCAGAAAGGCCCTGTACCGACCGGGATTCGAACCCAGAACCTTCTTGCTGAGAGGTGAGAGTGCTTTCCACTCAGCCACAAGTTTGCCCAAGTTCATATACTGTACTTCTGTGATTTAAAAGCATGTGTCATAAAAATATCAGATATTATTAATAATGGACTTTTGAACAATATTCTAATGATCTGTGTTTATATAAAAAGCTTTCACGATTCTGTTTAAACACATCTCACACGATTTAACTTAACTGTTGGTTTTTGATGTCGGGCCTTTCACTAAAGAGACTCAAAAAAGGGAAATGACTCACTTTTTGTACAGAAGAATAGCGATGACGATGCAGATGATGAAGACCACAGCCAGGACTGGACCCACCACCCAGATCAGCCCGTCTCCTCCAGTCTCCACCGGGAGCGGATTATGGTGAGACTCAGGCGTCATTACTGTGTCAGTGTAAGGGCTCGTGGCAAAAATTTTCTGCAACAAAAAGGAACAATGTCATTTAAGTTTGTGTTTAAAGTAGAAATATGTAAGATGTTCATGTTTAGTTATCATTAAAGGGCCCTAATCTGTCATCATTAAAGGGCCCTAATCTGGCATTATTAAGGGGCCCTAATATGTCATCATGAAAGGGCCCTAATATGTCATCATTAAAGGGCCCTAATATGTCATCATTAAAGGGCCCTAATATGTCATCATTAAAGGGCCTTAATATGTCATCATTAAAGGGCCCTAAATTGTAATAATAATCAACTGTTCTTTTCCAATACTTCTTTAACTGATAACTGTAGCTCAGAGATATTTGAATTTCTAAATAACTGTTCCAGCCCCTGAATCTATTGTTTTCATTTCGATGTCCCGCCCTCCACCGTTTCACCAATCAGGGGGTCTGTGATCCAGGGGCCAGAACTCACCGTGTGGCGCTAATCTCACTGGTAAAGTACCATATGGCGCAGAACTAAAAAAGGTCTCGTTATGATTCTCAAATCATTAACGACAAAACAAGGAATAAAACCATTTATTTCTATTATTGATTTCTATCTTTGTGAAAAAGGTGTTGGTTTGACAAAACTCTTGTCTGTTCAGCTGTTATGGTCCCAGCTGGATTCCTCTGCATATCTGGCAACCTGAGTCAGGGAGAGTGGGAGAGGCTGCAGTACCACTTTTGGCCGCATTTTTACATACTGCTCCTTTAAGGGTATTGGGATTATGTGTGTACATGTGTTTTTTGTCCTGATGGAGAAACTTACCCCAGACGTGGCGTTGAGTTCAGCCAACAGAAAGAAGACATACTCCTGCGCTGGCTCCAGAGGCTTGTTCTCGCAGCTGCTGTGACGGTGGTCCGAGCCCACGGTGAAGCTGGGGGGCAGCTGTCTGAAACAAGCTGTGATGTACGGCTTATTCTGGTCAAGTTGGGCCAACTGACGCCGCGACCGCCGCTTCATGGTCACCTCCCGCAGCAGCTGAGGGAAGTGCAGCCTTCATTAAATCATATATACACTATTCATTTTACACATTTAATTTATCCCAGACCAAGGGGTTTATTAGCCTTTAAATTGCACTCACTGAGCTGAGACTAAAGGAAACAAATTGCTGGTGTGTCAGAGCCTGTATATTACAAAATAAATAAAAATCTGCTAACACTTGGCAAACTTCCATGTATCTGACGACGCCACACTGTTCAGGCACGGAGCAGAGGGAACGACTATAATCCTAAATCCAACAGGGACTCGCTGTTGATCTGCTGCTCAAGGTGACCTCGAGTCATGCAAGAGACACAGACTGTGTAATTCTGTCCCGTGCATGCTTCAGGGGACACATTAGCATCGCTGACATGTACCATAGAGAGCCCCAGTCTTCTACAACACAGTTCTGACAATTCTGTCTAAACATGTTTTTTCTTGGGATCTCAGTTATTGTCTATTGTCTGTTGAAAAGTTCAAATACAATTTGCTTCAAAAAGCACAAATCTACCTCTTCAATGTCCATCTCATCTGGATTCTTCAGGTTTTTGACCGTTCCTGAAGTGCGTTTCAAAGGGACCACAACCACATAGTATATTCTACAAACAAAACAAGACAGGTCAAATGCAATAAAACATAAATATGTGTCAGAATGGGATGAGAAACTGACTTGACATCCTTGCTCTCCACAGGTGGGAATAGCATAGTTAGCATGTTGTCTGGCTCTGCATAGATGTCCAGCTTGGGCTTCTTGAGGAGCAGCGGAGCCGTCCGGGCCACAACACGATGTCTCGGACCCCCGTCCACGCTCTCCTGGCAGGTGACCCTGAACTCATAAGTGCTGTTGGGCCTGAGGCTAGTTACTAGGACCCTCATCTGTCTGGCATCCACGTCCATTTTTTGGCGGTTGTACTCAATCTGTGGTAGTGTTGACAATTTTACAAACAGAGCCAAAATTTACTGTTAAATAAGCATTAGTGTCAACACTCACTGTGCACTTGTACGGAGATCTGCTGTTAGAAAACTTCCATGAAAGCACCACAGTGGTCTTTGTTGCCCACTTGACAGTGAAATTCTTCGGGACATCTGTTTAACAGAAAATTAAAAAAATTGCAAAACAAAAAAATTGTATTAATAAAATTCTTATTATTTAATATGGCTGTTAAATAGATTTAAACGATCATTTAAAAATGATATTCCTCTGCAAGGGTCTTCTTGGATGAAAAGTGATTTAACTGTGCTGTGATTGGCTGTGAGAAGGGCTTTGGTTAGGACACACATTAAACTCATGGATGACCAACCCATGGAGCCAGCGGACGTGGCAGTGCCAACCCTTCTCACCTCGTCCCACAACATAAGGCTGCCATTAACAACCGGCTTTTGTCAATATTATCGTCTCTTGGAGTTCAGAGTCGGGTTGCCACTGCCATCGTGCAGCACACTGGGCCGAGAGACAGACCAAAGACACAGCATGCTACAGTCCTCAGCAGTGCATCTGGGCCATGCCACAAGCTGTCTCATTGAAGAACAAGGGAAAGGGTGACAAGGAATCAAGAAGGAAGGGGATAGAGGTGACAGAATATCTCCAAACCAAAACAAATAACTACTGTCTGCTCGTTTACACTCAAAACCGCCTGTGACAGTCCTACCTGGTGGTCTACTGGGATAGAGAACTGTGTGAACGCTGGGCAAAGGACTGCTGGAAAGACTTCAGACCAAACAGCACTTACCTCAAACTTCTTCCACAAACTCAAAAAGGCTTACTAGACTTACTGACTGACCGGTGTTACCTGGTTGGGGTTAGTGAAGTGAGAATTCCACAGCAAACATGTTAAGTAATTTAGTTTCTGTTCTTGAAGTGAAGTGAAGGTAGTTGAAGGAGGGGGTGGGGTAGATTTCATTGTGGTTTTGTGTTTTATCCATTCGAACCCCTGTCAAGCAGACAGGAAGAGAAACAGGAAGCCCTACCTGTTGAATCAAAGGCCATCGTCCGATACTGCATAGGAGGGCTGAAGGGCCCTGGACCTACACTGGTGTGTGCACGTATTTTCACGTCATATGTCGAGTCGGGTTTGAGACTGTTGAGCACATAGGTGGACAGGTTGGGAGGGAGATGACGTTCTATCGCTGCTTCTCCAGTTCCAGCCTCTTTGTAGGCCAAGGTGTACTCAGTGATGATCCCGTTCCTCTCCGCCAGCACTGGAGGGGACCAGGACACTTGAACCGAGCAGCATGTCACGTTTGAGCCCTCATTTATGTGGGGGTACCCTCCTGGTGAATTCTCTGGGACATTAAGTTCCACTACGGTCTCGTCCCCGAAGCCCCCCCTGCTCTTTGCTGAGATTTTAAATACGTAGGCTGCTCCTCTGTGTATTTTGCCAACTAGGTACTCTCGCTCTTGAGAAGCAAATTCTAATGTGGCGAGAGGTACAACATCTTTCCGTCCAAATTGGAGTCGGTAACCTTGTATGTCCATTCCATTGGTCAGGTCTGGAGGGTCCCAGCGAACCACAGCAGACGTCTCTGAATTCTGTGCCACTGACAGATACGGCGGCCCTGGCACTGTTGGAAAGCAAAGATTTACATGAATAGAAATGAGGACACATTCTACAACTTCATTTGTGAACACACTTTGATCAAGCCGGATTGTTCCGCTCATTACCGTTGACAGCCATTACAGAAATATGTCAGAATATACCGCACAAAAATTACACAAAGGGAAAAAAGGCCAGATAAATGGAGTGGCTGTTGTTAAGAGAATACATGTCAATTTAAGACAAGGTTGTGTTTCCTCATCTTGGCAGCGTCTCCTCAGAGCCTTTTAAAACCCTGAGTGATCACAGTGCCCATTACAATTTCATGATTCATGTACGCAACAGTCAAAATAATTTCAGGAGAGCAAAGCATTACTAAAACTTTGAGCTGAGAACACAGGCACTCTGTTCAAAGACTCATTGCTTTCTGCAAAATGGATGATCTACACCGGGGTCTAGACACCATTCTTCAGCGTGGCCCAGTTTAGCCGTGCTTTATGGATGACAAACGCCTCGTCCTAACCCTCCATTTAAAGGCCCATCCGAGTGATAGAAGCAGCAGCACTTATGGCGGAGCTTTTAGTTCTCAAGTTGCCATCAAGGCGTGGTGAGAGATGAGCGTGGCTGATTTGCACTGGAGCCCTATCTCTCTGTAAATAAATTCAATCCCGGGCCCACACACATGAGTTGTGGGAGGCAACCGGGAAATATAATCAAAGTGGTGATCTGACAAACACAAGAATGAGTAAATCCAACAAACCTGACTAATGGTCTCTTAGAACGGGGCCTGGGCACTCAACAAAAAGATTGTATTTTGTTTTCAGAAAAAAAAACAAGGCGCTGTCCTCACACTGACCCAATGTAAGTACAAAACAACAGACAAATTGACTTTCTCTTGAAGGAAATAGCTGCTTGACTTTCTCTATAGGTCATAGAAAGGGATCATGCGACCAAATTACAAGGCAAGGATTGGACTGTCGAGTGTTAAAGAGTGTCCTTATAGATGCATTTATGACACATATTGTGAGTGAAGCAGGTCTTCGGGGTAATGAGAGAAGACATTTTAGAGAACAACCCTACAACAACCCAATAGTACGTCTCGGACCTCATTCAGATTTACCATCCGAGGTCTGAGGGCAAGCTCCAGCTTGTGATACCTAGGACGAGACTTAAAATCCAGAGCAAAGGGCCTTCTCTGTGGTCTCAAACCCAGAGTACAGGGCCTTTTCTGTGGTCTCAAATCCAGAGCACAGGACCTTCTCTGTGGTCTTAAAACCCAGAGCACAGGGCCTTCTCTGTAGTCTCAAACGCAGAGCTCAGTATTTTTTCCCCCAGTGTATTATTATAATTATTATCATTATTATTACTAAAATCACTGCGTTAGGGTTCAGTCAAATCTGGAAATGAGTTCTTAGTTCTAAGTTCTAATAGTTCCATACTATTTGTGTTGTGTAGGCTCCTGTACAGAAAAACAAAACTCTACTTGTAACTTGGATGCTGGAGGTTAGAAAATAAGAATTTTCAGCAGGTGCATGCGTTTCCTCTTTCCCCCATTTTCCTTTGGCTCAAATGAGGAAAACAGAAGTGAACGTAGCTGTGTGACTGCAGCTGCTGATGGGAGAGCGGGGGTGAGACATGCTCCTGGTTCTCTGCAGCCTGCTATGGCTCAGCTTGGTGTCATTTAAAAGCCCACTCTGGCCTGGCGTTCACGGTTCATCAAGGAAATCTAACCTGAGATAATGGAACTGCGATGGCTTCCTGCGATGCCCGTGCAAGCGCTTGACATTTTAAAAACCCCCCAAATAGGGTCATTACCGCTACAGCTTGTTCTTTAATTCTAAGTTGCCATTTTTTATCTTCCAAAGAATATCTGTTGTTTTTACATTTGTGTTGGTAAAGTTACTTCATGCATTTATGTTTTACAATAGATGTTAACAGTTCTACCTGAGGACTCCACAAAAAACATTTACTTTAGCTGAAAGCAAACTTTACAATATGTATGTGTAGCTATTGCAGTGAGGGAGGGGGGTGTCCCGGCTCCAAAAGGTCCGTGAGCAGGTGCAGGCTGCGATCTCACTGGTGGTAGACCCAGAAATAGAATGATCCAATGCTTTTGTATGGTGTCTTCTTTATTCTGGAAAACCTCTTTACAGAATGGTCCAAAAGTGGCTCTTGGTCCAAAACTGGGTCTCGGTCCAACAGAGGCTCTTGGTCCAAAAGTGGCTCTTAGTCCAAAGTGAGTCTTGGTCCAAAGGTGGTTCTTGGTCCAAAAATGAGTCTTGGTCCAAAAGTGGGTCTTGGTCCAAAAGTGGGTCTTGGTCCAAAAGTGGTTCTTGGTCCAAAGGTGGTTCTTGGTCCAAAAATGAGTCTTGGTCCCAAAGTGGGTCTTGGTCCAAAAGTGGGTCTTGGTCCAAAAGTGGGTCTTGTTCCAAAAGTGGGTCTTGGTCCAAAGCTAAGTTTCAAGATGCTGTCGATGTTGAGGGGAGTATAAATGTTTTTGGACCAGTCTAGTTTAGCCGCTGTGGACTTTTGAATGCACTCGTTAAATGAATGGGGCTAGTGCAGCTAACACATGCGCAAACGCGTTTTCTCATTTTGAAAGAGCCACAGAAGGAAAAAGTGGAACATTCGCTTAAACGGCGGAGATCGGTCTGGCTTCGTGACTATTGCTGGTTTTATAAAGTTACTACAAATACATTCTAAACCTTTGTTGCTAGCATCTTGTTTACATGTTAAAGACACACTTAGACGCTTTTACAGTCCGCATTACCATTTGCAGTTTGTGTTCAGGTTTTGGTGCGGACCAAACCAGCTGGATGTCACCAAAGAAACTGGAAAACCAAAAGAGCAACTCATATTATGCTAATTCAGATTTCTCACAATCTGCTTAAAAAACAAAATATCAAAAACTAAATCATATGACTGCACTAATAATTCAATGCATTTAATTTCAAAATAACTTATGTCTTGGGACACTCATAATAACTACTAGAAAATCTATTTCTTACATACTGCTTCTTTAAAATTAACACAATATTATGTTTTAACTCAATCCCATTACGTCACACAGAAATATACTGGAATACATGACAAGAAAACTGTTGCTAGAATGTAGAGAAAAGAACCCTCTGTGTAGGAGCCGTAACAACGACATCGTCAGAGGTCGAAGGTTGAGCCCCGAGCCCCGTCTGCGACATATGCAGATCAAACCTAATACAAAGCCGATGATTGTTTTGGGTGGAGTCTTTCTGCACTAAGTCTCAGTGGGGACATTCTGCTCGGGCACAAATGAAGAATGAAGAAGGTGACAGGGGACAAGGAGCAATGTGTCGGACAAAAGACCCCCACAAAGCTGTAAGCCATGAATAGTGGAATAGCCTCTTGTGTGTTGCTGTGTGTTGCTGTGTGTGTGTGTATGACTACTATGCTACTATGGCTATTAGACTCCTTGGACTTGGTGATCATCCCTCTCCACCTATATTTTCTCCAACTTCTTGGCTCTCAAGCTTATACCCAATTCCCATTTTCATTTTCTCCTGGCTGGCCCCCGCTCCCGCCTCCCGTCTCTCTCCTTCCCAAGGTCCACTGAAGGGTCGGGCCCAGTTCAATCCCTCCTTGTGGACCTCCAGGCACGTTTCTTATCAGGCTGCCGTATTAACTGGCCGATGTTGACACTCGCTCAGACTGATTGGGAGAAATATATCCTTTCGGGTTTCCTTCTAATTTCCGTTTCCTGAGAACGTTCTAAGAAATATATTACCTTTGTGCTTTTGTGGAAAGGGCTATTCAACATCACGTGTCAGTCTCAGAGATCTTTGTATAAGCTCAATACTGTTTAATCATAAAACTATTCAGAATGTTTGTATTATCTTGTATATCTTGTGATGTATGAACTTTTAAAGAAGCTATACCTGATTTATTTTCTAATGAGTTCATGAAAATGCTTATTACTACAAACATGTTAAAATCCGTAATTTAATTGAAAACGTGAGCTCATTGAATCAGCTGTGTATGAATTCAGGCCGTAAAAAGTGCTGAGTAGAAACTTAGCGTGACGCCCGCTCTCCTCCAATCACAGAATGAGGCTGTGTCCTCTAGACTCTACAGCCTGCTAAACACAGTAGCATAGTAGCATGTTAGCATAAGTGGCTATAGCTCCTCTGGCTGTAACTGCAGACACAGACAAACAGCCCAAACCAAACAACAGTGAGGAAGAGAAGAGGGAACTAAAGCCAAAAAATGATCAAAGAAGAAATCAAGCCCGGATGAACATAGCTAGCTTACATCGTATCCTCTGGAGAGACTTGTCTATGGGAGAGACCTGCGGGACTGCCTCGGACTATCAAGGCTCGGACTATCTATGCTCAGACTATCCTGCGGGACCGCCTCGGACTATCAAGGCTCGGACTATCTACGCTCGGACAATCTACCCTCGGACAATCTATGCTCGGACTATCTGCACTCGGACTATCTACTCGGACTATCTGTCGGACTATCTGTGCTGGGACTATCTAAACTCGGACTATCTATGGTCGAACCATCTACCAATGCATCAGCTTTAACCTGTCACGATTTGAATGAAATGATTGAAAAGTATATTTCCTTTCCAAACAAACGAACCAAAACATAATACTGCTGCTTTTTACTTTAATTTAAGCCAATTCCCTCGAGTTTCAACGTCTAACTTTGAAAATTACAAGTTAAGTTTATACTTTTGCTGGAAATGATTTGTTTCTATCCACATTAGGAAACAAAACAAACTTCTTCACATAAAGAGTCACATTATTCCAACGGTTTTTGTGACAGAAACACAAAGTGAAACATACACAATGTAAAATAACCCCTAAAAAAACATTTTAAAATGATCTATTCTTCTGGGCACAAAAGCCCGGGCAGCAGCAGAAAAAATGTTGTTGCTAACTTTAAATGTGAGATTCTTTTGGAGACGGTGTTGAATCCAAAGTTGCAGAAGAAAACACTGAAGGGAATTGATGTGAATCGACTTCAGAGCGGCACAAAAACAGCTTTTATCGAGATGTTTTGTGTTGAAGTCGTGTCTTAGTTTTCTTTATGTCGGAAAAAGGAACAAAACTGACGTCACGCGTCTGCAGGAGTTTGAGCGCTGCTCTCCCGGAAACAGGCTGTGGCATAAGTTTGTGTTGTCTCTTCTAGGTGCGCTTATAAAAAATAGCTCCACTCATGAGGTTTTCATTTCATTTGTTTCACAGTTTTAAACAGATCAAAAATAGTAAAAGTAAAGTCAATATTGGTGTTTTATTACTATGTATTGATAGATATGAGTTCACAGTAAAGTGTCATTTAAAGTATATGGACTTTATAACTCAAAAACTAAATTTACTTTAATAGATTAGAGACATTATTTAAAACACAGACATATCAAAGAGCTAGTGTGGATAAAATCAAAAGGAAAGATTGACAAATACATTTTTGGACATTTAAACGACCAGATGAGCCTCTGATTGGATCATTCTGAGAAAATAAAAAGTCTGAAAAAGCGGCAGATGAAATCCCACAAGATTCACATCAACACGACATCAGGAAATCACTGCATTTAAAAAGGAATCATTAAAAAGAAAAAAAATCAATACAAATTTAAATTACCCTAAAAAATGTGTAACGGATGTGATGGTTTCTGTTAATTTGTTTCAAAAAAAAATTAACTTGAGAATAAAAAGGTCTGGTTTCACATTTAATTAGTTTATTACATGACTTTGTTTTTATTCTGTGTTAATAAAATAAAAATAAGAATGTTTAAATCAAATGTGGATCTAAAATATGTAACAAACTTCCACATCTCATTCCGTCAAAGGATCAGGTTTGTTACAACAAATAAACAGAGCTTTAGGAAACTGGACTCATTTATAAAACAGTTTTGTTCTAGCAACTTCCACTGGTCACAGGTGTTTGGAAACATGAAAAACATCAAATATCTTATAATTATTCCTACTAAATGTAGGACCAATAGATTGAAGACCTCGTTTATCTCTGCTGCTGTTGGTGTTTTGGAGATTTCACGACACTTTGAAGCCACTGTGGCTAAAGCCTGGTTCACACGGCAGGATAATTAGACCGATTTAAGACCCGATTTACCCCTAACGACAATCTTAAGAACGCTCCGATTTTTGTTAAATAAACCTGATGTATTATCCATGGGTGGCGTGTTAAGACTGCGTCGCTCAGAAGGACTTCGGGACTGCTCCGATCTCAGGGTTATTCATTCATTATTTTAAACTTGTCTTTGTCGTCCTGATTTATTATCTATTCATTCTTTACTTGTGTATATGTGTTGCCTTTCTGCTGCTGCCACCAATTTGTCCTTTTAGGATTATACAAATACCTTGAACCTTGAACGTACTTGTCTTATTAGCGGTGGAAATACTTAAAGCCAGTCTGTGTAAAATGTAAACTGTACATTTTACACAGAGTGGCTTTTTCCAAATGAAAAAAAACACATTAGCCAAAAATAAATGTGACCTTTTCAAGACTATTTACCTCCACCATGTTTTTAAAATTATTGTCATAGACTTAGATTTTGACTTAAAAATGTCTGAGGCTGAGGACTCTCTGTGTGAACCCGCCATCTTGAAATACAGAGGTTGATAAGGGACAAAAAGGAGTTTGAGCAGGAGTTGGGGACCACTGTCAAAGACCACATATTGTCCTGCGAAGGCTTCCGTAGTACCGTAAATTACACTAAATGATCTCAAAGCAAGATGGGAGTAAAAATTACACAGTGGACCTTTAACTTTACCCAGATAAAGATTAAAAGCACTCACCGGCCCCTTTGGTCACCACGAGTTTGGGTTTGCTGCGTGCCCCGTCGCCTTTGGTGGTGTAGGCCGCCACGGTGATGGAGTAAGTGGTGTCGGGTTTGAGGCCTCCAATCACCATTTCCTGTCGGGACAAGAGAGAGAGAGAGACAGAAAAACGTCAAAACATGTCTTGAGATGTTGAGGATTTGTCTGTCATGCATTTCAAACGGATGAGACCAAACCAATTAATTCATACAAATCCTCAGCATAGACCTGTTAAAATGATAACTACTGGACAATAAACATGACTTTTATAATGTGGAAGTTTTCTTTAGGGACCATAAGAGATTTTCATTTGAGCCAAAATGCCTGAACAGTTTGTAAAGTACACTGTGGTAGGATTGCAGACAATACACAATGGTCCGGATAATTATGAAACAATTACTGCTATAATTAGGTATTTATTCTGTATCATATTAGGTAAGTATTCTTGAAATGGGATGTATTTCATTTTAAAAACAGGATTGCTGAAAAAAGCTAAATCTTGGTATGATTTATTTACTAAAAAACAAAAATGTGCTTATTTTTTAATGGCAAGTTTATGTTGCTTGAATGTAGTTTGTCATAAGATGATTTTACTAGTTTTAAGATAATAATTATTCCGTTTTTAAGCTTGTTTTAAGTATTTTTTCTTATTTCCAGACTTTTCTTGTTTAGATAAAATATGATTGATGCTGTATTTTAAGAAAACCCTCCTGTCTCGAGATCCCTGGCCTGTGATTGGAGGAACACTGACCCTCCCACCTCCGAGAAGTCTGTGACTCAGGTGCTGATTGGAGGAGAGCGGTGCACCCGGCCACACCCATGGCCCTATAATAATAACTGGATAGGGTATTACTAGCTTACAGCTGTCCCACCTATGGGCACAGGAAGCGCTGTGGTACTGCAGACTAAATTCGGGCTACCCATAAAAAAGTCCCATAGAACTCAATGTAAACTAAAACAGCTCAACCTCAGCTGACAGAGAACCTGACAGAGAACCTACAGCTTTCACAAAGGTCAGATTTTGTAGGGATTTTGTAGAGTCACACACGCGTATTTGGCGCAACGCATCATTGGAGCTCGTCCACTGCACAGAACCGGGAGAACAAGACGATGCCTAAATATTGGCGAGTTCAGCTAATCTCCCGGTCTCCGTGAAGTCCCATGAACTACTGAGCACAAGCCATTCATTTGACCAGGACGCCATCTTGGATCACCGGGGCTTGACAATGACTAAAAGAGACAGAGTTCGTAAAGTTTTTAATTGGTTTGTCTCGTTTTCTGTTTTGTAGTTTTGCTTTTGTGACCATTCACATTTGTCGAGACAGAAGTCAGTTTAGTGTTTAATTTCTCTGTGTATTAATGTAAAGATTTAGTCAAGGTTTTGTTTTGGGAACATTGAGTAACCTCCTTATGTTCTGTATCGTGTCCTTTTGATTTGTCCCCTAATCATTTACATTCATGTTATTATTAAATACTTGCTTTGTCATTTGGTCACTTGGTCCTTACCTCCCTTCCCCTGGCAGAGCTGGGTCGTAACAAAAATGTTTAAGAAATAAGTAAATAATGCTTGAGTCGATTGGGGCTAGTTTTATTTTATTATTTCCAGAAATCTAATATGTTTTTTTCTATTGACAGATCATTATAATATTTAAAGCAGGCATATTTTTCATATTTGCATACAGATACTTTTGTAATATTATTATTTATTTTGCTCTGTGATAAAATAATCTTATGACAAACTACATTCAAGCTACAAAAACTTGGCATTAAAAAAAAAAAAGCATAATTTATGTTATTTCTAGTAAATTCATATGAAACCCTGACTATCTGCCTTAATTATTATTATTTAAATATTAAAAAACATGCAATAGATGTGAAGTCCCCATGAAGAGAGGGCGAAAAAAAACAGAACTATCACACAGGAAATAAAAAACATAGAAAGACACTGCACAAATACGTAAATCACAGCAGCAGAGCAGGAAACAAACCCGAGTATATTCACACAGCAGGACACGCGTAGCATTGGCATTCCGAACACAGCGGGCAGTGGATATTGCATCAGCCTCCATTTTGTAGACGCTTGCTGCTAATCGAGGGTTCTAATTTTCATTTAACGATACTTCGGCCGCAGCCAGAGAAACTTTCTCGCTCATCTCTGTCCGAAAAGTCATGTATATTTTTGGATTTGTCCGACAATGTTGATGCAATACCCGCTGTTTGTGGGATCTGAGTTACACACAGCACACAGAGGAAACGTGGTACTTACATATTCAGCCGTATCGTCCATTTCCCACTAACCCGCCACACCAAAGAGATGTGTGTAGAGAGAAAGCGGTGGGTTTAAAAGAGAGGAAGAGAAAAAAGCAAGACACAGGACCGTGAGAGGTGGAGGATTTAGGGCTTTAAGGAGCAGAAATAGGCCATTGAGTTTGGTTAGGGCACGAGAAGAGGAGACATTTGCAGCTTATGCTATAAATACACTGCAAAAAGTGATGGAAAATAAGTCAAAAATGTCTCAAATTTGGAAAAATGTGTCGTAATTTAAGGACATTCTGACAGAGCCTTAAAACAAGATTTGCCGATTGGATAAAGTAGAATTATCTTGCTTTAAAAATATTCAAGAAATGTCTCTCTTGAAATGAGAAAATAGATAGATAGATAGATGGATAGATGGATACACAGATAGATAGATAGATGGATAGATGGATACACAGATAGATAGATACACAGATGGATACACAGATAGATAGATACACAGATAGATAGATAGACAGACAGATACATAGATAGACAGATACAGTAGATAGATAGATGCATAGAGAGATATAGATAGATAGATAGATAGATAGATAGATAGATAGATACTGATATTGATCCCTTGTAAGAGAGATTCAGGTTTCCAGTAGCAGCACAACAAATAAATATTGTAAAAATAGTTAACAATAGCAAATAAAGCAATAGTTCTTAGAATAAGAATAAACGGCTTTGTCCCGTTGGAGAATCTTATTTTAAAACAGTCAGAATGACCTCAGATTGAGATAAAAACACTCAATTCAAGCATTTATGACCTCATATTCCGTCATGTTTTGCAGTGTGGAGGGACACAGACAGATCGGTTTCTTACACGTTTTACCAACGCACCATCTCACACTTCGAATGTTTCTGTCTTAACCGTCCTTTGCATTCATGAGAGGAAAAAAAAACAGATTTCAGGCCCGTGTGACTACAACACGGTCCTCCCAGTGTTGTTTAGCCCGTTCCATCAAAGCTATAATTTCCATGGGGATGATTGCCACTGTTCGCAGCCGTCTGCTTTCATCCAGCCGCCATAACACGCTGACACAAGCTTAGTAAAAGAAGAAGAAGAAAAATGCTGCTCAATAACTATACGCTGCGGCTAGGTCAAGGCTTTCACACGTTTACCCGAGAAAATAGTTTTATTTTCAGCCTTCTTTGTTTGCTGCGTGGACCCAAAGCAATGTTTGTTTGTTTTTCTGTAGCCATGAAGTCAGAGAGTCTGGAGCTACTAATACAAAAGGAGTCAAAGGAGGAAGATTTGTGTAACTTTCATTAGAGTTCCTGCTGTGGGGGTCGAAGAAGGCGGCGACGATAGAAATTCTAATATGGAACGAGGACTGAAGCAAAGAGATTGAAAGGAATCCCAGTTATTTCTTGTAAAATGATTAGTTCTTATAAAAAAACACTGAAATATCACAATCTAGAAGACTTTAAAAACACCACAGAAATGATATTATACATGTTTTTTACATTCGAAATTACAGCCATTTGGACCCGATGGATTTTGTACAAAGTATTTTAAGTATTATTAACCAAAATTGGACTACAAACTAAATTGGAGAACTGTAGCTACCAAAAGTTTCCAACTTTACTGAATTTTTTTTTTAGAAACATAAAAAGTCACAATGTTTTTTCTCAATTATTATTTTAAAAAATTAATCATTCTTAGATTCACAAACAATCCATATTATTCTTTTGTCTGGAATTACTTTCATCTAACCAACACCACAGATCTGTTTTTGAATAATGAATATTGGGCCTTTCTGAGTGGAGTTTGCATGTTCTTCTTGAGTCTGCGTAGGTTTCCTCCAGGTGCTCCAGTTTCCCCTACCACTAAAAACATGTACAATAGGTCTGAATGAGTGAATGGAGGGTGTTTGGTCGGAGGCTTTGATGGACCAGTGTGTTCTGCGTCTCGCTTCAGTCATCACTGTGTGGAGAGAATGGAACAATATCTGAACCCTGAACATTGTAAAACGCTTTGGGTGAACTTGGTCTGTAAAATGCGCTAAATAAATAAACATTACATTACGCCTTTCACAGACCAGAGTCACAAAGCACTTTACTATCATTGCGGGCATTCGTCTACAGGAGGCACATCCCAGACCTATTGTACTGTTTCTAGAGGTAGAGGAAACCGTAGCACCCAGAGGAAACTTATGCAGACACAGGAACATGAAAGCTTCACTCAGAAAGGCCCCGTTTCAACCAGAAGCAGTGGAACTTTGTGAAAGCTTTTGTCTCATGTGAATCAACCTAGGACGCTCAAAACTAAAATTCATACGTACTTTTGAGATTGAGCTAAAACCGTAGACCTACCTGGGCGTCTGCTAGCATCACGTCCTTGATGAGTGGCAGACCGCGGGACTCTCCGTTCTCCACACGCACGTAGTGGACCTGGTAGCCTCGGATCTGACCGTGCTGTTTCCCAGGAATCAGAGAACGCCACATGACTTTTAACGCAGTGGAGTTCAGGACTTCCACTTCAACTCGCCTCGGAGGAGCTCCAGGAACTAGGAATAACAGAAAGCACAGTTAGCCTGGTCTTATCATACCATTGTACTCATTTCATTTTGTACTAAGATCTGGATTTGCTCCATTGACTCCGTTAACAGGTGGGAGGGGTTAACTCCTTTTGCAGATTGAAACTATTGGATCTGAGTTTACCGTGACCCCAGTGAGTGAGGCATTTAGCATTTAGCCTAGCTTTAGCCATCTCCTTTGCCACTAACGGAGCCCATGGGGAGTAGAGCCACAATCTTTGCTTCAATGACATTTACTAAACATTCCTCTTGCTCCGGCTTCAGTTTCTTGATATTTGGATTGAACAGATTATTTTACTATCGCATTCTCCGACAAACTACAACCAGCAAATTCAGCACAAACTCTTGACGTCACCAACACCGACCTACAACACCCGCCTCCCCCGCTCTCTGATTGGTTGGAGGGGATTCAACCGAGGAAACTGCAGCCACTAGGATCAGACCCAGACGTACATGTAGGAGATGATCATGGACCAGAGTTTACACATGGTAAGACCAGACGTACATGTAGGAAATTATCATGGACCAGAGTTTACACATGGGAAGACTTGCACCTTATTGTATTCTGTGCGTGACTTTATCTTTATCGTCTTCATATCTTAACACCTAATTTAAGATGTGAAACCAGCGTCGATGGAGTCATGAGAAAATCTCCCAGACTTAAGCTTGTCACGGCGCTGAGCTCCGCGTACATCATTGTCGGAGGGATCTTTGTGATGGGAGATACTGTGGAAAGGATTGTGGAAACTAGACATGTATTTTATGGCCTCTGCTGTATTTAACTTTGTTGTTGTAGCTCGTCCAGCTTCAACACAGTCTTTATGAAAAGGCAGCATTAGCTTGTGATGCGTCAATCCATTGCAAAATTACAAATAACTTTTTTACTTTTCCTCTAATATGACAATTAAACATGATTTATTCTCACATAATGCTTTCTGACATTTGAATGAGGATTGATTCATGAGAAAACAATAAACCTCTGAGTGACCTTGTGGAAGACCTCCCCAATAATAACGTCTGGTTTCTCTTACAATCCAATAGATCAATGTAAAGTGCTGGTTTGGTAAATGACATTAGCTCCTGTTAAACAGCAGCGCCTGATTTCCCAGGTGCACCATGGAAACCTTTCATTTGATCAACTGCAAAATCCTTGGTAATACTAAAAAAAAAACATTTATCTTGCATGTAACGTGGTGGCACTGGTCCCGCTCCCTTCTCTGTGTGGACTGAGAGATAGATGGCCACAATTGTAAACCGCTTTGACTCTGGTCTGTGAAAGGCGCATTACTTACTATTAACTAGTTTCCTGATTGTTCTATAAGTTTAACTAAAACAATAAACATTCATACAGGTCTATTTTAAACTACTTCACAAAAACTATGTTAAATTAGGGTCATTTTTCCAGGATCACACCAAACACAAAAACAAACTGCCTTCGAGCTAAAATCCTTTTTCAGTTCCAATGTTTTTGTAAGACCACATCGTGTTTGAGAACCTTGAAACACATTTCTAAATCATGAATAAAATACGTGAGGGGCTGGTGCTCTGTGTACTGGGTGGCATCTCTGGCCACCCCCCCGACCCAGAAATGGATTAAGGGGAAGAAAATGAATGGATGGATGGAAATAAAATACAGTACGTGACATCAGTTTAATATGTTCTAAACAATCAGCGTGGCATTTCCCATTCCTCATCAAACAATTTCATTTCTTTCAGATCTAGTGAAAGCAGATTGACCAGAGCCAGTGACAGGAGACTGCGTCCTTCTTTTCTTTTAAACACAAATGATAAAAAGTAGTTTATAGAATCACAGAAGAGAAACAAAATGTACTTTTAACACTAGGAGCGCCCCTAGCGGTCATCTGACCGTCACTCACTTTAATATGCTAATTAGTGTATTCAAAACAAAACGCCAGAAGTTGAAATTTTATGACTTTTACTGGGTACTTGTTGTTTATATTTTGGTGTGTTTTGTTTTTGGAAAAAGTAAAGAAAACAAGATTTACACGCATTTTAACTTTTCTAAACCACAGCCATTTCTGCTGCCCCATAGGGATACATGGCGCAGGGGCGACTGTTGTCATAGTAACCTTTCCCGGGGGTTTTTCGCGCCTTATACAAATGTATCAATATGTTGTCATTAGACTCTAAAGGGACTTGAGGTTTTTATTTGGGAGAGAGAAAGAGTTTTGAATTGAGAGGAGTACAACATGAATAGAGCTGCAAGTACACGGTATGAAGCCATGACAGTGCTTCAAGACATTGAATGAGAACAGTCTGACGGAGGTGAGATGTCACAGCGGGGAGAACACTTATAATATTCTAAATCTGAACGTAAACCCGTAGTGCATTCACGGCACGGACAGCAGTGTTGGAACAAGTCCAGAAGCAATAACGCACATGACCCGCGTAATGCCAGCCATACGCAGGTGTCTGTGTGCGCGCTGTTGCTCCATTCTGCCTTTTCATTCATCATCAATTACATTCTTATATTTATACATAGAAGAAGGCAATAAAGCAGAATACAATATCGCAATAAAATAGAACAATTAGATGAACTATCAAGGCAGAGTGCAGATGGAGCGCTGTGAGGCCTCTCGTCACCCGCGGACACTGCAGGAGGAGAGCGACTGTGGGTCAGAAGCGGCCCTCATCATATCAATAAGGATATCTTTCTTATTTCATTCAGATAACACTGTGTGTTATTCTGCACAGCGCGCACTGCAAGGCAATGATTATAATTTTCTTCTGATCATAAAGAGCACTGCTTGTCTCAAATAAATACAAATATATATATATAACGTGTCCCGTGTAAAATTGAAGATTGTACATTGACGATGGTAGCCTATAGCTGATGATCTTGTGTCAATACGAATACTATTATTATTATCGAGATAATATTTCCCACGGTGATTTCGGCTGGAAAGAGAAAACAGTCTGGAGATGACGTAAGAAGCAGACGCATACAGCAGCGCGAAGACGTTATGGTCCCGTGCTTTTCTAAACTATCATTTATATTGTTTGAATTGACATATTGTTACTGAGTCAAATTTAACATATAGTGACCGACCTTTTACGTGTTTGCAAAGTTACAAAATAAATCTAGCCAGAAAAGTCTTCGTAATTTTTTTTTATTTTGGCTGGAATTACAATTACTTAGCATATTTAGACAAATAATTTACACAGTTTCATTATGATCACGATTTCCTTGCAACAACAAATTCTGGTTTAGTGAACAATCAATTTGGCAAAAGGCTGTATCAGCGCAAAATACATAGCGGTCAACTGACCGCAGGGGGCGGTGCAAGGTATGTTTAGAGCACGGCGGTCCTAGTGTTAAGCCGCACCCATCCCACGTTGTAATGTTGAAAAAAGTAGCTCAAAAACGTTCCTCGTGTTTTTATTACTGTAAGTTTAGCAAAGCAGAGGGCCACATGAAGTGACACTGAGGGCCGCAATTATCCCCTGGGCCTGAGTTTGGAGACATGTCGGTTTTAAGCCTTAAACATAATGAACTTTTTACATGTTGTTATAGAAATCTTTTAGTAAAGCAATCTGAAAATAACATCAAATAGTTATAAGTGTACATAAGGTTTCTACATGTCTTTGGCAATATCTGTGTCTAAGAACGATGTGTTCAGGTCAAAGCAGATAATTACAGAGTTGTATCATTATGAGGAAGCGGAAAGAGAAGCCTTGAGCGACACATACTGTATCAATACTGACTTCATTTGTGTAATATCTAGAGTAGATATGTTTTTGTTTACCCTGGTCTATTTCATGTCTGTAATTTCCTCATTCGTGGCAGACGGTCTCAGAGCTGCAGGTGGTATCGGTATCGGCTTTGTTATTCATTGTATATGTGCACATTTACTAATGAATAAACTCACACTTTGATTGTATTACAGCTCTTGGTTGTTTACATTATTTTGGCTCTAGGCCCGTGCAGAAATTCCACAACAATGTAATGTGCCTAGCCTGGTCGTACCACACCATAGTACAAATTACATTTTGTACTAAGGTCTGGATTGGCTCCATTGACTCCATTAACAGGTGGGAGGGGTTAACTCCTTTTGCAGATTGAAACGACTGGATCTGAGTTTGTGACGTATGTTATGAGCCCGAGTGAGTCGTTAGCATTTAGCATTTAGCCTAGCTTTAGCCATCTCCTTTGCCGCTAACGGTGCCCGAGGGTAGTAGAGCCACAATTTTTGGCAGCGATTATATTTGCTAAACATTCCTCTTGCTCCGGCTTCAATTTCTTGATAGAACCAGACCGGATTACTTTACTATCGCATTCTTCGCCAAACTACAACCTGCCCGTTCGGCGCGAACTCTTGACGTCACCCACAACTAACTACAACACCCGCCTCCATCCAACCAACCGCTGATTGGTTGGATGGAATTCAACCGATTGTAATCGCAAACACAGGGACCAGACCCAGACGTTACATGCAGGGAATGATGATTGAGCGGAGTGTATGGATGGATAAGGCCAGGGTATAATGTACCTTGTTTCTATACAGTATGAATAAAAGAGTACACTTACCGTCTTCATCGGTCCGGCAGATCAGCGGCTCGCTCTCCGGCCCGGCCCCCACCGCAGTGAGTGCCGCCACGCTGAGGCTGTACTGGGTCCACTTGTCCAGTCGCTGCAGCAGGACCTGCTCCTGGGCCGCAGACACAGGGGCTTCCTCCAGCACCTCGCCGTCCTCAGCAGCCCCGCCCTCGGCCCCGCCCACCACCTGGTAGCGCACCTTATATCCCGCCAACTCCCCGTTCTGACTCTTCTCCGGTGGTGGGCGCCAACTTACCAGCAGCGTGGTGGAGCTGGAGCTGCTGCACTTAATGTCTTGGGGGGGGGCAGAAGGTTCTGGTGAAGTGGACAGGGTAAAGGAAGGGTGTAAGGCCGGGTCGGGGGATCAAGGCAGCGGGCACCAGTGGAGAGGGGGGAGGGAGAAGGAATTGAAAAACAAAAAATAAAAGATGGCAGAGATGAAGAACATGAGCAAAGGATATTTTGAAAAACAGAAAATATAAAAAGCAGAAATCAAACTCATAAACAGAAGGAGAAAAGTAAATACATGAGTAATGGTTCCATCACTGGTAATAATAAATCAAGGCGTTTCAAGTCTCCCAGACCTGAAACTATGAAATTACAAACATATGTACTGTACATTTTGATCATATCCACTACAATCTTACATCTCAGCGCTATACTGTACTGCAATACAAACTGTTTACTTTTGAATGCGCTGGAAAACAGCAGCAGGTCCTAAATAGCTCTGAAACAGTTGTTGTTTTGTGCTTTGTACATTTTCTTTCTTTTTTCTAATGTTCATGGTTTTGCACTGGTCCAGACCAGAGCAGAGAGAATTCATGGTCTGAACCAAGTGGATCAGGTGAAAATCCATTGGAGGAATGCTAACTTTTTGAAAAATGCTAATGAACCGTTTAACATTTTACTTTGGACCAGAGCAGAGAAACCAATCGGCTCCTCCACCTCTGCTGCTGTGACCTGAAGGGCTGTTGCTGATTATTACTATTGTTAGCTGAATGATCAATTTTATATTTTATTTTTCCTGCTACTGGACACCTGAATTTCTCCGACAGGGATCAATAAAGTATCTATCTATCTATCTATCAATAACGCATGTTTTATACTAATACCTGAAACTATTAAACAACCTGGGACATTATGGCTGTCCATCTGCTGTACACAAGACACTATTATGTAAACAGTGTTAAATATGGACAGATGGAATTTAATAATATATACTATCATCTTTAACATTATTATATATTATTATTATTATACATTTTGGATTGTTATCATTTTCCAGCCTTGGTCATTATTACCTCAGTTCATTACACCAGTTAATGAAGGTAAATTAACAAACATTCAAATTGACATCACATAACAACAAGTGAAGAAGAGTTTTAAACAATGATGATAAATAATGCAATTAAATTAAAATACAAAATGACATAAAGTATACAAACAAAACCAGACATAAACACATAACAAAAACCAAAAAAGTTGACTGAAATTGAACAAAGGAAGTAACAAATATTGTCTGCACTGTACGTACCTGGCTCCAAAACACAACATTTTAAAGACTTTCTTACTAACAGCCCCCGGCTACACGGCTATGAGACTAACGCCATCCCTCCTATAGCGACTGTACAATATTTACAGATGCAAAGTCTCAAATCTGATTGAACTAATTCAGATCCGCCATCTTGGGGAGGGATCGAGTTGTCTCCGTGCTGTAGCCAGGACTGTTTTCTGTCTTTTTGGGGCCAGAGGGTCTGCAAGACTGTGAGAGAGGAAGCCATTTTGAATTCTTCTTCTTGCCTTACAAATTATCTTCAATCCCATTTCATATCCCTAAGGTTCACCAGGTCCTAAAGCTTGTGCAGAGAGATTCATCAAAGTTTAACGGGAAAAAAAAAACTGGACTAAAATAAACAAAGACAAGCGCAGGGAGTTCTCTCTCTCTTCACATCCGACAGAACAGGACCCAGAAGGCATTGCCAAAACCACTTTCTGTGTCCAATGTGCTTATTTACTTATGTTCTTAGTGGATTTCCAGTTCTTTTCAGCTTTATATTGTATTCGCGAGCCCTCTACGTCAAAAGTGATCTCCCAGTTTTCAATCTTGCTGCAGAAAAAGTGGCTAGTGGATGTGACAGTGACCAGGCTATCATTCTGAACAGGCCTCTCTCTAGAGCCGATAACGGATTTAAGTCTGGGGTTTTAATAGACCACATATCCCATGGGACTCGCTGGTTGGATTACAGATGCTAGAACTATAGGAGGCAAAACGGAAGAGGAGACTCAGCTAAAATGACACTTGAATTCTTTTGAAACTTTCCTGAAAGAATTGAGATAAATGCATTTTGACATAAAGCAAGTCAAGTCAAGACCAATTGAGTTTAGCAATGTCAACATGTCGACTAAGCTGGTTAAGGAACCGCATCTTTAATTACTTTTAATATATGTGAATTTTAAATGTGTCCTAAGAGCTTTCTATGGACAAGTGTTGAAAATTAGCCTGGTCTTATAAAACTAAAGGCAGTGCATCTGGTCTGTCCAATGTAACTGTTGTGTCCATATCAAATCAATAAATAAATAATTAATTGGGCTGGGCAATATGACTTTGTTCATGGGGATACAAGTAGCTTTTTTTTTTAAAAACTGATGATGTTTATCTATATATCTACAGTATATGTTCTGAGCAGAAACTGTGATCACGGCTGTGGAAAAAGTCCTCGTAACAGTCCTTTCTCAAGATTTGCAAAACTTCAGACTCATTTACTGTACTATACTGCACTACAATAACACATGTTTTACACAAAATACCTGAAACTATTGCACAACCTGAGAAAATATGGCTGTCCATCTGCTTTACATAAGACACTGTTATGTAAGCAGTGTTAAATATGGACTGGTGGGATTTTAGAATATATACAATTATCTGTATTATTACTATAATTATCATTATTGTAATATATTTTGGATATCATCATTTTCCAGCCGTGTTCATTGTTACTTCAGTTCTATTTTGAATAAAATACTCTCAACGTTTATGGACATTGGTCTCTGCACCTTATGAACCAATGGCTCTATGGTTTTTTTTTTAATTATTGCATTTGTTGCGTTTGATTCTCTGATCTTTGTTGAGGAATCAACAGTATTGTAAAGTCCTCCGAGAAAACTACGGGTGTGATTTCAATTACAAAATGTAATTAACATGATCACTGGGTTATCGGACCACAACCTAACACTTGTGTCTAGAAAATTACCAAGAAGAAGATATAATCAAAGTGAAACCAAAAGTGGATATTTTAAAATCCCCAAAACTGAGCTTCATAATTTCAATGCTAAAATGAATGAAATCAACTGGGGTGAACTGGTGTTAGGAACTGCTGTGGAAACTGACTGTCACACGTTCATCTCTACAATCAAATCAATATTAAATCAGTTTCAAAAAGAAACAAAACAAAGACGTTTAAAAAACAACACAATTCTCCCATGGATAAACGAAAACATAGTAAAATTGATGAAAGAGAGAGATTTGGTCTTAAAAGCAGCGTTAAAATCTAAAGAAATGCATGAAAAGCGCAGGTATACGACCCTCAGAAATAAAGTAATAAAAGAACTAAGAAATGCCAAAGCATCCTTTTTTATAACTAAAATCCAGGAAGGGAAGGGAAACTGTAAAATGATTTGGGACCAGCTAAAAAAGCTGACAGGAAAATATCACAAAATTGCAGACAGTAAATTGCAATTACAGATAAACGGCTGTTTAACAGAAGATCCATCACAAGTTGCGTCTGCTTTTAATGTGCATTTTGTTCACTCGGTTACTTTGTTAACACACAAACCTCCTGTTAACTCTTTACAAGAAGTACCCTTAAATTTAACTGACCCGGTGTTTTGTCTCAATGAAGTCACACAACCAAAGGTAGACAAAATAATAAGTACGCTTAAAGACTCCAGATCAAAGGACGCTTATTGGATGGACTCTATACTGCTGAAGACTCACAGAGAGACTCTGTCTGGCCCTATCACCAAAATAATAAATGCGTCCTTTAGACAGGCTTTGTGCCCAAGTGACTGGAAGCCAGCCATCGTCACTCCGGTCTTTAAGTCAGGAAAAACAAATGAGGTCACAAACTACAGACCTATCAGCATTCTTCCTGTGGTGTCAAAGATTGCTGAGAGGTGCGTCGCAGACCAGCTATTGGCCCATCTTAATAACTCCCCGTACAAACTACACCCCATGCAGTTTGGCTTTAGAGCCAACCATTCCACCGACACTGCCACTTGTTTTTTTATTGAAAATGTGAAGTCCAAGATGGACAGAGGGGGTGTAGTTGGTGCCGTTTTTCTGGACTTAAAAAGGGCATTTGATACCATCAGCCATGACGTTCTCATTTCAAAATTATCGCGGTTCAACTTCTCACCTGATGCTGTTCATTGGATAAAATCGTACTTGGATCACAGAACACAAGCCGTTAGGGTCAAAAATGAATTGTCTTGTAACCTTGTCAATGGTATAGGTGTACCCCAGGGTTCAATACTGGGGCCACTTTTATTCAGTCTCTACATAAACGACCTGCCATCTGTGTGTTCTGATTGCGAGATACAAATGTACGCAGATGATACTGTGATCTATGTCCATGGGAAGGACAAGGAGGAAGTAGCTAAAAAGCTTTCGAAAACTATGGAGTTTGTTTCCCAATGGCTGTACAATTCGTGTCTACATCTAAATCTTAAAAAGACGGAGTGTATATTTTTTACAAAGAGAAAGTCTGACTTACCAGATCCTGAACTATACATTGCAGGAGAGAAGATTAGTGTGGTAACAGAGTATAAATATCTGGGAATCATCTTAGATTCACAATTTACGTTTAAAAAGCAGGTCAAAAAAGTCATTCGGACCGTTAAACTAAATCTCGCAAATTTTAGGTACATCAGACAGAGTTTGAATACAGATGCTGCAAAATTATTTTTTTATACTATGATAATGCCACATCTGTCCTACTGTGTCACCAGCTGGTCTCAGGGCTGTAAGACGACGCTGAAACCAATCGATTCTGTCTATAAGCAGGCTCTGAAAGTTTTGGACAAGAAACCTTTTCGTCATCACCACTGCAGTATATTGGACAAATATAACCTGCTGAATTGGGAAAACTTTGTAAAATTTCATGATGCTAATATGGTTTTTAAAATTTTACGTGGTTTGGCTCCTCCACCACTTTTTAATTTTATAAATCTGAGCAGGCGACAAACTAGATCTGCCACCTCAAATAACCTGTTAGTCCCCCTTAGGAAAAGTGCCTTCAGTCAGTCGGCCTTTTCAGTGAGAGCAGTCCAGTTCTGGAACACTGTCCCCTCTCACATACGCAATGTCGATACATTAAGGTCCTTTAAAAATAAGTTAAAATCTTGGTTACTTGAGAATCAAACTTGTGCACATCAATGTTAATGTATTTTATTTTTTCTGCTTTTGTGCTAATGCCTGCTGCCGTTGTAATTCTGTTGTGTGTAATTGTCTATGGTGTAGTGTTTGTGCCGAATTTTAACAGGTTGTGTGGGAGCTCATACTAATTAATTGTTTTATCATTTTTAGGTTAATAATGATTGTTGTTGTTACTGTTATATATTGTTGGCAATCTACATCTTGCCCAGGGACTACAGTTGAAAATTAGCTTTGGAGCTAAAACTGGCACATTTACAGTGATGTTAATTAATGTGCATTGTCCCTGTTTAAATAAACTAATAATAATAATTGAATTGAAATTTGCTGCGGTTGTTTTAAGGCTGTAAAACCTCTCACCACAAACTTTATACACAAGAAGTGAGTCACAAGTCCCCGGATTGGAGCGTGTACGCGTTACCAGGCGTGGACTCGATCCTCTCATGTTAATGGCCAGGGTAAAGCTGGGGTACCTAACTTACATTCTTATATGCATGTGTTTCGTCGTGACAGAAACAGTCTTGTAAAAACATCATTGTTTTAATTCAAATCAGTCCAAAACATGCGCTCTTCATATTAGTGACGGTGGTCCTGACTTTTTAACTTTTATGAAATCTGGTATAAATGTGAACGAGTCAAAAATAAATGCAAATTGTGAAAGAGGAAAACAGTTTTGAGTTGTGAACTTTGTAAGATTTTTTTTGCCATATCACCCAGCCCTAAAACCTCGTCATTAGGAATGCAAATTTACACTTAACTCAGTCAATAAGTCAATAATAATTAAAATACCATGTGACAATGCACACTATAATGGGGGAATTTGAATTGCCTTTTTGTATGAAGCAAAGTGACAGACTGTTGGCGTTTGTAGATCATTATAGAATTAATCTTGTCCAGAGCCAAATGGTGCAGGCTAGAGCTCACACAAATACATTCCAATACATCTAAAACCCTCCCGCAATTACAGTAAGTGGGGGGAGCTAAACTGCTTGTTTGGCTGAATACACGGGATTTAGAATCTGCTACTTTAATTTGAGCGATAGCACTAGACTGAGCCACTGGCAGGTTCAAGGTATAATCTAAATGTGTAACAAAGCCTGACAATCCGAGGGGTTTGGCTTATAGCTCATTGTAAAACCATGAAATGAATTGTGACGCTATGAAATGGGATTCTTATCTGCCACTTCTGGGCCGCGGTCGCTAACACCCACAGCTAAGGCTCGATCTGAGGCCTTTGTGAAGAATGTCAGAACAGCTTCGCTCTCTCGGATTGCGGACACACTCTGGCCACGTCTAAACGTCTGAAAGAAACTGCTCTCAACCTGCCCGGACTGCAGCAGTGTTACCCATAAGGCCTTGCTTCTGAAGGAGAGCCACTCTGCGGTTACATCACGGAAAAGACGCAGATGAAAGAATCCAATGTCATGACAGCAGCGCTTTCTGTTTGTACTAAAACGTTTTCCATCATTGGGGTAAATAAGGACTCAAATATAGATTCTTTTGTTGTTATTTGTTCCGATGCAGAGGCCGAGTGGCTCCCCTGACAATAGCCTTTGGTAATGCATTAGCCCGAGCACAAACTTCAAGGATTTGTGAACATTTTGTATAATGCCCACAAGAAAACGCAACATTTTACTTTTGAATTGGTCCGACTTGATGGATTAGGGATTCAGTCTGATTTAAATGGAATAGAACTACAAAATTAATCTGCATGGTTGCTAGTTATGACCCCAAAGCAACATGTTTACTGTATATACAGATGGGTTATGTTACTGTATGATTTTTCCTGTGTTTTTTTGCCCTATGCAACTGGTGGGATAAATACAGTAGTCTGAATTTATATTAAATAATCTGTATTTTTTTCTGTATCACCACATGGCTGTTGAATCCACAGCCAAAATCCAATCTGGCAGACTGAATACCCCACACCAACAGCGATCACTTACCTCCAGGTTTCCAAAAGATTACCATAATTATTCAACTCTGAGACTGACTGACTGACTGAGTGGTCATTTACCAAAGTAGAAATCACAAAAACAACCAGAAGGTCAGATCTGGGGCTTGAATCAATCACAATGAGTAATATGAGCTCATTCTTATGCAGTGTAAAAATGAAAACAGCTGAAAATAGATCCCAATATTCACTCATAGACGAGAGACTATGAGTCCCGCTTAGATCCCAGCAGGACTCAAAGACAGCAGTGGACCAGTATTTGAACCTAGGCCAATATTCTTTCGTACATTCCAGAAAGAAAAACAGAAAAATACATGAAACCTTCTCTTTTTTCTTGCTCAACATAAAGGGAAGAGGAGACAAAGTGAGCAAGGTGAAGCCAAGCCATTCCAAAGGAGAGTGTTTGGTCCATAGCACAAGGGAATGAGTGGCAGAAACAGAAGAAAAGTCAAATAGATATGACGCAAGAGCAGCTCGGCGAGTCCGCTCCGGTCCGGTCTAGTCCGGTCCGGTCCCGGTCGTGTCCTCGGCTTTTCAGATCAAATGCAGAGCGGTGGAGGCAGTGCGCTCACATGTACCTACTTTCTCGACAGGTGAGGATTTGCACACACACTTAGGAGACATGAAGACAGAATGGGGCTGGATGGACATTGATCGTTTTCATGCCTGAGTTTTGAAAGTGTGGTTAGTAAAACAGGTCGTTGCCGCAGCCTCGGAGGAGACTAAAGTGCTGTTGCATGCAAGTTGGCTCATTGTTACTGCTGCTGTCAGTGGAGCCGCTGCAGTGAAACACATAATAATAAATATAGAACATAAAAGTACAGGGTGTAGATTGATCTCATGCACAGTGTTGTTATGGACGGCAAAAAAACCCTGCTCCCACATATAGAGAGAAACTGTCGCAAAAAGTCTTACCCGGAGAGAAATGTACACGGAGAAAAGTAACATCTTGGTCAAATTTATTTACTAAAAATAACAAGTTGTAGTTTGTCATGTAAGAGTATTTTTTCTAATTTCCAGACTTTTTTTGTTTAGATAAAATAAGTTTGTGAGGCTGTATTTTAAGAAAACATCAAAAATGTTTAAGAAATAAGTAAATACTTTAAACTTATGTTTTTAGATTAGAATGAAGTTAGTTGGAGCTAGTTTTATTTTAATACTAGCCCCAAATGTATGTGTAATATAATTTTCCAAAATCTTAAGTCATATTTTCTTGTTCTATGTTCAGATCACTTTTATTATTTTAAGCAGTTTTTTACTCATTTTCATATCATTTTTTCATATTTTTTTCCCAGTGTACGTAGGGAGGTTGCCAGTTAAGCAAATCTCTCTTGGAGAAAACCAGGGGGAGTTTTGCCGTCCGTGACCAGGTGAAATCAATCTATCAGTTGTTTCAAGACCAAAGCAAAGTTGTGAGGTTGAAGTCGCGCTGGAAACAAAACATCTGTTAAAACGCATGACCATCGAGGGATTTCTAAAGATAACGTGAAGAAATAAAGAATAATAATAAAAGTAAAAAGTGTCCTCGCAAGCATAACAACTCTGCTTAAGAGGGCCTTGGCAGTTTCAGTGAATGTGTGTCGGTATCAAAAGAATTGTCTTTAACTTTAACAAATCCCAACTTTGACGTGATGCTGCTTCCCGATTCGCTGCATGTCCTTGTTTAAAAAAAAGTATGAAAAATAACATCAAAAACCCATATTTTAGCTTTAAACTAATCATAATGAAATCAACCTTGAAAGTCCCACGGCTAAAAACTTTGTTACTCACACAAAACACATTGGCAAGTGACAAAGATGAATAAGAAAGGCTACATACTGGCTTGCAAGGTCTTCTGGGTAATGTCATTGGTAAAAGCTCCAATGCCTTTGTTAGAGATGGCTGCCAAGGAGAAGTGGTAGTCTGTGTTGGCCCGAAGACCTTCCACGACGTATGAAGACGTGGGTCCAAAGGTTTTCACCATCTGTCAGGTACGGATGGAAGAAAAAGGTTCAAAGAGTTACATATTTCAGCCACGCTACTTTTTGACTCAAGTATGGTGGAGAAGATTTGGCGGAACAAAATGGACGTTAATTTCATATTTTGTACCCATGTATATGTCGATACAAGACTATTTCAATGCGACTTGGGAAAACTACGAATTTTTCAGAAAATGTCTTGCCCTCTCGTGTTTGTAGTTGGTCGGATTCAGCCATAGATCCACAGCGAGCCTGAAGTAAGGTTTCTGATTGGCTGGCTGTAGTGGTGTGCTCAAGGAAAATTGTAAAAACTGTATTTGTTGTGACTGTCAGAGCTGTATGTGTAAAACTCAGATTTGTTGTTGATAAACTCTTGTCTATTCAGCTGCTATGGTCCCATCTGGATTCGTCTGCATATCTGGCAACCTGAGCCAGGGAGAGAGGGAGAGGCTGCAGTACCACTTTTGGCCACATTTTTACCATAGACTGTAAAAAATAACGGACGTAGTCACGCCTATCTCCGCCGTTCTAACTAATGGGCCAAAAATAGTGCTCAACTGGAGCTATCCAAAATGGCCGCGAGAGGTCCCGCCCACAAAAAAAATGTGTGAAAAAACCATCTGCACATGCGTCAGCCGGCGTCAGCTCCATTCATTTGAACGAGAGACTTCAAAAATGCACAGCAAGTAAACTAGAGTGGTCCAAAAAAAATTACCCCCCTCAGCATTGACACACATGTGGAACGGAGCTTTGGGCCAAGAGCCAACTTTTGGTCCATCCTGTAAAGAGTGTTTTCTAGAGGTCAGCTAATGCAATATGTTAGCATTGGCTTATTCTTATTCCGGGTCCATCCCCATCGGCCCGGGGTGGTATTGCAAGCATGTCAGCGCACGTCATTTTGGCCACTTTTGAGACGGGACCCGCCCCCACTGGTTTTTACACACTGCTTTTGAAACTTTATTAAAACTCGTATGTATTTGTATAAATGATGGGGATGGAAACGGCAGCAAGTCCTAAGTCGCTCTGAAAAAGTTATATTGTGCTTTTTTTTCTACCTATTATTATATTAAAGGTTAATTAATTATATTAAAGGTAGAAATATTACATGTTTATTTGATAGAGACAGACCACAAAGCATTGTTACAGGTGAGCGATGCCATGTTCATCGGCCAGATAAATAACAGCTAATTTGCAGACCGGGTCCTAAGACATAAAATCACAATTCCCACTGTTCTGTAACTTGTGATGCAACACTGACATTTCCCCGCTGTAGGACTAAAAAAGCATCTCTCTTAATCTTAATCTTGATATAATAACAATTTGCCGGTGTAAATCACAGCTTATTTACCTGAGATCCAGTGCCTCCTTCTCTGTAGTGCAGTTTGTAGCTGATGATTCCTTCTTTCTCGTACGCTGGTTCCCAGGTCAGTTCAACGCTGGTGTCAGACACGGCACCAACCTGGAACTTGGACGGCTGACCAGGGACTACCGGGGAAAAGGCAAAGATTGTAGAAGATGAGGCCATTTTAATTTTTTTATTTCTTTTAGCACCATTCATACAGAAGCAACCCAGGCACAGAAAGCACGTTGGGAAAAAATAATAAACAAATGAGAAAAAAATATATAAAAAAACTATATACATATAAATGCACACGTAAACATGCATTTGTAATAATAATTTCAAAACATTTAATAAACGGCTCAGTTCAAACTAAACTGTACAATGCGTCAATCTTACTTCATGCGGCAATAAAATTAATGTATGAACCAAAAATGTGTGTACCTCATGATTCCTTAATACTTTGTTTATAAATATACATAAAATAATTTCAAATGGGCTCAAAACTAAGAATAATGGTATCGAACTCTTTGGACTGAGCCATACAGCATATTATAATCATTTTTTTTAAATCAAATGTGTAAATGTTGAGGAGAATATCCATGTTTTTACGCCTGATTTAAATGCTCCTATTGTTATAATAGTTTGCAGTTCATAAAAACAAACATGAGCTAGCTTAAAACACCAAAAAAATAAGATTCATCTTTGGGTTTGGTGATTGATGGCACGATTCACAGACGCTATTAATGCACAGAAATACATTTGGTGTGTGTCACTGCTATAACAGAAGCAACAACGTCAAGTGCCATCTGTCATAAGCGCCGCATGAATTATTTTAAAGCGACAATAAAACTTGAAGAGAAACGAGAATGCTAGAATATAGGTTGTGTATATTAAAGGTCCCATATTACGCTTTTTGACTTTTCTCTGTTTTAAACCTCATTACAGCTATTTGCCCAGAATTGTGTTTTCATTGATTCCCTGAAGCTTTAGTTAGAGACCGAGCTGTCTCTTTCCTTCTACAGAGGCAAAGAAACGACCTAATCCACTTTGTTTTACGTAGCATCACTTTCACATGTAGCTCGAGCTCCAGAAGCCCCGCCTCCAGAAAGTGATTGACAGGAGAGAGAAAGCAAAACAGCCTATGTTCAAATTGTCGTTTATTACACCACTAGTTGCGAAGGTTTAGATTTATTTCCTGTTTTATTTTGTAATGTGTATACCCGTGTGTCTTTAGTTGTACTTCCTGTTTCCTGTTTACATGCCCCGCCCTTATTAGCATCACCTGTGTCTTCTTTAGTTGTACTTCCTGTTTCCTGTTTACATGCTCCACCCTGATTAGCGTCACCTCTGTCTCGTTAACCTTGTATTAAAACCCTGTGTCTTCCTTCACTTCCTGTTCAGTCATTGTCATTCCAAATACATTTAAGTATTAGTACTTCCTGTTTCCTGTTTACATGCCCCGCCCTCATTAGCATAAACTTTGTCTTCTTTAATTTTACTAGCATCACCTCTGTCTTCATTAGTTGTACTTCCTGTTTCCTGTTTACATGCCCCGCCCTCATTAGCATCACCTCTGTCTCGTTAGCCTTGTATTAAAACCATGTGTTCCTTCACTCCCTGTTTCGCCATTGTCATTCCACATCTGTCTTTGTTTGGGCTACTTTTTATGTTTACTCTGGATTCTTTTGGTTTTGTTTTACTTGTATCAAATAGCCAACCATAGCTGTATCACAAGCATAAACTTACCTCCTTGTAGAACTTTGACGTGTATGGGCTCTGAGAAGGGACCATCCCCGACGGAGGTAAAGGCCTGCACTTTGATGGTGTATGTCTCTTGGGGGACCAGGCTCTGTATGGTGGTGATGATGCTGTCCTGCACATTGTGGATCTGCCACAGGTGAATGAGCTGCGAGTCATCCATGGTGTAGTACACTCTGTAGCCTTTGATTTGACCGTTCGGCTCCTCCGGCTCCTCCCAGCGAACCATCATTGTGTTCTGGGATATAATCTGAGCTTGTATGTTCCTTGGCGGGCTGGCCGGGGCCTGCTCTCCCGTCCTGGTCTCTACGGGCTCGCTGGGGGGACCTTGGCCGATGGTGTTGACGGCGGAGACCCGGATCTCGTATTCAGTGTTGGGATAGAGGCCGCCGATGCTGTAGCGCGTGGTGGTGATGTCGTCCACCGTCTCGTACTTGCTGTCCGGGGACTTGGCGCGGTACTGGATTATGTAGTAAGCGACGGGATCAGGGTTTCCCGAGTCCCAGGTGATGGTGACGCTGGTGGCAGTGGTTTCGGTGACGACGGGCGTACCTGGGGGCTTGGGTAGAGCTGGAAGATGGAGATAAAATGGATATTATATAAAATACCCGGGAGTTTAGTAAATAAGTAATCTTTATTTATATAGCGTCTTTCACAGACCGGAGTCACAAAGCACTTTACATTTGTGGGCATTAGTCACTCCACACAGAGATGGAGCAGACGCCTACAGGATGTTTCTAGTGGTATGGGAAACTGGAACACCCGAAGAAACCTACTCCACTCCATTCCAACCGGGATTTGAACCAAGTATCTTCTTGCTGAAAGTTCTAACCATTCAGCCACCATGTCTACCCAGGGTACATTGTACATACACTTCAAGGTTATTAAAAATGCATATATATCAAAGCTCGGGCATCTAACTTTTAAAACTCTCAAAATAGTTCTATCACGAGTTTACAAAAGCGAGTATGTTTGGTCTCTGCCCAAAGTGACTCAGGGTTCTTTCTTACAAGTATGCAAGAACAGGCAATTTGTTCACAACTTTTTACTTTTACAGGATTGGAATAGTTCTGTTAAGGTTACGGTATTATTCATAAAAATCAAAGTTTGGTACCTCAGTAGGTAAGTAAGTAGGTAAGTAAGTCATCTTTTTTACTTACTAATTATTAGTATTTTACCATAACAAAGAGAATATTTTCTTACATTTGACCGTGATCTGCGCCACAGCCTCGATGATGCCCAGGCTGCTCATGGCCACACAGGTGTAGTTGGCTGACTCTCGGACACTGCTCAGTTCCAGAACGTTCCTGCCCACAGGCATCTCGTCCTCCGGAGTCAGGTCCTCAGAGTTAAGCATCCATTTGACGTACGGCATGGGTGATCCCACTGCCACGCACGTAATGTTCACACTGCCACCAGGCATAATCTCCTGACTGGTGGGTGGGATGGAGAAACGAGGCGGCACCCGGCGGACTGAAGGCATGAGGAAGGGGAAGAGGTTGACAAGGGAATCAAAAAGAGAGAAAGAGAGGTAACAAAAGAGACAGATGAAAATGGACCCTCATAAATTATCATAAAGGTCCAACATGGTAAATGTGGTACTAAACACAAATTAACAAAAGTTTTCAAAACATAAAAATATACAAATAATGAGAAGGAACTAAACTAACAGAACTGCTTCAACAACAATATAGATTAACAATTAAGCAACGATTCATAGCAACAAGGTTCCAATGACCAATATTTGACCCATCACAGCACAATTAGAGACACAAAAATCTATTATGAGTTTCTCATCTTTGAATGGCTATTATGTTAAACTGAAGTGCAACCTGATCACCGTGTAGAAGAGCCGCCATATGATTAGTATCACATTAGGCCAATGTGGCAACCTGGAACTTCCTGTCTTCTCTGGCACTCACGCCAAATAGGAAGTCCACCATTACAGGCATCTCCCATAGCACAGGAAGTGTAGGGTTACATGACTATTGATGACTCTGCATTAATCTTGACACCTGTCTCTGCCTACAACCTGTTTATCTTAAAGATGAGAAACTTTAATCAGATTTTTGTGGTGTAGGGTAGATCCACTGGACAAAGCCTTATTAAGATCTGACACGGTTCCATTGATAGATGCAGCTATCAGTTTCACAGACAGCATGCATAAATAGACCGAGGTAAATTAAGGAATAAATGATAACAAAATCAGATATAAAAATTGAGATAAAATGCATTGAGGAATAACTGAAGGGTCGCTAGCATGCCCAGACAAAAGACGACTGGAGAGAATAGAAGGAGACAAGACTGAGGAGAAACTGAGGAGAGGATAGAAGGAGGAGAGATAGGGGAGGTTTGGAGGAGGGTAAAGGAGGGGTACCCCGCTTCAGTACTGTGTCAACATATTGTTTCTTCAGCTAATGTGACAATATGTGAGGGTGGCACATTGTCACATCGCAGTGCCACTTAACACAAAACCAATATTGAGGAACAAGATGTGTGCCTAAAACTACATTAACTGTTGCTAAAGACAATACTATCACATACTGTTGAGTCAAGAAATTCAGACAACAAGAAGAAGGAGAATAGACGATGGAAGGAGAATGAAATCCCTAAGAGGAGTACAGTTAGAAAGGAGTAAATAATTTATGGATCTGAGCAGGTTTTGGAGGATGGGGAGAATGACTGAGATTGAATTGTAGCAGATACTTGTGTATTGTTTGTTGGTTTTACCAGTGTTTAAGTATGAGTGTGCGTGTGTACAGTATGTAAAAGTTTAAAACACATGAGCATGGAATCGCAAAAAACATATAGTGTGAATGGAAAGAATCCCAGCAAACAGTCAATGGGATGATTCAAATGTGTTATTACAGATTAGGAAGGGCTCTTGTTGTGATGGATAGACAATCCTAAAAACACAAGAGTATAAACATGACAAACCAGCGTCACATTTAAACGCTGTAGCAATGTTTTTAGAATTACTTTGGCACACAACCGGCCACTTTGTTGTTGGGACAGGGCCCACACTTTTACAATCAATCTGCAAGTTGTTTGCTGGGATGTTAAAACAAAGCAGAACTGATGAAAGACACAGACAGAGAACAAATGAGAGAGGAAGACAGACGGACAGGACAGGGGCAAGAGGAAGCACACGAGGCAGAAGAGACTCAAGCAGCAAGACAGACAGTGACAGATGGACAGGCGACATACTGTACAGTACGCAAAAGGGAGAGGAGAGGGAGGGAGGGAGCAGGGAGGTATAAGTGGGGAGAGAATCAGGAGATTGTGATATCTGAACCAAACCAAGAAAAGAAAGTAAAGTTCATGGTTCAAAGTGGTTTGGAGATCTCACACACTGAGGCTTAGATTCAAGATCTGGCCACACCTGCCCTCCAGCCCACCTAAGGCATTACACCTGGATGCATTGATGTGGGAATGCTAAGGTGGGCGGGTGCAAGGTGCTTGGGACCTGGTAAAGACTGAAGGGACTGGGGCAGATGAGGGCTGAAAGGAGCATTCCAAAATACACCGTGTCGATCCAAATGGGATTCAGATACTTGTTGCATGGGACATCCTGATATAGACAGCACAAATATCATCCACCCATGTTAAGGGGGATCTGGCCACAACAGACAATGTCCAGGGAATTATATCACATCTACATCTACGCATACAATGAGATTATAGGATGTGTGTTACTGTCAATCCTCCCACCCATTTTGACATAACTGAAAAAAGGGTGAAGGTTTGTATCTATTCTTTACACATGGATCTGTCTTTGTACTTTAACTATTTTAAAGCTTAGCGTGTAAAACGGTCATGAGCTTCAGCTTGTCCTGACAGTGGGGGATACAGAAAACTGCAACACGAGGGGGGTGACCTTTTCTTTAGCATTTAACACAATGCTTGTACTACCGTAGCAGATCTAATTGCCCAGTCATGCAGTCCCAATGGAAAATCTATTGATAGAAAAAAAAATCATATAGATTGGGCCGGGAAAAATGTGTCTAATGCATTTTTATATGTAAAAGAAAAATGTCTCCTAACTAAACAATAAAGTGAAAGGGCAGCCCATTCCTCACACAGACATGCATGGGTGTGGCTATGGCATGAGTGACATATACAGGTGCGCCTTCATCCTCTAGGGCAGTCACCAGAAAAACCAATACAGTCCCAAATGTCACCCAAGCCCATCCAAGCATGCCATCCATTCCCAATATAGCATTGTTCCAGACACACAAAGTAAAGGAAATGAAATTAATATCAAATGAACAAATTCACAAAAATACTATGTCTGGACGGCATAGACAGTACCAGGGTGCAGCTGAGTTCAACAAAGACATTTGCATCAATACTATTAGATGTTTTCCGCAGTACTTTGTCTCTGCATCACTTTAGTATCAGTTTAAAAAGTACTAGGTCTGTTTTGGGCATGTGTAAATGTTAATGAATGTCATGTGTGCGCGGGCTCTCCCTGGGGCTCGGGTCTGCCAATGGACCGGGAGGAAACTCTCTCTCTTCACCTTTGAGAATCTGCATGGGCAATAAAACAAACAACCAGCTAACATCTGGGTCGACTGTCCCCTTTAGTGGGTAGTGAGCCATTAGATCAACTTTGCTACTCTGATTGACAAAGGGGATCCCTGCTCTGTGCTATCTATGAACAAGGAGTAGGAGCAGTTTTGTAAGTCCATGGCTGCATGTAGAATATACTGAATGTAAAGGTGCCAGGCTGTCATTACTCTATGCAAACCTAACCTTTGTCAGAAAAAAAATAAAAAAAATAAAAAAAGAATCCCAATTGCATGGACAGGCTCCTCATTCGCAAAGACCAGGAGCCCAGCCGGCCCATTTGGAATTGAGAGAAAATGAAAACAAATGTGTACCTAGTGTTTTGAACAATAACAACATAATCTTGTGTCAAGCCCCAATGTGGAGAGAAAGACAAGAAGCCTTACAGTGGACGAGGTGAAAGCAGTCGAGAGAGAACGCCAGAGTACTGCTCTAACTCTAGTAGTGGGCGGTGTTGTGGAGGGATTTGTGCCAAAAACAGAGGTCAGAAGGTGGACATTATCGGCCATTTTGGTGAGGCAGTGGTTTTCTGCCCCAAAATGAGGGGGAAGCCAAAATAATGTGCAGCCTTTAGTGTCACCTTGAAGCTGAGATTACACCCTCTTGCCTGTTGCCTCAGACCCAGGCCCAGAATGGAGATGCTTTAGTCACACTTGCCGGATGAGGCCTTAAGCATTTACATAGAAGCCACAGGGGTCGCCCCGTATTAACATACCTCGCCTGCACCAATGATAAACAGTCACTATGGGTGGCTCATCAAAATGGAAATTACTACCTTAAGGAAACTGACAAGAATCATGGCAGGGTGTTTCATAATAAAATACTGGGGATAGAGGGCAAATTATTGTGTCACTTTTCTATAGTTTTACAGCGATGTGACAAGAAGCGAAACCATACGGTATGTTTTATCCCTGCGGTGTTGATGGTAGACCAGATTAGCCTGGATGATACGTTTTGGATGGGATGCTAATAGATTCAGGACACTTGAGACAAACATCTAATAGAGATGGAGTTTGCTTTGGCCGGTGAGAACATAAGGTGTAATCTAGCTTTCTTTCCCAACGTTACACAAATGCAGAGCAGAACATGCAGGCTCATCCAGAACCATGCACATGCACCGACACAGCCCAGTCTTTCTGCATCAGAACCAGCTCAGGTGGACCTGTTTGGCTGTTAACATGAGTGAGATCTGAGGTTTTAAGCAAGTTTATTATTTATTTATATAGAACTTTTACAGACCGAGGTCACCCAAAGCATCTGTCCAGTAAGGAACATAATGAATGAGCGTCAATGATATTCATGGTATTGGTTTTTTGGAGTGTCTTTAGGGTGACATTGGGGTGTCACTGGGGTGTCATTGGGGTGTCAATAGGGGGTCAATAGGGTGTCATGGGGTGTCCGTAGGGTGTCATTATGGTGTTGTTGCGGTGTCATTGGGTTGTCATTAATGTATCATTGGGTTGTCATTAGGGTATCATTGGGTTGTCATTAGGATATCATTGGGTTGTCATTAGGGTGTCATTGGGGTGTCATTAGGGTGTCATTATGGTGCCGTTGTGATGTCATTGAGGTGTTGTTGAGGTGTCATTGGGCTGTCATGGGGTGTGGAATCATTAAAATGTCATTAGGGTTTCAGTGTGGTGTCATTGAGGTGTCATTGGGGTGTCATTGGGGTGTTATTATGGTGTCATGGGGGTATCATTAGGGTGTCATTGGGATGTTATTAGGGTATTATGGGGGTGTCATTGGGATATCATTGGGGTGTCATTGGGGTGTTATTATGGTGTCATTGGGGTGTCATGGTGGTGTCATTAGGGTGTCATGGCGACCATACAATGTGAACAGAAGTCACTCTACAAAAGCTATGGGCTTTGAGTTCCCACAATGCAACAGCTAATGTGATATTGAACTCATTAGATTGTTATTGACCCAAGTAATACTGTAAATGGCGTCCCTTAATGGGTGCTTCAAATCACCATGGAAACTAATCAGACTCGATCTTGTATCATTTTGTCAATAATAAAGAAGATGGCAGGAACACTGGCTGTGTATGCACATTTAATACTTCATTCGGCAAAGGCATTTTCACTCAGACTCAAGAAGCAGGGCAGCATTTGGAAGAATTTCAACATAAAATACACAAAAAAATGAATCACACAAAGACAAACATCAACTCAAAGGAAGTTCAGAGGAAAAAGAACAAAATGACACACAAAAACAACACTGTAACCACAACATGAAAGGGAAATAAAGTCAACAAAAGTTTGAGTTGGGAAAACACTCGCTGAAGAATTAAAGGAAGGGAAACTATTGTGAAGAAAGTCAAACAACAAAATACGTAGGAGTGCAGAAAAAGAAAATATCAGCACGGCCATTGGTTCACAGTCATGCACGTGTTACGATTCCCATGCACCAGACGCATCGTTTCCGACATGCTGGGTTCCCATTTTACATGCAAGAAAAGCCTTTTTGGTGCAGAAGCAATACCAAAGGATGCAAAACGAGAAAAGGCCCCACAATGCAAACATAAAATCAAAAATATAACAAAACCCAAGATAAGCGGGTTTGCTTTCATCATATCTTCCTTGGATAATAGGTCAAATAAAATATAAAAAAATTAAAATAAAAAACTTTGCATAATCATTTAGCTTTTTTTCGGATTCGGGTTTTCAAATCAGTAATTTTGTTTTAAAACAGCTACTTTTTTTTGCAAACATGTTGATTGTTTTCTTTTTCAAATGTGGGTTAAAAAAAGTAAAAAAGAAAAAACACACCAACCTTCTCGAAGCTCTGAGGGATGTAAAGGGGTTGATGCAGAACACAATGACATGAGGAGAAGAGAAAAATAGGGGAAACACAGAGAGAGTAAAAAAAGCCACCTCAAGGTGTTTAGCTGCTGCTACCTTTCCCTGCGGCTAAAACGCTTTGGTTTCACCCTTTCTACCTTCGCCCTAAAACTACCAGTGACATCCGAACTCGAAAGTACACTTGTCATCCCCCATTTTTTCAATAAACTTTGTGTTATTTTTTTAAGCCACATGGAGAGGCTTCTGTCGTGGCTGAATTTGCTTTCGCTACAGAAGAATAAACCAAATAAAAAATAAAATAAATCAAAAAATAATGAGAGATAGAAAAGAAAAAGACACAGTTTGGGCTGAAATTAGCAGCTGTGGTTTTCAGGCAGATCCAGTATTCATGGGGCTGATGGGATTGAACCAAATTACATCCTATACGTTTTGTTTTCGGCATTCGTACCGCAGCTGCTAATCTCAAGTGCAATTTGCTCCGTGAACAAAACATAGTCAACATCAAAGTTTCTGAATTGATTGACAAAAGTTAACTGAAAACAGACAGAGGTCGACACCATCAAGGCATAACAGGTGTGTCACATAGTGTGTAAGTCCCTATGGGCAGTCATGACCCTGGGGTGCCCCCGTTTCAAAGCATGCTGATGGAGCCAGTGTTCATGGAGATTGCATGAATTGTTGGACATGATTTGAAGTTGGCGTGTATCTTGATCCAGATATGGTTAAATATCCCTGTGCTGTGTCATTACGTACATACGGTTCCCATTTTCTTGACTTAATGTTTGTAAAAATGTTCTATTGAGAATCTCTGTATAACATTATTGGAGCCGAGAGTCGGGCTTGATGCTAAAGCACGGCTGCATTCGTGAAAAGACAGAGTATGGCCTTGAGAAAAAATACTCCCAACAAAACAACATAATCTTGACAAATAGCTTTTTACCTCAATCTTGTCTCTGACAAGAGTTAAGCCGCGTCTGAGTTAAGCCGCTGCTTCATAGGCAATAATAATAATAATAATAATAATGAAAAAGCAGCTCTATGACCCATTTTGCAATGTCACAAAACTGAATTATTTATTGGGAACAAAGTTATTTGGTACACAGCAAAGGGAACAAACTGACTAGATACGGTAGCATCTTTATTTAATATGTGTATCATAAATAATACACGTCGAGAATGCATCTGCTTCAATTTATTATCGCTCCCTCAACAGGGCTGCGGTGTCATTGGGCATTAGAGAAATGGCTTTTGTCTTTATTGGCTATTTCCTGCTTCATAACTGATTGTCCTTTAAAGATGTTGACTTGGGCCAGGATTGCAAGTGGCACTAAGAAGCTTTTAGTGAAAATACCTACGGGCAAAGACGTGGATAAAAATATAAGCTCCCAGACACTTTCAAGAAAGAAAGAAAAACCTTCAGGTCTGGGTAAATTTCACGTCAGAAACCATTTGCTAAATCACCAGTTCTTTCCCCTCATATATTCAATGGGTCAGGATTAAGATTTTGATAGAAAGCAACAATACTTTGCCTCTCAGTCAAAATCCAAGACTTACCGTTCTCTTTTCAGCACCTGGAAAAAATCTGTTAACATTCTCTGCAATTCTTTTTTGGGATTCCGTTGCGTACGGAAGGGGAGCACACAATTACAAAAAAAGGTGTCTGGCAACCCATAAGGTAAAGACATACGGCTTGTTGTGCTACACATTTCCTTCCAAGTGAGTTGGGGCCGGCATTAAAAGACACAAAATGGAGCATAACATCACAGAGAAGAGCGTTAGTTGGTCAATTATAATTTTTAACATGTGGATATTTCAGTGCATATGAAATTACATTTATGGGCAAGCAATGCTACACTAAAATATTTATCTTACTTGCATATTTTAAACACAACACTGGCCTATATGGAAGCAATTATCACTTGTTAAGCTCAACAATAATGACATACTTAAGCTGAGCGGATATTTTAGTTTAGAATGGGTTTGGTTTCATTTTTCCGGGGTTTGCGGTCAGGTTGCTTCCTACCTCGCACATAAAGGTTGGCAGGGGACGAGTAGCGCACGCCTTCCACATTAGAAGCCACGCACTCGTACTTCCCCTGGTCTGTCTCCTCGCTGTTTTCAATCTGCAAAGCACCTGCGAAGGGACGAAAACCAGACACACAGAGAAAGACAGAAAGGGGTAGACGTTAGCGACGATGTATGTTCAAAAGTAGAATGGCAGAAAAGATGAATATTCTTCATTGCAGTTGATTACATTGAGCGGTCTCTTGGTTATAATGAGAGAAGTGAAAATGTCTGTTTTTGTTCTTTGTATAGAAAATAATTTAGAATTTTTGCTTGAATCTTGAAATGTCTTGAGTTGAGTAATGGATGTGAAATAGTTTCATTGTTGTTGTTGACCAAAGAATAATATAAAAAAGCTGTAAAAGGTTTCACAGATGGAATTAACCCATTTAATATAAACGTAAAAGTTAGATATTTCTTCACAATATCTAAAGAAGGGTTTATTCAGAGGTGGGACAAAGTCATTGGTTGGAAAGTCACAAGTTAGTCTCAATTCAATGCCTTGAAGTCCAAAGTCAAGCCGTGAGTCAAGTCCCAAGTCAAGTCCTGAGTCAAGACCGGCTGGTCCTGAGTCAAGTCCCAAGTCAAAGCCAACAAGTTCCAAGTCAAGTCCCAAGTCAAGTCCCGAGTCAAGTCCCGAGTCAAGTCCCAAGTCAAGACAGGCAAGTCCCAAGTAAAAACCAACAAGTCTCAAGTCCAAAGTCCTACGGTTTGACTTTCGAGTCCTTTTCGAGCCTTTAATTATAACTAATAGCTTGTTCCATGTGGTTGGCCAATGTCAAATGTTGAAGGAGAATAGTCAGTTGTCTATCAAGGTGCATTCGAACAAGCTTCACAAATTGAAAAGTAACTTCACGTCAACACAACTCCTCTTTAAGAAACAAAGAGAGTTATCGTCCAGAGATTCAAACAAGACGGTTTAATATTAACCATGAAATGAAGAGATTAGGGGAAAAAAACCAAAGACTAATACTGTATGTCGCATGAACGCAGTCATGTGATGGAGCTACAGCTGCAGGTCTGATGGAGCTACAGCTGCAGGTCTGATGGAGGTGTCTGTATAGGCGTCAGATCGGTCCTTGTTAGTGCTGTGTCGACGGTGCTTCCTGATGATATCATTAGGGCTGTGGCTTGCTCAGCAGACAGATTGCAGCCCCGCTCTGTCTGACAAACACTACACCAGCGCTCGTTAGCGTTTAGCCAGGAAGCATCAATACACCAGCGCAGCCTGCAGGTCTTTGTAACATACCATCACCTACTTCATCACATCCACTCACCCGCAAACCAGTAATGCACCAGGTTACCATGCTCTAATAATACCGCTGCTTTAGATACGCGACAAATGAGAGCAATCACTCCCCTTAACTCATTGTGTCCCATTGACGCACAAATACGTCAAAGCAAATAGTAACGTCGTGTGCCATTGACGCATTAATCCGTCAATTGCTTTTTTTGCTATTTTCACGTTCCCAGATGTCTATTGTATCTAATATGTATGGGGATGACTTGAGACCATATTTTATCGAGCCAGCAGGTGGCAGCATTGCTCTCTGAATGGTTTGAAAACATGTAGGTGCACATGTTGTGCCTCTTTTTTCTCAACTTTCTGGTGATTTCTGGTGATTTCAGTAAAACTTCCCTCTACTCGACGGAGGATTACAGGGGAACGAAAAAAGCTATAAACAAAATTCTTTTTGCTGAGGAAAGTAGACAGTCCATTCTTTTAGAATCTGGTGTCGGATTTCAGATAGTCATAGTACACAATATTCTGTGGGTCTTGAAAAATCAGTAAAAATCATCAGAAATGGCTGGCACTGTGGGAGTACCTGTTCTGAAATAGGCTGGCATTCAATGAGTTAATTAAACAGAAAATGTAAGTCGTGCCTCCACCGTAGGCTTTTCAGAGGCAGCCACGACTCCATTCTTCAGCTCAGATCATGGGCTCGTACCCAGGAGAGCTCGGTTTCTGGCACGGAGCTACACGAAGCAAATGAAAACGTCTACCTGCCGAGTACAGGTGGTGACTGTGACTCGCAGAGATGTGATTTGGATCTGTCTGATGTGTGCCTGGAACCGCAAATGCCAGGCTGACGGCAGGTGGGTTGGAATGTGCTCAGTACCGCGGAGACCATAAAGAAAGGTGTGTGTGAAGCTGAACTACAGAACGCACTGCCAGGAGCTCGCCACTTCTACTGCCTCATATCGTAAAAAAGCAAGACAGGAGGACAATACTTTCAAACTATAAGGCCTCTCGACAACCAGATTGCAATACTATTTTAGAAGAAAAACAAGTAATTCAAAGTATTTCAATAGAACATGAATGACAGTGTTTAACCATCATAAAGCAGCGAGTGTCTAACTCAATTAAACAGCACTCAGCTGATGATTGACACATGATCCGACAGGACATCTGTATGCTGTTAGTCAGAGCAGACATGTTCTTTGTAAAATGTAAATATCAAAGCCTAATTTCTATTTGAAAGTGTGGGGTTTTATATGGACTCCAGTTTAGGACCAAAGTGAGCTTTTTACCAACACTCTGAGTTCTCTGGTTGTGTAGAGAAGCATCATCCTTTCAATACAGAAGGCAGTAATGTGCACTGGGACTGGACATTTGTCCTCTCCATTTAACAGTGTGGGGACTGGACATTTGTCCTCTCCCAGACAGACTGTGCAGCATGCCACAGGTCTGCAGAACCTCAGGTCTGAAAACAAAGAGCCTGCAAACAATCCCAGCAAATACTCTTGAAGGAAATTACATTTCTCCATAAGGCATAGAGTCGGTGCTATACTATTTGACCATTATATTGTGGCCGTGGCCTAAATGTGTACATTAGAATCAGTGTTTATTATGATAATAAGTTTATCAAAGTATCCTTAGCATTAAATTATAATAATAATAGATTCTAACGTCCTCTTTTAGGGAATTTGCTATTTCTGACGAGAAGTTATATTTAGAAAACAAGGCGGTAAAAGTCTTTCAGTTAATAACGCAGACATGAACCGTCCAATCAAAGGCTGATGCTGTTGGAAAACACAGCAAGAGGAGGATAAGTACAGAACAGGTGGGGGCTGCCACGGATGATTGATTCCAAGAGCACTCCGAGCTGTGGTCTCCCATCCCTCGTCCCTGCTCTCCAGCCGTTTTACTGTGTGCACCCCACAGTCCCATTTGTGTAATTCAATTAGTCTGCTCCAGCCAGCCTTGATTGATTTGTTTAGGCGATTAACAAAATGGCTGGCCAAATCTCTCCCATACTCGCGGCTCCTCCCTTCAGCCGTCCAAAGTCATGCTGTCTTTTTTCATCATTGTTTCACCCATTTCCTTTTCGCATACTCTTTCCACACGTCTCACTGTGCGTTTAAACCCAGCTATTATCTGGTGCTACAGTGAGGGGTAGAGATCATTAACACAAGTCACATAAGGACAGGGGAGTTTGACTATCAGAGAAAACTCACAACAGCCAGGCCCAGAGCCCGGCCTTTTGTCCGGCTCCATCTTTCTGTTGTGATGTGAGCACCCTCCGCCTCCAGCCCAAGGTCACTATAGCACCGAGCACAGCAGGAGGCCCCACGTGTGCTGTTGCTGTTGTCAGGGCCCATCTGGTGCCTTGTAACGCTCCCATGAAATCAGTAATGAAGCAGGTAGGGAGTCACCACACGCTCCTCTGTGCTACATCTACAACAAATGTGCTAGCTACGACGTGTGTTAGCTATGAACACATTCTATGGTCTATTCTATGCTTTGGATTGTAAGTAGCAGTCAAGCTAATCAGAAAGCACTGAGAAAGGATTGAGTCTTCTGATAGAAAATGGCTCTCTCTAAACTAAACTGTACAATGCTTCAAATCTTAATTCAAGCGGTAATAAAATACATTTATGGAGCAAAAATTTTTGTACCTCATAATTCTTTAATATAAATATAAATATAGCTTATAAATATACATGGGATAAACTCAGATGGGCTTAAAACCAAGAAAAATTATACATATATATATATATATATATATATATATATATATATATATATATATATATATATATATATAGGCCCTCTCCGAGAGGAGCTGGAGAGGGCCTGGAGGGTAAAGGTGACAGTAGTGCCCGTGGTGATCGGTGCACTCGGGGCAGTGACCCTGAAGCTAGATGAGTGGTTACAGCGGATCCCCGGAACAACCTCGGACATCTCGGTCCAGAAATGTGCAGTGCTAGGAACAGCAAAGATACTGCGCAGAACCCTCAAGCTCCCTGGCCTCTGGTAGAGGACCCGAGCTTAGAGAGGGATAACCGCCCGCGGAGGGCCAAAGGTGAGTGGACATTTTTTTTTTTTTATACCGTATACATGACTGTCACCCCCTGCAGGACACTCTCTCTGCTCTGGAGAGCAGCTTCAGTGACAGACTAATTCACCCTCGCTGTGTGAAGGAGAGGTTCCGTAGGTCTTTCCTTCCTGCTGCTGTCAGACTGTACAACGAGAATGTGTAACAGGAACTGCTGAGTCTGCACAAGTGTCACTGATAATTCACTAGTAACTTTGTCACTTGTCACTTTACCTGTTATCAGTACTACTGCATTATTTCATATCTGATATTTCTGCCTTTCACCAGTCAGTTTACCTGTTGATATCTTACTTTATTATTACATATCCATCTGATAATTCTCCCATTCAAGTCACTTTACCTGTTGATATTATTTCTGATGTTTATTCTGCTCATATTCATATTCTCGTGGCTAATGTATAATATAGACATGTGTAAATACTTCCGATCCAAGTGCAATTATAGCCCAGAGTTTATCTCATTTTATTTTATTTTTATCTTAATTTTATTGTCTATTATCTTAAATAATAGATTTATTTGATGTGTGCAATCTGAGTGCTCTCATTTCCTTCTCTGCTGTAATGTGCGCAACGATGACACTGAAAAGTCTCCACTGTGAGACTAATAAAGGTTTATCTTATCTTATCTTATCTTACCTTTCCAAAATGGTATTGAACCTAATTTGTGAAAGGAAGAATGACCAGGACAGAGACTATTTAATGGTTAATGTTTGGGATAAAACTAGAATCAA